CTCGTAGCGTTGCAACGACACTCGACTATGCCTACACTATGCTACAGGATGCTCCCACGTCGAGCCATCAGATCGCTGCCCCCCCCCCCCCCCAACCATTCTGGGGTCAATCTGGCATATGTCACATACGATTATAAGTCGTAACGGAGTCGGCCCTCGATATCGGCCGACACAGTGAGTTGCAATCATGGCAGTAGGCAAAACTGCAGCGCTCGGCGAAATCGGGAGTGGAACTCTTGCTATTCTTGGTTGTGGTAAGAGTAGTGACTATTACTGTCAGTCACACAAGAACTCCTTTTGACAGTTGCAGGCGCTCTTGGCACAGCCATTCTCCTAGGCCTCCTCTCTGATTCGTTAGACCTACCCGGAGTAGCCAAGAGGAATGATGGTCAGAATGGCTGGAGCAAGGCCTATCGCTTTGTAGCCTGTGTCAGGTATGATTTGACATTTTGCGAGATTCATCTACGTTATCCATTCTCTCTCAACTAAAGTGTTTTGTACACAGGCGCGAGCAAGCTGCGGACACGATCAGGCAAAAGGTCCAGGAAGTGGCACCCAAAGCATCTTCACTCGTAGACATTCAAGTGTGCAATAATGTCGAAGCCATCCGCACAGCCGACATTGTTCTCCTGGCCGTACAACCACACTTGCTGGCCGAGCTTCTCCAAGAGCCTCATATGAGTGATTCTCTCCGAGGAAAAATCATCATCAGTGTCTTGGCAGGCGTCACGGTGAATGACATACAGTCCGCGATAACCATGAATTTGGAGACGGCGGTGGCGGCGGCGGCAGCACAGCATACCTCACCACTCGAACTCGACTCTCCACCACAGAAGAAGAACACATACACAATTGTGCGAGCAATGCCCAACATCAATTGCTTCGCCGGGCAATCCACCACCATCATCGAACGAGACAGCTCCTCCTCCTCCTCCTCCTCCTCCTCGATGCAAGACGACAACACTCTCCACCTCGTCAGTAACCTCTTCCACAGCCTCGGCAAAGTCTTCTTCACCTCACCCTCCACCATGAACGCCTGCACAGCCCTATGCGGCTCAACACCAGCCTTCTTCACCATCGTCCTCGAAGGACTCATCGAAGGCGCCATCGCCGCCGGACTGAAACCCGACGAAGCCTTACAAATGCTCAGTCACACGATGATGGGAACTGGCGCTCTCATGATGTCGCAAGGTGGAAGAGATCCTGCTGCGGTGAGACATCAAGTCACTTCTCCCGGAGGCTCGACGATTCGAGGGGTTTTATCGCTCGAGGAGAATCGAGTTCGGTGGAGTTTTGCTAGGGCGCTGGAAATTTCTGCGGCTAAGGCGGGTGATTTGGGGGGTAGTAGTAGTGGGAGTAGTGGGAGTAGCAAGTAGTAAGTAAAAATGATACGATACAAATACGATTGGATAAGTCAGGTAAGGTAGGTATTGGATTATCCCCCCCCCTCCTTTTTTCTTTCTCCTTTTCTCCGGAACTACGACCTAGTAGGCCAGTGCATATATCTACCTTATTGCCCTAGTCTTTAGGTAAGGTAACTTCCCCAGGTAGTCTGTAGTTAAGATCCCGTCCGTCCATCCGCCTGTCAGATCCATCATATCATACCACCTCACCTCCCCTCCCCTCCTCCCGATTCGCTTTCGCTTCTTATCAACCCCAATTCCCCGTCAAGGTCAAGATAAAGCTCCCTAGGTTATTTAACCTAGAATCTCCAAAAGAAAAAAAATCACGCAAAAAAATACGCGCAAGCTGTAGGAGGTAAGAACTTGAAGTTGTAATTAAGTTTGCAACTAGAGCAGAAAGAAAGAAAGATAGACTGAAAGAAAGAGGTTACAAGCTCTTACTTCTAGGACTAAGATTAGGATTAGGATTAGGATTGGGATTACGGAGGTACGTATAAGTGAATCGATATACTTTATCCTTACCTTTATCCTTACCCTTTCTCTTTTGTCTTTCTTTTTTTTTGTCTAGGTAGGTAGGTATTTACTTACGGCTTACGCTTGTTGCCTTTTTTATCTTAGGGCTGAATTTTTGTGTTTTTTCGTTATTAATCTTTTTTGGGGAGGGAGGGTTGGATTGGAACTTTAGAAGGGCAATCTTTTTTTTTTTGGATTGTATACGATTGTTCGATTTTTTTTGTAGGGTATATATACTACTTTTTGTTATGCGTACGGCTTGTTTTGTTGGTTTCTCGCGTGATTTTGTCGGTGATATTTTTGTAGTTAGTTGGATTGATACTCTCTCTCTTTCTTTCTCTCTCTCTCTTTCTGAATATCCTAATCTAGATATTATACAAGATATCCTTAATGCTCCGGAGCCTAGGTAGACAAGTATAAGAACGGTTACAAGAATTAATATATCAAAGTACGTAAACGAATCTACTTCGTATATATTAGATTCGATCAAATCGATCAATCGATCTAACTTTATACTTATTAAAAGTCTTTCCAAAAAAACAAGTCTCCTCCTACGACGTAGTCTTCTGCCGCTCCTAAGACAACCTTACCAAACAACCTCGAAAAAAATACCTTATCTAACACCTTAGTCTCGTATCCAAAAAACCCTCCGAATCTACTCTTTATATCCTATCCTATCCTTCACAACATTTAGGGGCCCTAGAGGATATGCGAAGAACATGGAATTGCAGAGTGTATATCTTGTTGTGAGGACGAATCAATCCGGTTACGGGGTAGAAGAGTGGTTTCTTGCTATTAGGCCGTTTCTGGTCAAGATTAGGGAGTTGATAGAGGGAGAAAGGAAGGAGGTAATAGAGAAATTGATGAAGATGATGGTGGAGAATCACTGCATGTAGTGTGAGGTTTAAGGAGAGGAATGTGAATGATTTGGTTATTTGGGATCATCGGTTCGTCTTCTTTTTTTTTTCCTTCTTCGTCTTCTTCGGAGCATATGTCGTTGATGAACATAGTTCTCATTTCCATCGTGTTTGCTAACCTATCCCCGGCGATAGATCGTACAGGTCGGTATTCCATACTCCTACATTCGATTATGAAGGGTTGGGAGAGCGATATGGTAATCGCGTCGTCGGGATAGGCGAAGAACCATTTCTGGATCCGAATAGCCTTTCGAGGACAGAAGATCTGGGACGAAAAGCGAAGATTGCTAGGAATACTAGGGAGGATCTGGAAAGGGAGGCGAAAGTCTGTACGAATGGTCGGTAGTTGATTCTTTGAGAAAAGAAAAAGGAAAAAAAAGAAACAAAAAGAGCCGACAACAACAGTAAAAGGGAAACCTTTGCTTTATCAAGTCGTATACGAGTTTGTAGCTCCTCTCTTAATGTCCAACCCTCTACGAAGACTTTCTCTCCTCGATATAAGTTTCTCGCTTTCAAATTACTTGCCAATATCTTACTCTATAAATGTCTGGATAGTCAAAGACATGCCGAGCTTTTCATACGAAGCGAAAGCTATAAGAAGAATGTACACTTCCTGGCAACAGTACAACATATGCTATCCGTTGAAAAACAGGAAAATGAAGCAAAAACCAATCTCTCCTTCACAACCCTCCACCCCTCTCCCTCCCCCTCCCCTTCCCCTTGCCCTCATCAAACCTCTTCAAATCCTCCAACCTCACGACCTCCAACGCCCTCGAACTCGTCCTCTCCAAATCCACCTTCAACCCCGTATCCGGCCCCATTTCGCGCATGGCGCTCAGAAAATCGTGCGCGGAAATACACATTTTCTGGCCGGCGCGATGGCCTTTGTAAGGAGGATCATCGCCGAATTCGGATTGTAAAAAGGAGTGGGTCAGAGTTGCTGCGATGGAGAAATTTCCTCGCGGAGAGGAAGTGGGGTCGGAGGAGGGGGAGGTGTGGCAGAGGTTGTTTTTGTTGAGACCTTCTTTTTGGGAGGAGGAATTGGGTTGGATGAGGGGGAGGAGGGTGGTGCCGAGGACTTTTGGGGGAGGAGGAAGAAGAGGAAAAGAGTTAGCGAGGTGAGTCTCGGTTAGATTGTTTTGGATGGAAACTCACCATTTTTCAATTCTTTGTTTTCATTCTGCCGTGATTCTCCTCCTTGCTGCTGCTGCTGCTGGTTGTTCTTCTTCTTCTCATCGGCCATTGTCGTTTTGTATAGTAGTAGCTAGGTAGCCAGGAGATCTCCCTATATCTAAGAGTAGTAAATACTAGTAAAGACAGAAAAGAGAAAAGCAACAATTTCTGTAGAGATCAAATCAAATGAATATATATATCTCAAACGCGTACCTTACATAACGTGACGTGCTACTACCGTGGGACATGTATATAAAACAAAATCCAGGAACAGGATTCAGTGTACATTGTTACGTGAAGTGACGTTGATGGCGCTAAAACGCCCGCTAAGCACATGACAAGTATTTTCACCTCACCTTGCATTTGTTTCTTTTTTTTTCCCTTCTTTTTTTCACAACGGCAACATATATGCTTTCTATACCTACCGACGAGACCTTTTCCGTTCTCCGGTCGTTGCTTTCAGCTATGAAATTCTTCCTCACTTCAAAGATCATGTCTACTGCTTATTCTTGCGAGACGTCGACCGTGAACATACAAGGAGAATGCGAGTCTTCAAGTCCCTTGCTCCTTATACTGCTCCCGGACAGCGTTCTTGGCCGTAGCTGAGCTGTTATACCTGTTGTTCGATACATCGAGCAAAACAAGTCCCTTAAGAGCTTTGTTTATGCTGTTACCGAGGTGACCCTCAAGGTGTAGGGAAACCTGCTGGAAACAGACATCGATATAGAGTAGTATCGCGGCCCCAGTTGCGGAAGCTAACGATTCTGTACTGCACGATGGGCGTCTCTATCCAATGTGGTCGATCGAGCCTGATGAGAACTGGCTTGCTGTGTGTGGTCGTTGCGGATAACAGACGTGGTAGATAGTTCTAGTAAGAACTCAGTTCGATACCGCTAAGAGACCCGACATAACGGCATCGAGGTTACTTTATACGTGTTCGTCGTCTATTTCGCATTCTATCGTAGAACATGGTATAACGAATCTGCTTGGGGATTTGATACGGGCCGCAGATTTGTTGGCAAGACGGCTCGGACGTATATAGGTAGCTGGCATCTTATAGCGGGTAACCCTAACATAACCCTAAGGGCCTGTTCAATAAGGTATCGACCAACCTGCGACAGGTTAGTCGACAGGTTCCGCGGCCTGCGAAATTCGCGCTAAACGGCGTATATCGTACTCTCTTAACTCTCGTAGGTTTCCGAAGGTACTAGAGAAGCTATCGTATCGTTTGTAATATATATTGTTTAATAAATTGGCTTAGGTCGTAGTATAACTTATTCCGAGTACTACGGGTATACCTATATATAAATATCCGTATACTATATCTCGTATAACTATCTAGACACAAAAGCATTATTTCCTATTAATTAGTAATTCATTATAGGTACGCGCTGTCTATATAAGTATATAATACGACTAATACGTAGGTATACTTCGAGATAGTATCTATCGCCTCGATTGCCCTGTTTTATAGTATACTATACCCTATATACCTCGTTTAAAGCGTAATACTAGTAAGTTACAAAACTAGCTCTTTAACGAGAAGGTAGACTATAATACCGTAGTACTACGAGCTACTAAGGCAATAACTACGGAGGATATCTCTCTACCTCCCCCGAAGCGGCCTAATATACCTACTAGGGTATCTTCTTAGTCCTAACCCTATACTCTAGTTTAGGACGAACCCGCTCGTTTCTAGGAACAGTCCTTACTCTCTAGCCTACTATCTCTATTATCTCTATCGATAGAAGACAGCGTACGCAGTTTTGGTAAGAGCTAGCCTTAACTAGAGTATAGTACTGCCCTCGACGACCTTTTATCCTAGGACCCGGTCGACTATACTCTAGATAACGAGGATAGAAGAGACGGCGAAGAGGGAGGAGGTAGCGGTAATAGCGGGAATAGAGGAGATAGCGGGGATAGTAGGGACGATATAGCAGAGATATAGGTAGATAGTAGTTAGAAGAGGGTATAGCGTACTAAGTTCCTATAGGACAAAGAACGTCGTCTCGAGCTTATTAGGTTAAAGATATACTCGGAATTTATATATATAAACCGTTATAGGGCGGGTAGATTAAGAGGTAATAAAAAGGGTACTATTATAGCAGCAATTATAAAGGCTGCGAGGCAGATATACCCTAAGCAGACGGACTAACTAGCTCTAGTTTTCTCTTAAGTCAAGACCAAATTTGACTAGTACTAACGTAAGACAACTACTATTAAGCGCCTTCTAGAAGTAAGTAGCTTTAGTATAGATTAGAAGGTTAGTATTGTCTCTATAGCGAATGCTATATAGATAAAGTACCTTAGTATAGACAGTTATAAAGAAGTACGTTAGCTACGTAATAACCCTCTACTAGGCATTAAGTAGTATAGGAATATATAGGGTATAAAGACTACAACCGGCGAGTATACTATTAGCGGTATAGCTATAGTAATAGGTACGGTAAAGGCTAGATAGGATACTAAGCGTAAGCGTACTATTAAGTAGCGTACTATTAAGTACCTAGTCGAGTAGGTACGGGCTGTCTCTACTGCTCTAGAATATAAGGAGATTAAGCCTATCGAGGAACAAGATAAGGTCGATAGTCCTAATACCCTAGGGCTATCTACTCCGGCTCTCTCTAGTATACGAACCCGGCGTACTATAGCTATACCTATTCTATCTAAGAGAGAGATCAAACCTACCTCTAGTACTATAGTACTTAGTAAGAAGATGTATATAGTATTTAAGCTCCTTGCAGATACGAAGATAGAACCTAAGCGTATACTCTTATAGGCTAGGGTATTGATATAGGAGTTTTATAGTTCTCGAGTCTATTAATAGGCCTGTCTACGTACGTTTAATAAGCAACTATAGTATATTGCTACGTATATCGAAGGCAATTTCGAGTATTGCCTTCGGTTTATAGCTATAGTCTAAAGCGATAACAATACTAATAATACCTTTAACCGTAATATAGCTCGTATTGATCTACTACGTAGATAGCGTTAGAGGCAGCTAGCGCGTATCGCGAAAGCAGAGGCTATAGGCAGACGACACTTCGTTATAGTTATTCTAAGAGATAGGGTTCTAAACGTCGACCTAGATACTACGAGGCCTTATAAGATTAGACTCTCTAACTCTAATAAGGAAGATATAGATTAAGAAGAAGAGCGTCGCTCTACCGTAGTACCGGACATTCTACGCCTTCTATAGTAGGCCTCGATATCTTATAGTTCCGTTAATGCTAACTATATTATAGTCTTTATAGGTATATACTTACTACTCTATAAGGTCAAAGAACAATAGGCTATTATATATTATTCTTATTTATAGGGTATTTAACCGTAGGGTTGTTACAATAGTTGAGTATATATATTAACTTTTTTAGGGTATCTTATTCTGTTCTCGAACTTTATAGCTAATAGTAACAAGATAGTCCTTGTAGTCTTGCTATATCTCTAATATAACTCTATTATAGAGCCTATCTATCTTACGTTCCTACTTTGCCTAAGTCGTAGTATTTAAATAGCTTGTTCTATACTAGTTAAATATATTATTACGCTAAGGCATTAATATATCCCTCTCTATCCGACGAAAATCGTTATTGAATAGGTTATTATTAGTATTAGCCTGTCTAATAAAGTTGTATAGGGCTACTAGGGTATAGACTAGTTGAATTTGTATCTATATCGAGTACTTTAGCCGCTTCTCGAGTATATAGAAGCGTATCTTCAGTATACTAAATACTCGCTCTACTATATTACGGAGCGACGAATAGCGTAGGTTAAAGAGCTCCTTCTTATCTATTAGTCGCAAATCGGCCTAAGGAACACTACTATATATAGCGGTAACTACTAGCTATATCTACTCTTTAAGGTAATATCTTATACCCCCTACAAATAGTAGTATAGTTATATCTAAGGAGATATACCTAGCGTCTGCAACGTAGTACTTATTCTTTAGAAGGTTCGTACTAAAGCCCTCTATATCTCTAGTATATCTAAGTACTATAATATTAGCTATAGAGCCCTCCTAACTAGTAAGGATATAGGTAAAGAGTATATTAAAGTCTACTATAGCTAATATATTCTAAGAGAGATCTCCCTTACGGTTTCGATAGGGCTTAGTCTCTCTAGCTATATATACTTTAATATAACTACTATCTAGTGCCCCTATACAATCCTTGAAATATAGGTAGAATTTCAGATTCTTTATAATCCTCTCGGGTATAGTCGTATAATTAGGCTCTCTTATAACTAGCGGGTATATCGAAAGCAGGGCTACTATTATAGTATAGAAACTGTTACTAATTGTCCCTAGAGGCCTTCGGAACAACGCTCGTATAGTACGATAGCTACTGCCTTGTCTAATAATATAAAGAAAGTATAGTACTTTCTCTACTATAGTAAGGGTACGCTCCGCCTCTAACCTATACTCTATTAATTAAAGTAGTAGTAGATCAAATATCCTCCTATTTATATAGAATATATTATATAGCTCTTACCCTCTTTTAAGGAAGTACGCAGTTTGCTATATACTATAATTACTCTCTTTCTATAGTGTCTAAGATAGCTTCTCGTCGTAGTAGGCGATAGCGGCGGCGGTAGTAGCGATAAGGACGGTATATTCGTCGTCGGAGTCTATTATAAGTAATATTTAATAGGGGTTTAATAGTAGATTTATAGAAAATATACGGTAGATACTAAGTAATATAGCTAAATAGCAATATTAGTAGAAACCTGCGGATATATATTATAGGTTACCTAAATAGGCAAGCCGGCAATATACTATAGGTTAGCAACCTATAGTAGCAGGTTGTTAATATACGATAGTAGGTTCGTAGGTTTGAGAATATATAGTATATAGATAGAGCTGCCAAAGCGTTTAATAGATTAAGACTGTATGTATATAATCATTAAACGCGTTTAATACGTAGAAACCAACCTGCGGCAGGTTACCTGGCAGGTCGGCGACACCTTATTGAACAGGCCCTAAGACAGTCCACTGTCTGTAGTGGCAGGTCGATTGTGCCTGTGGAGCGCTCCAATCATGAAATCTATACAGCGTCGCGAGAGCAGGTGTTGGAGGTATAGACCCGCCGGTGACAGCGTCCTTGAATTCCGAACCTTGACACAGTATCGTTGCACTGGTGCGCAACAACCAAAAGAGGTGCCTCAGGTGAGGCGAGCTGAGTACAACACCTGCTTGCTACTAAGATTCAGGATATCCTTTGTCAGCTCCAGTCACAAATCATACCGCTCCACTGCAGAGTGGCAGTCAATACAAGCCATGCCATACATGTAGCCACGACTCCCGACCAAGCACCAATGATTGACATGATCCAAGCAGTGTCCACATTCATTCGGCTACTGCAGTGCCAAATCTCCATACTTTTCAGTGGTATATCTCCCTAACGCCTATGCTCACGCATCATGCTGCCCATCCATCCCACAGGCCGTCTGCCGTCTGCCGTGCGTCTCGTTCGTGGTTCGTGGTCACATGGCCTCGCATCAATTCGCTCCTAGCGCATCTCCTACTCCTCACTTCTTTCCACTCTTCTTGATGCCCTGCGAGCCAGTGTTGAGAGGACCCTTTTTGCCAGATGCAGCCTTTGCTGCCTCCTCGAGCTTCTTCTTGTCTAGTGGTACTCGTCAGATCAGATTGTTCCCTTGTTCCAGACAGCACACTTCGACCACCCACCGGCTAGCATCTTCGCCTTGAAGGCCTTGTCATCCTCGTCCTCCTCGACGACCTTCTTCTTGGCCTTCTTGTTGTGGATTGGGTTCGTTCCGGCTGTTACAGGCGCCGCGATTAGCACAGATGTACCTGGTGGGAGGGGCCCATCTCGAGCGGCAGTCAGGGCATCATACCTCCGGCACCTGAAGGCATCGTGCAGGCAGGCAGGGGGGATTGGTTGATCTGGGCAAGACAGAGGGGTGAGAGTGCGAGGTGAGGTAGTAGGTAAAAAGGTGGTATACAGATATTGAGGGCAAGGCAAGACGGAGAGGCTGAATTAATGCCCGATGATGGTGACCAGGCCCAGGGTGCAAAGTCAGTCCCTTGACTCCCTTCAGTCCCTTGCACGTGGCATCGTGGCGATCCTGCGCTCTCTCGCGATCGGCTTGTCCCTTGCCCATCCATCAATCACGACCGACCGACCTACCTCACATGCACTTGCACTGGTACATCTACATTCACGCCACTACCACCACGAACTAGACGACAACGACGACGACGACATCGATAGCCGCGCAGATACCGGCCAACCAATGTGTCGATCGCATAGACACCCGCCCGAGCTCCCACGAAGAGAGTCTGCCGTCTACCACCACTACCACCACCACCACCACCTCCACCGCCACCATCGCATGCAGGTCACAGCATCCCGATCGCATCCTCCAGTTCCGAGCACAAACTGCAGAAAAAACTGTTCTTTCGGCTGAGGACATCATCTACTCACTGCGCATACCATACCGTACACACGTGGCGCTACCATGCCACCGCCATCACAGACCCAGCATCTTCCGCCAGCACATCCCGCGACGCGACAACGTCCTAAGAGCCCGAATCGCGTACTGGCGGAAGCAGAGGCGCAATGGCTATTCACTGACGAGGAGCTGGCCAATGCGCCATCGATTCAGGACGGGATGAGCGTGGAAGATGAGCGCGATCGACGAGTGAAGGGCATCAATTTCATCGTACAGGTCGGCATCATGCTCAAGCTGCCACAGCTGACCTTGAGCACTGCCAGCATCTTCTTCCAGCGCTTCTTGATGAGAGGGAGCCTGGCGAAAGAGAGGAATGGCACTCCGAAACTTCATCATTTCCAGGCAGCAGCGACAGCCCTGTTTCTCGCAACCAAGGTGGAAGAGAGCTGCAGAAAGATGAAAGAACTGGTGTTGGCGTTCTGCCGAGTGGCGCAAAAGAATCCCAATCTCGTGGTTGATGAGCAGAGCAAAGATTTTTGGAGGTGGAGAGACCTGATACTGCACAATGAAGACCATATGCTGGAAACGCTGTGCTTCGATCTGACTGTAGAGAGTCCCCACAGGCAGCTGTTTGAGATGCTCAAGTTCTATAATGTGGAACACAACAAGAGACTTCGCAATGCAGCCTGGGGATTCGTGACCGACAGTAATAATACGCAACTCTGTCTGCTGGTGAGCAGTCGCACGATTGCTGTAGCAAGCTTATACGCTGCGTGCAAGTTCTGCGAGGTATCCCTACCAGATGATGCTAAGGGACGTCCTTGGTGGGAGCTGCAGCACGTTCGGCTGAAAGAGATCCGGAGGGCTGTCGAGTACATGCTTTCGAATTACGATGGATCTGCAAACAAGGTGGACGGCATTGCAGTGACTGGCGGCTCGGATGGGAACAGTTCTATCTACGCTGGACTTAATACGCCAGCCACCGATGGCGCTAACGACGACTGGAATGTGACTAGAGCTCCTGCTTCTGCTTCACCTTTCGTGCCTCCCGGAAGTGAGGAGAGACCCAGCGACGCGAGCAGTGCAAGCGGGAAACGGGAGCGAGATGTTGAGCAGCCGATCACTAACGGAAACGGTACATCACATGATGAGAACAACTCGAAGCGTCCCAAACTGGAGCCGCATGTGACGAGTGGCGTGGACAACCCGAAACCAATGCACAATGCGATACCCATGGATACGACTGTGGTACCTGACTCAGAAGCACCCGCTGGGAATACAAGCGGAGAGGTAGAGGACATCAAAGACGAGGAAGATGAAGGAATGCGTGTCGACTTTGGCAATAAGCAGGCTGAATCTGATATGGATGCTGCACAGACAGAATCAGAAGGCGTGAAATCAAGCCTAATGTCGACGGAGACTCCGCTACCTCAGTCTGGAGAAGATGATGGAGGCAGAACGAAAGCTCCATCAGTTCACGCCAAAGGCGACGATGCCGAAGGAAGCGAAGAGGGTGAAATATAAGAAGAATGGGCCTGCACTCCGTGTGGAAACCTCAGTGATTCACGCATATGGCTACTGAAGTATTCGAAGTTGCGAACGCTGTCATCGAGCGGAGAGGCGTGATTGCGAGTATCCCGTACTCAAGCGCAGACGCACTGCCACCTAAGTCAGCAGATGTTCACGCCAGCCCGATTCCGATCCCCATTCGCCCTAACGCGAATCTCCACCTGGACAGCCCGGAAAATAGGAAAGAGAAGGAGCAGTTCTCGGCCCTCCATCTCTAGCAGCGCGATTTGCAAGTAGTGCAAAGCGGAGTATCTGATGTGGTATGGCACAGCTGAGTAGTCCTACGTTTCACACAGGACTCTGAGCGGGAAAAGAATCTCTACGCCTGCTCGGAAAGAACAGGGGGAAAGATATTGTTTTTTTGGTTGTTGTATGAAGCGAAACAAGGCATTAAGCGACAGGAGTATGGGTATGGCAGAGGGGGGTTTTTCCCTACACCAACGTTCTGCGCAGCGCATTTTCAACGTCGTGTGTAGCAGCATTTTTGGAGAGGAGAATGGTGCATCCTTCTTTTCTGATTTTGATATTTTGTGGCTTTCTAGATACCCATGGCATGATGGCGTTTTCTTGAGAGAGCGAGAGAGATGAAGAAGAGAGAAAGAAGAGGAGTTACCGAGTTACAGGTATCAATGATGATTAGTCTTCCCAAAGTCCCCTTTCCTTTCTTTTCTCTCCTTTTCTTCTTTTCTCTCCTTTTCTTCCTTTCTCCCTTTCTCTCTCTCTCTCTCTCTCTCTCTCTCTCTCTCTCTCTCTCTCTCTCTCTCTCTCTCTCTAGTCTAATCCTGCTAGATAGATAGATACCTTATATAAGGTAGCTACCTTGATTTCTGTCTATTGAATGGTCTACTACCTACCTCCTATACCCGCAAAACCCGTGTGTATTTCTTTTTCCTTTCTTTTTCCTTTGTTTTTTCCTTTTTTTTTCCTTGTTGGTATTTGGGAGTTTCGTCGGTACCTACATACATACCTACATACCTACATACCTGGTAGGTACATATACTTCTCTCTATCTTGTAGGGATGCATGCCTTTAGTTACATGTACTTGACTTAGATACCTTAAGGTACCTAAGGTAAGATAAGGTACTTGTATCGATTGACATTCTGACAAGCCACAGGGAGAGGGGAGAGAGTTGGAAGAAGTTGATTGTGCCGAGGGAGAGAGAGGAGGGAGGGAGAGAAAAAGGGGCTTGAGGATAGATAGACAAGGTGGATAGGATATGAAGGATGCACTCTTTATCGATCATGTTGCAGTGATAATTATCATAACACACTTCATCCAATTGTTATTTGTTGAAAGAGGAGCTGAGTACTGGTTTTCAATCATCGTTGACCATCTGGTATACACCCCTTTGTGCCTCCATTCGATCCAGAATGCAGGATGCAAAGCACAAACTACAACGCCAAAACTCCACGCTTCCCATGTCAAAAGAACTTCTTCTTCTTCTTCGTCGTCCATCATACACTAACCACCCCGGGAGCCGAGTCTTTGCCCACAATTCACACAATACACGTGGTCCATTACTAACACTGTCACTACTTTCTCTGCTGCCTCGCCAACTCCTCTCTGACACTGCCACCACTGGCTCTCCACCACACATCACCACCCCATCGCAACAGCCTCTCGGCGGCAGAAACGGGTCCATCGACGGCAGGTCTCACATCCAAATAGAAGACCGGCTCACCCGTAGGTTCCGGGGGACCAGAATAATAATCAATCACATATCTCACCTCCTTCTCTCCGCCTTGCTTGGGTTTCCGCCTGACGAACCAATCATGGCGATCGAAAGGCGGGTTGTCTGGGAACTGCTCGGGCCACACTTTGGCCATGAAATTCAACATTCTCGCTTTGGGCGTCATATCTCCTGGTCGACCCTCGAATCGGATGAGTTCTGGTTCATGGGTGAGGAGTTCTGCTTCCCTCCCTCGCACCTTCAACGCCTCCAAACGTGCATGCCTCTCGTATCCTTCCTCTCCTTTGACACAATACTTCCACGCTTCTGCGAGACCAGAGCTGAATCGACCTTCCCAACCTCTGATTTCTTCCCACGCGCCTTCGTTTAAGAAATTGTGCACGGCAACCATGGATTCGACGTGTTCGGCGGGCGTGTCAGTGTAGCCTTTGCGGAGCATGGCGTTGTACATTTGCTGAGGGGAAGGGTATTCCCAGTGACCTTGGCCATCGCCGCGGGGAATAGTGGAGGCTTCGCGATCGAGGGGAAGGGCGATGGACTGTTCGGCGTGTTCGCGGGTGTTGGCGAGATTAGAGGGCATGTAGTTGAGAGGGTTGAGCTTGGAGATGTAGGAGGGTGTCGGGCTCGGTGGAGGAGGTTCCGCAGATGTGGATGGGTTCATGGAAGCAGGTGTCGCCGATGCGCTGGAGTGTTTGACCGGACAGGCGCTGGGGCGATCGCTGGGAGGTGGCGGTGTTGGCGACGATTTCGAGGCGAGTTTGTTGTGCATGGGACATGATGGCTGGATGAATGGGTGGACATATTAGCCTCGTAGTTGGTGTATACCAGCTATGTATCAGAGCCTAGACCTTACTGGAGGTTGCGCATCTAATCGGGATGGCAGAGGATGAGGAGCTGAGGGTAGCGCTGGTGTCGCATCTGCCCAGAACCAGCCCATGTTGACGGTATATCAGTGGTCGAAGCTGTGTGTTGGTGTTATTGTGGTGTGTGTGTATGCGTGTGTGAGAATGGAAGAGTGAAATAAATGTATACAGAGTCTGGTGGCGTGGAAGGGAACTTATTGGAGAATCTTTCCCTGAAGTGGACAATCTGCCTCTAGGGCCACTTCCCATGATGGCGTCGATGTTTGCATGTGTCAGCACGAGGCAAAGAGCTCGCAGGCGTCACCCACCCCCCGGTTTCTTCCGAACTACATCCTGCTAAGTATCTCAGTATTCTACAAGGAGGAGCACAACAAAAGATGCAAGTGAAAAAAGTAATGCATGTGGTGTCTGGAAAATCATCATCATCATCATCAACGCCTTTTGTGGTATCATTGTAACAAGCTCGTTTCTACTCTACATCCATGTGTAAAGCATGGTCCATGACTCCAAGCTGAACATCGAAGCGCATCCATTTGCATGAATGGATCGCTTGCTCGCTCCCAGTGTGCAGTGTCCTGACCTCTCTCAATGTCTGCTCTAGACAGAGACCTTGTGCTGCTGGACCAGACTCTCGCCAGCCTCCTCCTTGGCGTTGCCGTACTTCTTGATACGGATGGCATTGACCATGATGAAGCCGGTGGTGTCGCATGGTGCAAAGTCGCCAATCTCGTCCATGGAGCTCTCGCTGGCGTCGTACAGCTTCTCCGTGTCGGACCAGCGGCCGACGCAGCTGAACATGCCCTTGAATACACGGCAGCGCACGCTACCATTGACCTTCTTCTGCGACGACACGATGCTGTCCTCGAGGAACTCGCGCTCGGGAGAGAAGTACAGGCCGTTGTAGAGGATCTTGGCGTAGTGGAAGGTGACGAACTGGTCACGCAGAGCACGCACCTCGCGGTCCATGACAAGACCCTCGAGGTCGACGTGGGCACCTCGCAGCATAGTCAGACCAGGAGTCTCGTAGCAGCCTCGGGACTTGAGACCAATGAAGCGGTTCTCAACAATGTCGATACGGCCCACACCGTGCTTGCGGGCAATCGCATTGGCAGTGAGAAAGAGCTCGACGGGGTCGGTCACGCTCTTCTTGCCGTCCTCGTACTCTAGCTTCACGGGCAGACCTTTCTCAAAGGTCAAGGTGAAGTCCTCGGGGCTGTCGGGTGCCTTGGTGGGGTCAGCGGTGAGCTTCCACATGTCTGCAGGAGCCTCGGTGTTAGGGTCCTCTAAGATGCCAGCTTCGTAGCTGCAGTGTGCCAGGTTCTCGTCCATGCTCCATGGCTTGCTCTTTGTGCTAGTGACGGGAATGCCCTTCTCTGCGGCGTAGTCGAGCAGATCCTGACGACCCTTGAAGCGCTCGTAGAAGACGGGGTCACGCCATGGAGCAATGACCTTGATGGTGGGCTGGAGAGCGTAGAAGGCGAGTTCGAAGCGGACTTGGTCGTTGCCCTTGCCAGTGCAGCCGTGGGAGACGGCGAAGCAGCCCTCCTTTTGGGCGACTGCCACCTGCGCACGAGCAATGACGGGACGAGCGAGCGACGTTCCGAGAAGGTAGACGTTCTCGTAGATGGCATTGCACGCAATGGCGGGGAAGCAGAGCTCCTCGACAAACTGAATCGCCAATCATGTCAGTGTGTGTGTGTGACTTTTTTTTGGTTTCCCGCCATTCTGCGGTCATATCTCTGGTCTCTTACCTCGCGGCGAATGTCTTCCACGTAGCACTTGGTCGCACCAATCTTGAGTGCCTTTTCCTTTGCAGCCTCAAAGTCCTCCTCCTGGCCCACGTCGGCCATGAAGCAGATCACCTCATAGTCTTGGTCCTGTGCCCACTGTTAGCTTGGACTTGTGAATGACACCACCTTGCAGCAGCAGCCAGCCTTTTCGCTGCTCCATGGTGATGGTGATGTCTGGCTAGATGGACTCACCAACAGGTACTTGAGGATGCAGCTGGTGTCCAGACCGCCAGAGTAGGCCAGACAGACCTTGCCCTTGCTCATGTTTGCTGTGTGGAAAGGGTAGGGAGTGATGGCTGCTAGGTGGTGCAAGAGAGAGAGGTGGGTGGTGGGTGGTGGTAAGTGGATGGTGGTAGTGAGTGAGAGTGACGAGAGTGAGAGCGAGTTCAGTGTGAGAGAGTTTTCTGTAAAACAACTTTTTCGCAAGCTCACCTGCAGGATGGTGACCCATGGTGATCCGTCTGATAAGCCTTATCGTGCATGTAGCGCACCATTGGCACCTCCGATCCCTCCGAGAGCTGGAGGAGTCCTGCTCTCTCCATCTTTCACTCTTCCATCAACCTCAAGTCCACTGTACTCTGCTTGTTCTCACAGGACTCTGCACTCTCCCGGCTCCAGACTTCTTGCAAGAACTCATCACAGGCGTCCTGAGCGTGAAGGCCATCGCGCAGAATGCGAATGGGTGTCGAATGACCATGTTAATCCTGGATGTCTTAGTACTAGGATGGCTTGAATCGCCCTGTGCCGAATACCAGCACCACGCGAGGCCCTTCAAAAACTTGGATCCTGGAGAGCAGCTCCTCGGACGTGTCGCATGTCAATGGGCTGAAGACATTCGAAAACATCTCGCATGCTGGAAAGCACAGCTTGACTCGGAGATGTGGTCTCGTCCGATGGGAGACTGGCCCAGGCGGCGTCGTGATGGCTATAGAACTACGCTTAGCCTCGGCCTTTGCATTGCCCTCGCTGTCCGAGAGGGCTGTCTAATCAGGCCTGTCTATTGAGCTGCCAGCGACAGCAATGTCACTCCTATTGGCCTCCTGGCTGTTCCCACACGCTGTATCAACACGATTCGGCACGCTGTCGTGCTGGGCTCTCCCCGTATCACGCCGCTTTGGCAGCTGCAGATCTCCCGAACATTGTCCTGTAGGTTGAAAGTGGTTCGTGAGAGGCTCAGGCATGCTGTCGAGCGGTGTTGGAGGAAGTCATCGATGTTTGCTGAAGAACAAAGCTCTTCCTGGGACTTGGTATCCTCTTCCCCACGGCCTCTATTGTTGTTTGAGGGGCGATGGTCTGCACAGTAGATGCACTCTGCATAGTGTATCCTTGAGTCCGTGGTTCTACGCACGAATTGATGACCATCAGACATTGTCGTTATCCGACCAGGCTGATGAACACTGTCCTACAGTGCCTTGGATATAAGGTATGCCAGCTGCAGTCTGCTGAACCGCCTTGTGGTTACAAGAGATGCCTTCGCATACCTAAACTACTGTATATGTTGGTGGACGACTTTCTCGCTCGATTTGAATGACAACTACCTAAGATTGATTGTCACTGGCCAAGGTGTGCTGCTTGTAACAGTACAGGTACCTGTACACATACTGTATATAGCTGTCACATGCAATTTCCTTCTGTAGTAATGTGGAGCCCCTGTGATTGCGTCGATATCCCGTACCCTTAGCACTGTATAACAACAACTCTTTTTGTCCTGATCTTCAATTCTTCATCGACAGTCTTCTCAGTCAATCACAATTACACCGTTATTCACCTACATCCGCATCTTCCGCAAGCAGTAATCGTGTTTGACACATATATGTACATACATGTACTTAATATATACCAGAAAGGGATTAATTCGACAGGCTAGTACATATAACTGCCCGGTTCAAGGGCCGAGGCATGACGTCGTCTCTTGATCAGACTTAACAATTGATGTATTCAGGTACATTTCAGGTACATCCGGACATGACAAGTTGTTCCAGTGTTTAACTTGTTCATGTGGTCGCGCCTTTTGTTTTTCCACTCTTATCGTCGGATAATGGCCGAAGCCATTCCCGCCCAGGCAGGCAACGCAAGCCACCACGACACGACACCCTCCTAGCCCTAGGAGGTAGCCTCTGCCTCCGCCTCCTATAGCGGTAGGCGGTAGGCGGTAGGCGGTAGGTATTTCTAATCCATCTCACTAGTCCTCTTGTTGAAACCGACGGCAAGGGACAGTCTACCTCGTTTCCTTCTCTCTCTCTCCTCTCAACATACTTACCATACCTATTCCCTATTATCTCCTACCTGACCTGACCCTACATCCATCTCCCTCCTCCTCCTCTCCCTCTCCCTCCCTCCCTCTCCGCTCTCTCTCCGAAACTAGGTACACTCCGATCGGTCTTCAAGGACAGGACCAGACGTAGACACCACCCATCGCCCACAATGGACTCCCCGTGGGGTCTCGTCAAGCTCATCGCTCCCCAAATCCCGGGTCTATCATATGCTGCAGCCCAACACACCCTCGGCCTCAGCCCGACGGCAAAGTCCTGGGATTTGCGAACGGAAATTACGGTCAAAGTGCTCAAGGACATGATGAGTGGAGGGAGTGGCGGCAAGAGGAAGGCTCCGTCAATCCTAAAGGTGCAGAAGCAGACTATCAAAGAGCCAGGCAAGAAGGGCAAAACTTGGATTGCAGACGCCACAATTCCTCCGCCACCCCAGAGCGATGAGGATGGTAGCGATGTCTTAGGTCTGAGGGATATCGTGTTCAAAGCTATTGACGATATGGCGCCCAACAAGGAGGCGCTGAGATATACCAAGCCAGATCTGGGGGATCTCGAAGTCGAGTGGACAGGCTACAGACCTAATGCGAGCAACGATGAACCCCTACCGAACGTCAGTGAAGAGGAGAAATACAAGCGTCTCATGGCCGAACCAACTCGCACGAGCGAAGCCACGATTCTCTATCTTCACGGCGGAGCATACTATCTATGTGATCCCCGCACACACCGAGCCCTCACATCCCGCCTCGCCAAGGAGTCCCACGGTCGCGTCTGCTCTGTCCGCTACCGTCTCGCCCCTCAAACCGCCTTCCCGGGGCAGCTACTCGATGCCTTTCAAGTATATCTCTCTCTCCTCTACCCACCGCCCGGCTCCATGCACGAAGCCGTGCCGGCCGAAAACATTATCCTCGCAGGCGACTCAGCAGGCGGGAATCTCAGCTTTGCCCTGCTTCAACTCATCCTGCAACTACATCGCACTTCCCAAGGAGTTCCTCTTGTCCGTTTCTATGGAAAAGATGTCCACGTTCCCATTCCCGCAGGTGCCTCGGCAAACTCGGGCTGGTTCGATATCTCCCGTTCCATGCCCAGCATCAAAACCAACGGTAAATACGACTACCTCCCGCCCGCCAACCACGACGACGCCATCTCCATATTTCCTCAAGACTCCGTCTGGCCCACCGACCCTCCCAGAGGCGACATATTCTGTGACTTGAGTCTCCTCGACCATCCCCTCGTATCGGTAGTCCTCGCTTCCGACTGGACCAATTCTCCTCCCCTGTGGATGTGCTGTGGCGATGAGTTGCTCGCAGACGAAGACGTCGTGGTAGCGACACGAGCTGCGAATCAGAATGTCAAAGTCACTTTCGAGTGGTACGAAGCAATGCCCCATTGTTTCGCCATGTTGTTACCCCATCTTGCGAATAGCAAGAGATGTTTAGCCAGCTGGGGCCAGTTTGCTCAGAAATGTACGGTTCAGACCGAGGGGGAGGCTCTACAGACCTGTGGAGTGAGGATCGCTGCCAAGAGTGGAAAGGAAGACGTGGTCGATGTGTATGGTTTGAAGGCGGTGCAGTCGGAAGAGGTGACGAGACTTGTAAAAGAGGCGAAAGATTTGAGATTGAAAGGGTGGGAGAAGGAGGGGAAAGGGATGCCGAAGCCTGCATTGTAGACGGATGAAACCTGGTCTGATCGAGAAATGGGAGGAGTGAAGGAATGAGGAACTGCGAATTTATCAAAGATACCCCCTTTTCTAATATCACTTTGTACATGCTTCTTATATGGCAGACGAACGGCGTTCACTTTTTTCGATCTCAAGTACTTTGGTAACCATGTCAAAGCATAGATACCTATGTGCGTGGTGGCAGTCCCCTAGAAGAAGTGGCAGCCGAATTTCAAATGCTTCAGGTAAAGAAAGGCCCGTGCTCTGTTGTCTCCTTGTTCAAAGTACCGTACGTACCAGGTACAGGTTGGTAATGTATTGGAATCACAGATACCGTACATAGGTATCCTTATACGTATATAAATTCAGTTTCTGTGTTTGACGAAAACGCCATTGAAATCTTACCTACATAGTTGTAGTATATTTCCTTATCCAGTTCAACTACCTACTCGATCGATTTGATATCAGGTAAGGTCAGGTACGGTAGTGATGGATATTCATGCAGCACCCAAGTTCATTCACCCATCCACTCATTCCTACCTACCTACCTAGCCAAGCACATACACATACATATCACATCATCCAACCATCAAATTTCCATCCATGAAACCACACCCACCCAACAATTTTCTTCTGCGTCATCTGCACTTCGGTAGTCTCTCCAACCACCACAATCTACTACTGTTGTCGTCCCCGACTCGTCCCATCCTCATCAGGCCCAGGCAACCCCTCTTCATCTCCCGGCTCGGTATAAGATCCTTGATCCTTTGCTGCTCCACGAGTTCTCGATTCGAGAATGTTGGTTTTGTCGATGTCGAGATCGTCTTTTGCTGTTGTTGGGAGAGGTGAGTGAGTGTGTGAGAGGAAGAGAAGGGAGAGAGGGAGAGAGGGAGAGAAGGGAGAGAAGGAGAGAGAGATAAAACATACCTAATTGAGCATCCGAATCGGCGGTGCTTTCGTCCGTGTATCCTCCTTCTTCAGTAGCGGCTGCTGCTGCTGTGTCATCTTTGACGACGGGGACGTTGTATTCGTTTTGGCCGGGACGGTTGACGTAGGAATTATCCTGGACGTCACCTGCGGGAGCGTCGGTGGAAGACATGTTGTATTTTTTTCCTTTGTTTTTTTTTAAAGGGTGCTTGAGTTGGTGATGTTGTAGTAGTGGCTGCTGTTCGAGCAGGAAGAAGGGGTTTTCTTTTGCGTTTGAGTGATATGGAGGAAAAAGATGCGAAAGCTGCAGAAGACTCCGAGTATGTATAACAATATACTTATATATAAATACAATACCTACCTACTGTCTTGACCTCAGTCAGGTCAGTCATGTCATGAGAGCTTCTACTCACTTTACGTCACTACTGCCGACTCCTCATCACGCTTACCTCCTAGGTATTCGAGGTAGTGCTATTCAGGTCCAGATCAGCTGCCGGCAGAGCATGCTTGTCACACTGACATCAGGAGTAGTGACAACGATTGCGCAGTGCAGCGTGACTAAGGTAGCAGCGAAGATGTGTGGAATCTCGATATCAGGGACGGAGATGGGATCTCGCTTGCTAATGTTCCACTGTTTACACATTCTGGTCAGCCTTGGGAACCAGCTACTGGCTTTTATATCTGGCTTAATCGCGAGTACCTAGAGAGCGTGTCAGCGCGTATGACTGCATTGCAATGAAGAAAGACAAGCAATGATGTCTGCTAAGAAGTGAGAGGAGGGATGTGCAATCTCCAACGAAGCGTCAATGACTTGATTAAACTAGACTAGTGCAGAAGACCAGAGTTTGATAGTGCAAGTAGCGTGCCTCTATCGATTCTAGCGAGATCCTTCTACAGAACCATCTCATAGATCTGGAACTCAATGCAAGCACTAACGTTTTCAGTGTCGTGTTGTTTTCGTGGCGTGTCGACTATAATATGATTCGTACTCCTGAGCCGCCCAGTACGTAGTTATGACAACGCCATTGTTGCGTTGATTGTGCTTGCTGTCAAGAGGCTGGTGTCATGAGTATGCCTGAGCATTGCACGCAACGCCCGTTGCTGCGAGGGCCCGGAATTTGTACAGTATAAAAAGGGTATCATGGCATTGAGCCGCAAAGCACAGAATCTCTGCGTAGCATGCTGGCTGAATAAAGATTTGCAGTAGGACCGGACATGACGTGCCCGATGCAAGCTCGATGGATGTATAGCGAACGACGCAGAGCCTTTAGCGCAATGGTGTGGCGAGCATAGCGCAAAGGACGAGCACAGTCTCGATGGTCGAACAAAAAGAATTGAGCCGGTTCCTGCTTCCACATCATGGAAGGGAGCAATCGCCTGCAAGACGAGAACGGCAACGCAGTGAGCTCAGGCGTCTTCACTAGCAGCCTTCTTGGCCTTGCCCTTGCGTGCCTTCACAGCAGCTTTCTTCTTGGGCGCAGGCTCGGGCTCGTCGGCAGGATCTTCGCCAGCGTCGCTGGATGGCTCGACCTGCGCAGCAGATTTGGCCTTGCGTGGCTTTGCAGCAGCTTTCTTCTTGGGCACAGGCTCGGGCTCGTCGGCAGAACCTTCGCCAGCGTCGCTGGATGGCTCGACCTGCGCAGCAGCTTTGGCCTTGCGTGGCTTCGCAGCAGTCTTCTTCTTGGGCACAGGCTCGGGCTCCTCGGCAGAATCATCACGCACGTCGCTCGATGGCTCGGCCTTTGCAGCAGACTTGGGCTTTCTACCTCTGGACTTCTTGGGTGCAGCTGCCTCGACATCGTCTACGCCCGAGTCTTCAGCCTTGACCTGCTTGGCGGCGGCGGCGGCCTTCTTCTTGGTAGTCTTCTTCGGTGGGGATGGTTTGGCAGAGTCCTCGGCGGAGTCTTCTGATTTGACCTCTTTGGCTGGTGCCTTCTTTCTGGTCGTCTTCTTCACCGGCACAGCCTCATCGTCTGCGGCACTGGCCTTCTTGGCGCGAGACTTTTTGGGCGCAGGCTTCTCATCGGCTTCGTCTTCATCTTCATTTTCTTCCTGCTTACGGGAACGCTTCTTGGAGGGCTTCTCCTCCTCAGCGTCCTCATTTGCCTACTTCAGGTTAGCATGGGTGGCATAATCGAAGTGAAAGTGCGAGTGCCGACCTTGTCTCTTCTCTTCTGCTCTGCCTTGGAGATAAACATGCCCTGTTTGGGGTTATTCGGATTGTAGCGGTTCATCTCCACGTCCTGAGAAGAGTGTCAGTGCTGAAGGTCATGATGATCGAGATGTAGCGCTCCTTACGCCGTTCCAATCGTCATCGTCGACATGACATTCCTCCAGTGCGGTCTTCACCTTCTCCTTGGCGTCATCTGGCAGCTCCTCATAGCCGTCGACGAGCTCGAGGTCTTCATTGGCGGTCTCCCACCAGTTGTGCAAGACAGTGGGCGTCACGCATCCCCTGCGTTCGGTTAGTGATGAAGAACAATGCATAGGTCGCGCACAGCAGTAATCCGCACCAGTGACGCCACTTCCAGCTCTGGTGCTCGTGGATCGTCACCAGAACTCCTTGACGCAGTTCGCCTTTGGCAATCTTGCTCTCCTTGTTCTTGCACGCGGTATTCGAGCAGCCTGCACGGCCGCTGACAGCGACCTCTGTGGTAGTATGAGTGAGATTTGTGTCCATTGGAGACGGGGGAGGGAGGTGTTGACTTTACCAACGCGGTAGCTGCTCATGTTGACGATTCTCGTTGCGACTGGTTCGCGTTCGCGTGTCTGGACGCGTCTCAATGAGGAGGAGAGTGTGTAGGAGAGTGGTATGTGACGACGTGAAGATGGGTAGGAGGGTCACCCCAGGACGGTGTGGTATGGTACGGTATGGTATGGAACGAGTGTGTACACCTGGTATACAGGTATGGAGGAGGATGTGTGAGGTTGAGGTACCTGTAGCTTCCATTGTGTGGTGAAGTGTTTAGTGTTGTATGGACAAGTCGGAGTGCCAAGACTCAGATCTGCAGCAGGGATCGCGTCCATCGCGTCGGGGACGTCATGACACTTTTGCACTTTCTCTTTCTCTTCCTCTCCATTCTTCCTCTTCCTCTCCCTCTCAACATCACCAACAACAACCATATCCTCACGACATCCTCATGTACATATTCCTGCTCCTGCGCCAATGAGAACATGGAGGGTCTATAGAGCACAGTCGATTGCACCGCGGGGACTCCCACCATGGACCGCACGCTCCGCCACGGGCCATGGGAGGCCGCTGTCGACAACATCGGGCGACATACCTCCAGCACAGGACAGCATCCCAGCCAGGAAGCTGAGATCGCCATTGGAAAGACGATATCCGGTCTTTGAGAGATTCTCCCATGTTCCAAGCGATGCTGCTGCCTGGACGGCCCTACTGGATGGTGCATTGCCGCCACATCTCCGCAGCGCCAATGTCACGCCTCCTGCATTGCCATTGAGTGCTGTGGATGTTGCGCAAATATTGCTGGCTGCTCAGTATCCTTGGAAGGGGGGGCATGAGCCAATGGACCTCCTGTACCACCTCGGTATCGAACAGGGTCGATGGAGTGCTGTAGTGTGGTTGATCAAGAAGTTGGTGGATAAGTTTCCCGCTCGCCATGCCGAGGAGTCCAGACTAGCGAGAGTGGGCAGCATTTGGCAAAAAGTGCCAGATCTGTACGAGGCCAGCAGACAGCCTCTGCAATTCGAGGTCGAGGACATGGGATCAGCAACAAATTCCACGCCATCACGATCCTTGGACGACTTACTGGATGGATTACACCCGGTGCACAAAAATCGCGAAGAATCCTTACGTCATGATGCTCTTGGACAAGTCTGGCGCACCTTAGGCGCGATGGTCAAGGCATGTGTCGGAGGGGAGACGAAGCCTGAAGTGTTGGAAATTATAGCATATCTGCATCACCGCGAAGTCATGCCCTTGGCCATTTATCAGGCCGAGCCCAATTCAGACAGCTCTGCAATCCAGCAGCCACCACTGATTCCCTTTCTGTCCTCTCGCATCTTGACCTCGCTCTCAGATGCTGCGTGGCGCGCCCACGAAAAGCTCGTCGTAGATGAAGCACGTGCGAATGGTAGTCAGTATGCTACGTTCCGACCAGAGATACCCGGCAGCGTCTTTCGAGTCCACGTCGCTGGTCTACGCGCTGAGGTATGGATGGAGCTGATTCTCTGGTCGTGCCTGTACGGTGGTTGGATTCGGCAAGGTATGGAGGTACTTCGTTCATTAGTCACGGATAAGACACACCGATGGGCCCCTTTATCATGGACAGACTATCAAAAGTCACTGCCGTCCAACTATGGGACAGAACCTCGAGATTGGAGGTCCTGGGAGTTCCTCTTCAAGACCAAGTCCGCGACGTCGATGGACGACGCACACGCCCCCATCCAATCTGTGGAGCGCACCATTAGCGGAGAAGTTGTCAATGCCTATATCGATGCCGTGTCGTGCACAGTCAATGTCGGCGTAGGTGCACGAGGCGTCAATGTCGAAGATGTGTTGGATGCGCTCCATGACTTCAAGAAGTTCTTGAAATGGCATAAGCAAAGCCTTAGCTTCGGCACATGGAATTCGTTGATGCTCCGCATTCTTGATACCAACAGTATTACGCCCGAACACGACAGTGGGAATGCGCGCAAGGTGGTAGCCATGTCAGATGGGTTCGGAGATGGCCTGTACGATGCCAATACCCAGCATATGCCAGCCTATGTCCAAGATGGCAGCATGGCGATGCAAGGTGTTCTCCACCGAGCACTGTACGGCCAGGTCGCCGCCGGCAGTTTCGAAGGTGCTCTTGCAGTGTTCAAGCAAATCCAGCATCGCGCAGATGTAGACAAGATCAAGTCAGTGGCGAGCTTCTTTGGGCAAGGTTCTCGTATGAGACGCAGCGCGAAGACGTCCCTGTTCCAAACACTAGATCGACAAGACATGTTTACAAGCAATGTTTCCAGCGTCGATTATCCTGCTTTCGAGGTGCAGATTCCGCCCACTGTGCTGGCACGTTTCCTGGACCAAGTGACCCAAGCAAACGCCTTTGAATTCGGCCGCTGGCTACTTCACAAGGCCGATGTTGATGGGCCCGTCATACGACCCACTGCCTATAATGATACGCACCTCCAGCCTGCTCTGATACGCTTTGCTGCTGCCAGTAACGACGAAGCTCTTCTTACAAAGTTCAAGGACAGCCAGTTAGGAAGAGAGTCATTGAGATCAGTCTTCGACAGTCTAGTACAGCGGCGTCAATGGGACGACGCAAGACAAGTGTTGGAACATCTTGCCAGCACGCCAGGGCCCAAGTTTCGCAACGCCAACCTTGCTAATCTGGTGCGCACAATGCTTCTTCAGGTGCCTGCGGCCGATGAGGATAACACGGCAAGCAAACAGCACTTGGAACGCGCAAAGGTCCTTCTGGCTGATATGGTGTCCCTCAAGTTTGAGCCACGCAAACAAGCATCTCCAGATAGGCGTGTCGTGATACAGTCGTTGCTCACTGTTCTGGCAGCTGTCGACTCCACGTGGTTCCACTTCGCATACGGCCTGCGTATAGTGCGAGCTGCGCACCACAAGTTTCGCATGCTGCCAACGGATTTCAACATTATATTAGAAGGCGTGGTCACAACGAAAGGCAGTGCCGCTGGACGTCATCTGCTTGGGATATTTTGGCCGCACTCTGCACGTAGTACATACGATGCACCTATCAAGATGGTAGGGGACAAGGAAATGCAGAAGCGTATGCCTCGTGCTCGACCGGAGATTTTGAACAGCATCCAGCGCCAGCGAATAGTCGTCGCGCCGAGAGATCAACCGGATCTGTACCAGCTCGTGGTGTATGGAGCAATGATCCCAAACACCAACACGATTCTCATCATTCTTCGTAGAGCATTAGAGGAGACCCAGACGTCGCCCGGAATCGCTGCGTCGACATTCCAGCCGAACACAGTCTCTACACATGAACCGGACATCGCTGCTAATGATACGATTGATATGTCACCACGTGGAATAGTCGCATGGGCTGTGCGGCGACTGGCTGAGCTGCCGTATGTGGAAGGAAGCATTATCGAGGAGCTTGAGCAGACCCTGACTGAGTTGGGTATGGACGAGCTACGAGCTGATCTACCCAAGATTTGTGAGGTAGTGGAGACAGAGCTTGACATGGAAATCTTCTGAGCTCGATCCTTTGCCGTAGCGAATTGCGAGGGCGATACCTTGGTAACGGGAAGGGGATGACGGATTGACCCATGAATGCCATTTGAATGTCTGAGAAACGGGCAGTGATGAAGCCAGAGTCAGCATTTCTGTGGTGTATACAGCTGGTATGGCACAGAATAACGTGTACAGCGCGCCCACTTGTACAAATGAATTTTGCAGCAGGCTTCAATGAACAATCACACATCCATTCCGTGATATCCGTGTTGCGACCTTGGACTATCTGACACTCACTCCACATGTTCGTACAGATAGATAGCGTGCGCTCTCGCTTGCGACTTATAACATGTAGTTGACACAACAATGTGCACATGCACCTGCCATCATCGTGTCATGACCATCAATAAATCCAAAGACAGCTTGCACGAGGACACCAATGTTCGTCCAAGACATTCCCTCAAGGCAAAGTCGTAGATAATGGCGAGGCAAAGTATGGGCGACGAGGGGCCTGTAAGAGAAATAATGGGCAGTCATTGGGAAACTCTCGGAGGCTAGGTGTTATGGAAGTGAAAATTCGTCGCATTCGCCAACTCAAACCCACCATTCCACGGCGGTGAGTCAAAGCTACCTGCGACAGCCGCGAAGAACACAGAAAGATACCATTCCCAGTCTACCGTCACGATTCGGGCAAGCCAACTCAACCCTCTGGGAAGAGTCGAAGCCGCAGACTCGAATCATGAGGTCAGTCGCCCTCTATCTCTGTGCGAATCATTACATGGTCCTGTTTGCCAGCCCAATATCCTAGTATTCGAACGCCATGCAGAAAAAGCCGCAGTGTATCTATCCTCTGGCCTGTGAATCGTGCAAAACGTCATTTCATGCTCCGTTAACCATCTCCGCTTCATCAGCCACAGCAGTGATGATGCTGAATTGACCGCCTGAAGTAGCACCGTTGAGCTTCGTGTCTCGCACAGCAGTGTTGTCAATCAGTGTAGCGACAGTTACATCATCGTCTGTGCCTTGACCCGTCTGGTAATTGGCGGAAAATCCCCATGACCACGCCTTTCCTTGTTGCGTAATGACAATGTTGTGATCCGAGGATGCGGTGACGTGGGATACAGGTCCATCAATGGCGTTGACCTTTTGTGGTACTGCGAGGATACGAGGTCGGCCAGCCTCGTCCTTGATGGTTGACCCTTCGGGAAGCTTGGCAATATCCTCTGCGGATATGCCAGTTTGTGCGCCATCGATACGTCCCCAGACGAGACAATCACCCTCTTCCGTCGCAGCGATACTGTGGTGACCACCTCCTTTGATGGTGATGATCTTCTTGCCTTTGAGCGCGGTGACGACCTTTGGATTCATGATGACAGCATCGTCTTGTCCAGCGTTGTCCATGATGCCAGTTTCGCCAAAGTTGTTCAAGCCCCAAGCATAGATGTCTCCATTCTTGGAGATTGCGAAGCTGTGGTACGCGCCAGTCTGAATCGATGTGATGACCTTTTTGGCTCCCTTGGGCAGACCAAACTCGCGAGGGAATAGTGCTTCACTCTTGGTACGCTCGACAATGCGACGGCCGAGCTGATTCTGCTGACCAGATCCCCAAGCAAACACCGCGCCTTTACTGTCCAGCGCCAGTGCGTGGTTGGCGCCTGCTTTGATACTCTTGATGTTCTTCAAGCCAGGTACGAGAACGGGACGAGTTGCGACCTTCACCTCCTGAGTGAAGCCGAAGATTCCGTCGTTGCTGCGGAATGTGCCCCATCCGTAGACCTTACCATCATCAGTCAGGACGAACGATGTCGAGTCTCCTGCGGCGACCTCCACAAATCGCGTGCCCTCTGCGACCTCAGTTTGTGACCAGTCCACCTCGGCAGGAAGCGCCTCTTTTGGATTGAGACCATTATCATCGCCGCTATCTGATTCGCTATCCGAACCAGCTGCATCCATCTCTTTCAATCCGCCATCCCACGTGGTGTCTCTTCCCAGCGTCCCTTGATCGTTCACTCCCCAAGTCAAGATCTTGTTGTCGTGTGTAAGTGCGATGACATGCATACCACCAGCCTCAATTTGCACCACGCCTACTTTGCCCGCAGACAATTCTGGGTTGAGACGCGGTCGCTTCACATCAACGCTCTTCTTCGCCGTACCCAGCCCAAGCTCGCCAGCAGTTCCCTCTCCAAACACGTACACATTCAGCTTCTGTGTCGGGGCTTCGTTGAGAACTGGTCCCTTCGTGAGAAGCTTGACCTTCTTTGCTGGCGCAGCGGTCGTCTCGTCGGCCGTCTTGCGTTTGCGGGAGGTCTTTACAGGAGCGGGGGAAGTCGCTGCAGCATCGTCCTTGGCCTTCTTGGTAGTAGTCTTTTTCGTTGCAGCTAGAGCAGAATGTTAGCAATTGCGCTTATCGATAGAGCAGGGCCGAAAAGACTTGAAAAGACGCGTCGACTTGGCTGATCTCCAGCGCGCAAATCTTGACGCGTCATCTTCTTAATCTTGATCATGACTGAGAAAGCACAGGACATACTCTTTGCCTTTGTAGCAGCCTTCTTTGGCGCGGCTTCATCGTCAGCATCCACCACCTTCTTTGGTCGGCCCTTTGCAGCACCATTGGTCTTCGCCGCGGCAGTCTTCGCAGCTGCTGTCTTGGGCGCGGGTTTTGTGAGCTTGACCTTGGTATTGGCCTTGGGTTTGACAGCGTCATCAGCAGTAGCGGCGGCTTCTTTTGTGGCAGTGTTGCGCCCGGATTTGCGGTTCGCAGGCATGGCTGCGGCGGCAGGTTCTTCTGAAGCCGGCTTCTTGGTCTTGATATACTTGATTTGGGCCACTGTTGCGCGCGTCAGTCAATGGTGCTGTTTGATGGGTGGTGGGTGCAGTTCACTTGTGATGGAGAAGTCGGTGGTCGAGGAATGTATTTGCGCTGCTGCGGATACGACACGTACTGGTGTCACCGGGATCGCGTGTTGGTGGTTCGCGCGTTAAGCGTCGTCTGATGCGAGTCACTGTACAGCGCGCCGAGTTAGCTGCAGTACCGTATGGTACAAGCTCAGCGTGATTTCGTGGTGGTGGTGATGGCAAAAGTGCGGTAGTGAGAAGAAGATTGCAGGTGGAGGAAGAATGGAAGAGTGGAAGCAGAAGCTCGCGTCTCGCCAAGAGTCGTCAGCAAGGATGACCGACCACAGCTTCGGAGTTTGACGGATATATTCACGGGGTGCTACTCCCACATCATCACACTCGTCATAAACGTCGCATACACCATCACTCGCTCTACCTATACATGTACATGTAGCTACTTTGTAAGAGGCAGACAGTCCTCGGCAGTCGATAGAAGTAAATGAGTGTCCCCTGAGAGCCCAGGTATTATCTGCAGTCAAGTCTCTTCGTAGGTATCGAGGTACATGTACTCAGCGACAGAGCGTTGGTATAGCATTCCGAAAAAGACCTATATCCCGCATCTTCACATCCCCATTCTCACATTACTTTACACCTTCCTCGAACCAGACGACACCGAACTCAAGGGTCTATATACTTCCTCGCCAACCTTGTTCACATCAATGACAAGTAAACAAGCAAAGGCGTGGTAGTGTAGTGGTCAACACGTCGGTTCCCCAGAACGGGCTCCAGACGAGCACCTGACGAGGTTACTATCAAGTAAACCACGTTAGAAGTGTGTTTGAGTCGAAGAGTATTGCTGAGAATCCGAAGGCACGAGTTCGAATCTTGTCCGCGCCAGCAAAAATATCATATTGTTTTTCTTTTTAGTGTTCTGATATTGGTGCCGGGAGTAGGATGCAGCCTTTGCAGAGATGAAATTAAGCCGGGTGGAGATATCAGTTATTATGTCTTCGAGAGTGGGATACATGTCTCTTTTGGTAGACGAGGTCACGTCTTTTCTCAGGAGATACGGACTCTCAGCTTCTTTGGTTCCGATGCTAAAGGCTGATGACTGAAGCGTAAGAACATGAGAGTGAGTCGACGCCGTAGCTAGACGAGTAGAGGACTAACACCCGGCCCTGCTTGTATGTTCAGTACTAAAGGACTGCAGATGGTCGATCATAGCGATCACGAGCTGAGCCGAGCTTCCTAGAAGCATTTCCACAGGCTATACCGGAACTGTAGGGTATAATCAGCTCTTCGGTGCAGGCCAAAGCAGGACGCCTCACAGGTAGCAACGCCACCGCTTCCATCGGGCTGAGATTCCAGCCTTGCAGCGACGCAGCGCACCGTATCCTGACGAACTGTATTCGGTATGACATTGTCCGCCGAGACGACTATTACCCTGAATGACATGGAATTTCTAGGAGCCGGGAGAGGGAGAGGAGGGGATGGGGGATGTCTCTGCGTCGACGACAGATGATCGACTGTCGAGTTGGAACAGGACGGGGAACATGAGGTGCCGGTCGGGTTCTTGTTTGCCTCGGGCGCCAACATCTGACGACGGGAGGTCGATACTTACATGTATCGTTGAGATGAAAGATTGAGATCCATGATTGTTAATTAAGTGGCTATCAGCGTCTTCTGGAGTTTTCGCTGTCTCCGCAGATCCAGGTTGGTTTTCCCCGGAAAGTTCCTGGCGGTTGCGATAATGGCTAATGGATTAACCACACTACCTCGATGGTATTTCGGGTGTCTGACTTATTTGTTCTGTGATCAACTGCAAAAATCCTTCGTAGTTACAAGGATTATTCTCATCATTGCAGTCTCACTATCTGGTGTCGAACAATGATATCCGGTAAGAGAACTCGTCGCCACGAACAGCCAAGCTACCGGAATCCAGTCCATCTAGACCGCTGCTATCTCCTCAGAGAACAGGAGGGGAAGGCAAGGGGGGGATGTCTGATGATTCCAAAGCTAAGGTACCAGGTATCTAACTGTTCGGTAACATATGTACCTGTACCTATAAAGTATAGGTAGTACCTAGGTATAGGGTAGTCCGCATGGACAAAATAAGAAAATTAGCGCGATCTTCTAAACGCAGGGCGCGCTAAATCTAGACCTAATCCGTTACTAAGGCACCTTAAAAAGCCCCCGCCGCTATACCTCCCTCCCTCCCTACCTGCCTGCCTGTGTGCTACATCAACAGGTACAGTATTGCCTCCTACACATGTACAAAAGGTATAGTACCTGTATACCGCACTTTTATTGACCCACAATGTAACAAGTATATGGTCAATACAGGTTGAACATCATCAGAAGAACCATGTCTAGCACTACGTCCACTGGCAAAATGCTCAATCCTCGCGACTTTCCTCGCCCACCACTCTGCGAACGAACACCTCGCCATCTCGAGATCAAGTGGAATGGACAGACCATAGCAGACACAAAAGATGCATACTGGGTCCTGGAAACATATCATCCACCAACTTACTATTTGCCGCCATCATCTCTCAAAGTCCAGCTCAGCAAGAACAGTCGTAGCTCGTACTGCGAATGGAAAGGCACCGCAAGTTACTATGACCTCGCGAATCCCAACGACGCGAAGGACGTAGTGAAGAGTCGCATCTGGTCTTATGATAATCCCACTGGCGGCTTCCGGGAGATCAAGGACTATTTGAGCTTCTATGCGGGACCTTGGGATTGTTACGTGGATGGCGAGAAGGTGGTGCCGCAGCCTGGTGACTTTTATGGTGGGTGGACGACGAGCGATATTGATACAAGTCATGTCAAAGGCGCACCAGGCACCAGGCATTGGTGATAGCGCATCTTAAGTGGGTGTCGGAGCTCATTGCAAACATGATTTACGTATATACATCTGGTATTGGGACTCTTGCGTTTTGCTTTTTCGCGTCTTCATTTCCAATTACACCCCAACATCACAGACCTCAACAGCATGGACACTCTAGATCTATGTCTAGGTAGCTGTAGAAAACTGCGAAAGGTTTTCCTGACGTGGAAGTCGACAGCGTTACAGATGAGTAGAATCGTGTGCCAGAGCAGTCTAGCATGTTTGCTATCGCGTTTAGGAGTCGCGCTAAGCATGAGATAGATCAGTCTGGAATTCCCTTGGAACATGAAAACAACGTTGTCGTCGATATGCTTGAAAGCAAAATGCGTGCTTATCAATGCGATGCCTTGTAGCAACGATGTATTCGGGAGTGGCTCCTGCTCTTCATTGTATAAATCCATAGCTGCATTCTTGCAAGTGATGTTCACCATTGTATTTTGTTTACCTTACATGTATGGTGGAGCGTCAGGCAGGTCGGCCCGAAGATCGGCTTTCTCGGGACGGACGGTCCGCAATCGACAAGCGCTGACCAATCTCTATGCCATGATGACATTTCGAGATTCATAGACCACTGCAGAGTCCATTTGCCATCGCAACACAACATTGCCAATCTCCACTACCGCCACACACACCATGGCATTACCTAGCATACCGCGAACATGCGTCTTCGCATTCCGATCAACATCACGACAAGCCTGCACCCGCGCCCATCACACTCCCGCATACCAGCCAACGCCACTATACCTCGATTTCCTCGCTCCCTCATGGCGACCGCGAGCACAGTCCCCACGACAGGTATATCCTAGCTGCCGAAGAGCAGCAGCGCCCCATAGTAGATCATTCACAACGCATTTTCCCCTCCGTGCGACAAAAACAATCCTCAACCCGCGCAAGGACGACTCAGGCAACGAAATGTCCATCACCATAACGCCCCGCGCCGCCCACCGTCTCCAGAAGATCGCAGAAAAGGACTCGAATCCCGACCTAGCACTGCGAGTAGCTGTCGAGAGTGGGGGATGTCATGGATTTCAGTATCTGATGAGTCTGACTTCAGTGAAAGACGCGGATTCGACCGAGGATTCGGTATTCGAGAATGAGGAGAGGGTGGATACAGGTGACCAAGAGGGATACAGGGCAAAGGTGATTATGGACGAACCTAGCTTGGAACTGTTGAAGGGGAGTAGTGTTGATTACACGATGGAGCTGATTGGGAGTCAGTTCAAAGTCGTGGGGATACCTGGGGCAAAGAGTAGTTGCGGATGTGGGACGAGTTTTGATATCGCTGCGTGATGGTATTTGGAAGGAAGGGAAGAGAAGGGAAGGGGGGATCGACTTAAAGATCATCGATCCTGTTCGAAACAGCCACGATGTGGTTCATACACTCGGCACGTTCGCGAGCAGGCAAAGACCTGATATCGTAGGACTTGCCCGTGCGGCATGAAGAGGTCAGCATGTTGCGTTCAGTTGTTGGGAGATGCAGCTGTCCGTCCTGGACTTCACATGGCATGAACGATGTTGATCAAGATGTTGAGCTGTGCTACGTGCACTTCTGAAGCTTGAAGACACCGAACTTCCGATCTAGCGGAGCTACTGAATACATCGGCGACCGAACGGACTACACACTTGGACTACGTGTGTATACTTTGCTTGCGACGTCGCGGTGCTTCATGGTCTGTCGCGAATATATGCAGAGCGTCTAAAAGGCGATCGTCGTGGGGGGACCTGACTTGGAGGTTCGCGAAGGAAGAGCATATCACAATGACTACCTGAGCATACCTATACCTACCTTATTGCTACAGCATGCGTGTACTATGTACACTACCATGTACACTACGACTTCGGCTGGTGCATGGGAAGTGTGGAAAGGAGCCGTCACTCTCATTCGCTAGGCGGTGTGACAGAATGGGCAAGCACTCTAGGCATATTGAAGGAAATGCTCGGCGGCATTGTGCCGGTATGCATCTGAAGTGTCGTGCAGATCATTGGCTCCATATAGTGATATAGTACGGTTATAGTCGCCCAACGCTTCGAGCACAATCGGCGGCAATGACCGTTTGCCGTCAACAAATAATTTTGCCCCACTTCGAATGCGGGCACACTGCAACTGCCCGGCCATCCATCACTTCGACACAACTTCACACCACCACCTCCTTCGACCCTTTCCTCCTCCTCCTCCTCCTCCTGCTCATCCCGTCCTCTTCCTCTCCCACCCACTGCGTGAGGTGCACGACTTTCACTTTTCAAGACACATTGGCTCAGAAGCACAGTCAGCATGAGCGTCAAGACAGTACAGACCAAAGCGTTTGGCGACCAGAAGGTATAGTACCTGATCTTCTCTCTTTTGCTCTTCTAGGTATCCATCATCAGCTGCCATGGACTCAGCTAACCAACGTCCAGCCAGGAACATCAGGGCTGCGGAAGAAGGTCAAGGTGTTTCAGCAAGCTCACTACTCCGAGAACTTCGTCGCTTCGATCCTGCTGTCCATCCCGGAGGGTGTTGAAAACTCCTTCCTCGTCGTAGGCGGAGATGGTCGATACTGGAATCCCGAGGTCACACAGCTGATCGCTAAGATTGGAGCTGCATACGGAGTCAAGAAGCTGTTGATCGGACAGAATGGCATCCTCTCCACGCCTGCTGCTTCTCACTTGATCCGGGTGAAGAAGGCCACCGGTGGTATCTTGCTCACAGCGTCGCACAACCCAGGTGGTCCCGACGAGGACTTTGGCATTAAATACAATTTGACCAATGGAGCTCCTGCACCCGAGAGCGTCACCAACAAAATCTACGAGACATCCAAGACCCTTAGCGAGTACAAAATTGCAGACATCCCCGACATCGACCTCAGCACTATTGGCACCAAGACGTATGGCCCGCTCGAGGTCGAGATTGTGCACAGCACTGAAGACTACGTGAAGATGCTCAAAGACATCTTTGACTTTGACCTGATCAAGAAGTTCCTCAAGGAACACTCCGACTTCAAGATCCTATTCGATGGCCTCAGCGGCGTGACTGGTAATTACGGTGTGGACGTATTTGAGAAAGAGCTTGGACAGAAGGGCAGCACACAAAACTGCGTGCCCAAGCCAGACTTTGGCGGACACCACCCAGATCCCAACCTCGTATATGCAAAGTCGCTGGTCGACCGCGTGGACAAGGAGGGCATTCACTTTGGAGCGGCATCGGACGGCGATGGAGACCGCAACATGATTTATGGAGCGAACTCATTCGTCTCACCCGGTGACTCGCTCGCCATCATTGCGCACTATGCCGATCTGATTCCCTACTTCAAGAAGCAGGGCGTCTACGGTCTCGCCCGATCCATGCCCACATCGGGTGCGGTCGATCTTGTGGCCAAAAAGAAGGGTCTCCAGAGCTACGAAGTGCCGACAGGATGGAAGTTCTTCTGCGGTCTCTTCGATTCCGACAAGATGAACATCTGTGGAGAGGAGTCTTTCGGTACCGGCTCCAACCACATTCGCGAGAAGGATGGTCTCTGGGCTATCGTTGCTTGGCTCAACATCATTGCTGGTGTGGGCGAGCAGACCGGCAGCACACCTTCGATCAACAGCATCCAACACGACTTCTGGAATATTTACGGTCGCACATTCTTCACACGTTACGATTACGAGGGTGTGGACAGCGATGGCGCCAACAAAGTGGTTGCACACGTCAAGGAGCTGATCACCACGCAAAAAGACACATTCGTCGGCAGCACCATCTCAGGCCGCAAGGTTATCGAGGCGGACGACTTCAGCTACACGGACCTCGATGGCAGCGTGAGCAAGAACCAGGGCATCTACGTCAAGTTCGACGACGGCAGCCGCATTGTCGTACGTCTGTCCGGCACTGGCAGCTCTGGCGCCACGATTCGCCTGTATGTGGAGAAGCACGAGTCGGACAAGAGCAAGTACAGCTTGGATGCTCAAGACTATCTCAAGGATAACGTCAAGCTGGCGACGGACCTGTTGAAGCTGCAGGAGTATGTTGGACGTACTGAGCCTGATGTCAAGACATGAAGTCTTCACGTCACTTTATACTACTACTACATGTACCTACCTACAGGCACCTACATTAGGTATCTATTTACCAACCTTGCCAGCAAACTTCCTCCTCGTCCACACATCGCCATGCTCTTCATACTCTTTTCTCGTGACGACCAATGCTTTTAACACATCCTCGTTTTGTGCCAATCGTGCGCCTCCCAGCCACGCATTCTTGACGGGATCTTCCGCCTTTGCCACTCGTACGACATAGCCCTCGTCAATACGCATGCGCAGATCATTTTCGAGGCGTTCGACAAAGCCTGGTAGAAGAGTCGTTCCTCCTACCACGACAATGTTTCCCAGGAAAGATTGCCATAAACCTTTCGGTAAGGCGTGTAAGGTTTGGAGAATAGTGCCGGCGATACCTTCTTGCTGCATACCCAAATCGCTCGGCGTGAAGAGGATTTCAGGGGTGGTGAAGCGCTCATTGCCAATCGGCAAGACCATTTCACTCCAGCCTCCCGCTGCACCTCCAATTCCCAATCTCCTCATTTTGGCGCCTTGGCTAGGATCGTGTGGTCGGGGGAAGCCTCGGAGGAGGCGTTCGTAGTCCGGTAAGACATAATCGACGACCAGACTCGCATCGATGGTTCGGTGGTCTTTTTGCCCGCCTTTCCAGACTCTCTCTAAGCGATCGGAGAAGTCTTGCGCCGAGGGACACACGTAACATGTGTCTTCTTTGATTTCTTGCGAGATCCACTCTTCGCGATGCATGTCCATGGTGCGGGAGAGGAGGGAACGCAGATAGTTGGTGAGAGTTTTGCCACCGATATCCAGACGTCGGCAAGCGGGGTGGAGCGGACGGCCGTGGTATAGAGGGGTGACTGTAGTGTGAGAGTGGCCGGCGTCGACGATCAAGACCGATTGCAGAGGGACGCCATGGGGAAGAAGGGGTGGCGTAGGGGTGGTGGTGGTGGTGGGAAAGGGCGAGGGGGCGTAGGCGTTCAGGGCGGGAGAGATGGTGCGGTAGAGAGCATGAAACTCGAATTCTTCAAAGATGATTTCATCGGCATTCCGGGACAGGACGGTGGGCGCATTGGGGGCTTCGGTGTAGAGGAGGGTGGTGTGGTGAGGATCACAGCGAAAGGGCGATTGCGGGTGGAGCAGAGTGCGCTCCCAGATGGTCTTTTCGGCTTCCCAGCTGACGACGTAGCCTTTCTCGACCGCTCTACGGATCTGCAGCTCGCCAAAGTCGCGGCAGTCGTCGAGTTCCTGGCCAATGTAGGTGAGCTTGTCGCGTTGTGAGCGGGCAATGCAGTTGGCCACAGCATGGCAGTCCTGCACTTTCGGCTCCGATCCGGCCACACTGAAGCCCGCCTTGATCGAGTGTGCGCCGTTGTCGAAGACGAGTGTCCTCTTGCCCAGTCGATCTGCGTGGCCACCTTCGGTCGACGTCTTGCTGGTCACACTGGGCTTGGATTTGGCCATTTCATTTCATTTCATCAATTCATCTCATCATTCCATAATGTTGGTGTTCTAGGTAGGTACCTTAAGGCTTAACTTACCTCCTAGGAGGTAAGGTATGCTGGGTCTTGGCTGAGTCAGGTACCTACTAGTTCTGTATATTTTTTTGTGCTTCCATCATCATTGTTCCACCGTGCTTCTACACAGACAGAGACAACAAACAATGGCCCCTTCTGCAGCCGACAAGAAGACGCTCCAGGATCTGATCCAATCAACCCAGGCACTCCTCCAGCAATTCATCTCCTCTCTCCACTCCATCGAAACCAATCGACTCGACTCTGCTCCCAACCCGCTCCACGTCCTGCGCGACTCGGCGAAACTGCTCAAGGCACACACCACCAAACTCTCCCTTTTGGCCATCAACACGCCCTTTACGCCCTCGGAAATCACCAAGATCCTCCGTGAACTGGCGGGAACATGTCTGCCTGCCATGATGTCTGCGGTGCAGATCTGCGAGCAAGAAAAGTCGACGTGGGGCAGTAGCATGGGCAGAGAAGTGACGAATCGCGTAAGGAGAGTCTTCCGAGAGGTGGAGAATCTGCTCAAGGAACTGAAGAGCATCGCTGGCGGCAACGGCCAAGGAGCAACCAAGGCGCGGGACAGTCTGGCGAGCACGGGAGTCGTCTGGGAGTCGTGCGATGCTCTGATCGAGCTGGAGAGACTAGGCGTTGCGGGCTTAGCAGTGAAGAAGGCGGAAGAGTATCGCGATACTATAAAAGATGCCATTGCAGAGCTGCAGGAATGGAAGGACGACGTGGACGATGCTCTGCTCGACAGTGGCGACGATGGTGTTGATGGAGATGCAGACAGTTTGGACGACATCTTCCACGCTGCAAACAGCTGCCCCAAAGACCGTCCAGAATTGAAGGAGCTCCTCGATGTGGCCACCGGGAAGTTGAAGAAGATTGTGTTCCTCTACACCGCCATTGGAAAGAGACGATTCAAGACATTTGGATCCAAGCCATTGGAAGATTCACGAAGCGTGCAGGACCTCGACCATATCCTCCAAGGTCTGCATGCCCTCCAAGAAGATGTCGACGACATTGCAGCTGGCTTTTACGACCTGGACGAAGACGCGGTGAAGCAAGTGTTGAACAAATGCGTGGCTGATGCACGCGAAATCAGCAACCTCGCACGGCTCGACTGGAGAGCTCAAGAGGACGAATTTACAGCGTGGCGAGACAAGTGGGACGAAGCTCTTGTTGGGTGAAAAGACGCCAGTGATAATTACAATTCCTCTGCTCACTACTACAATCTTTCCGCAATAATGACTTTCAGCAGGTACTGAATGAAGGTCGCGGTACCTTACTTGACCTACAAGGTCGCCAAAGCAGCTCCCACCAATCCAATGACGAGCGCTGTGCCGACCATCCTCATACCCGCCTCGACGCTTGCAGCGCCACCTGTGCTCTGTGCCGGGCCGGAGGCATTGGTGGCATTGTGTCCTGTTTCCATGGATCCCATACCCGACGTAGTATTGGTCATGTTGGCCATCTCCGAATCCGTCATGTTCATATCGTTCTTCGACGTGGCGGAAGGAGTCATATCGGTGTTTGCAGCATATCCAGCAGGCGAGCTGGATGGTGGAGCTTCTGGACCGGTACCACTCGACATGTTCGATGCCGGCCCGGAAGCGGGAGTGGGCAGTTGACCTGCCGCGGCCTTTTCGCAGAGTTGTGGATCTGGAGATGGAGGGTCGAATTTCTCGCCCTTGGCGGCAAAGGCTGCGACGCAGATGCCGTTGGAAATTTTGAGGGTTTCTACATTTCACTTCATCAGCTCCCACTCGTCCATCGCCCGCCATATCGAAGGCATATGGGTTGTGCTGCTGCTGCAGCTGCTGCAGCTGCTGCAGCAAGGCACGGATGATTGATGGATCCCTTCACTCACCAGTCACTTCATCGGGCGTGCAAGTACTTCCACACACGCAAGGGATCAGCGACTTTACGATGTCTTCGGCGCCCGTAGTGCACAGACAGTAGGTGTCTGTCACGGAGCAGCTCGTGGTTCCTGCGGCGGCGACCACGCACTGCAGGGCACATTGCGGGATCTTGCTAATGTCGATGCCCACGGAAGACGAATCCATGGTGCCATCTGCGAGTGCGAGGCTTGCTGCAGCTGCAGCGAAAGTGAGAAAGGCGTGCATTGTGGGAAGGAGAAGAGGAAGATGATGATAACGAGTTGATTAGAGGGAGAGGCAGAAGATGGAATCTTGCTGAGACGGATGTCACGGGCAAGTAGTAGTAGGCACACCGCACACTGGTGCTCTTCAGGAGTAAGTAGGGAAAAGTAAGATGGAGAGGATGAAATGCGCTGGTATAGGTACGTTTCGGTAATAGCAGGTAATAATCATAATCATGATACTGGCCACGATGAAACGTGACGGTACCTAGACAGGTAGTGAACAGTTATTGGACCCATCATCCTTCCATCGTCCAGGCCAGGGCTACCGTTGAAAAATGCAGCACGTATGAAGTATGATGAGAAGCCAGTATGGCTTGGAACAGGAGGACAGAGGATGATGCTGATGATAGGAGGAGTACGACAGTACGAAAGTGCAGGTAATGAGCAGATCTGTATCGGGAAAGGCGCACTAGGAGGAAGCTTCACGTGCGACTGGGAAGGGACTGGGAAGGTCCTGGTAGTGGAGGCTTGTCAGGAGTGGGAAACGGGGAAAGCTGTTCGTCAGGAACTGGGGGGGAGAACCTCTTCCCTGGTGATGGGAGGGAGCGGGAACATGGAGCTTGGGTAGGTAGTATGGACGATGAAGAAGAAAGACTTGGTGAGCTTCTTTTTCTCTTTTTCTCTTTTTCTCTCTTTTCTTTTTTTATTTTTTTTATATATGTATATATATCTCTCTCTCTCGCTCACACGGGGAGAGCCTCGGAGGGTTGTCGTCTCAGAGGGTCCCCTCCCTGATGGTGAAGTATTCGTCCCGTCACATAGCCCGGCGGAAGATGGCTTGCCACAACCTGGAAACGAGAAGGTATTGATCTTTAAATGTCCATCTCATCAATTCAGAATGAACATGGCCATCCCTCGATTTCCTCATCATGTCATGATCATAATGCTGAGGGATACAGCCGTCAGAAAGCGTCACGAGCATGGCTTGGAGCCTTCTTGCTTCTCCCCGGTTCCTGGAATAGGGCCCGGGCTTACTTTTGAGAAACACGTGCCAAGGCTGGGATGACAGAAGTCTGTGTTGTCTGTGTACCAGGTAGAGTGGTAGAGACAATGGATGTCAGACCCGAGGGCCGACAGTACCTTACCAGGCCCTTACCTCCATCATCCCCGCCATGTACACGACATGGTATTACCTCCCCTCGTCACCTCACACACGCGTCGGCACGCCACGCCACGCCACGCCACGCTGTCTGACGAGTACATTGTCTGTCTGTCTGTTTCCGTACTTGTACAACACGACTACTTGGTCAGGATCGATGACATGAGAGAGAGAGAGAAGAGAGAGAAGAGAGAGAGGAGAGAGAGGAGAGAGAACAGGAGAAAGAAAGTTTCCATGTTGACAGTATACTCTAGGCTGTGCAACCAACAGGCGCCGGGGATCCCCTTCACTACGAAGATTTGCCGCAGCACGGAGCCGAATATGGCTGGCGATGGCTGGCGGGGAGACGGTAGGCTTATTTACTACAGTCTACTAGTACTAGGAGGGAGGAGGTATGAGGATGAGGACGAGGGAGGACTGGGAAGACTGGGAGGACTGGGAGGTAGGCGGAGAGGATCCGACGAGGAAGAAACGTCACTCGCTCGATCAGTACTGACTTCCGCGCGTCGATACCAACTTAGCAACGGGGGCAAATGGGAAAATGGGCAAATGGGCAAATGGGCAAATGGGCTAATGGGCATCAACGTGTTGACCATTGCCAATGCCAATGTCCGCGGTCCTCGCCAAGCAATAACGAAAGTGACGTTGACACTCATAGGTAAGGTAAGGTAGGTATTCATCGTTTTTTATATTAGGTAGGGTCAGGTACTCTCCCTCTCTCACTGAGAAGCATGCCATTACTCCCGCTTCGACAGTACCGTAGGAGGTACACCACGATATCTCTCGCCATGGCAACAACAGCATGAACAAACACACTTGACACCGCATGCAAATTGAACGGCTGACTGCGTGTGACAGTCGTGAGCCCGCCCCCGTTGTGCAACCCATTCTAGTCACCTGCCGTTGAGCTGCAAACAGCGTGTCCCAGTTATCCATCCAGCCATCCAGCCATCCATCCTGGATATCCATTATCTATTCTTCGCTGCCCTCCCGCCTTGTATGATGGTCTCGCAACATACTGCATCTTCTACTCTATTTCTAGATGTGGACGAACAAGAAAATGCACCAGGCACCAGAAGCACCAGACGACCACGACGGAGTGTGCAAGATGTGCCTCCCCATGTCAAAATCAAAATCAAAATCCTTTCTCCACAGACTTCTCCAGCGAGATTCATGGAGCGAGGGCAAGGACAACAACAACAACAACAACAACAACAAGGAAAAGCAAGAACTGCCAGGCAATCCCCCACCATCTTGGAACCACCACCACCATCATCGTCATCATCGTCATCAACAACAACAACAACAACAACAACAACCTCAACCTCAACAACATCAACAACAACAACAACCTCGTGCTTCGGCGCACCACCACCGGCATCGTCGCAGCCTCAGCAAAACCCTCCAAGATGTCATCAAAATCCAAGCTCCGCAAGAGTACTTCCAGTCCCAGCAACGTCTCTCCGGCCGTCTCTCCCGTCTGCCCAGCGTCAGAGGCATCTCCCGAACACCGAGCGTGCACAATCACCCACGAGTCTCTCGACCCCCGAGTATGGTTCGGATCCCCCGCCCCACCAGCCTTCGAATCTCCTCGTCTCGTCCGCCCAGTTGGCATCGCATTTCGAGACCTCCGAGTATCGTAGTGCGATACTCCGACACGGAGACGGCCACAGCAGTCATCAATCGGTCCGATGTGGCCATTATCGACCACACCAGGAGGGAACAGTCGGAGTCGCCTCCGATGCCGCTGCTCAGAGGCACGAGGAGCAATGGCTCGTGGGATGGCCGGAGGAGAAGCAATTGAAGAGGAGAAGGAGGAGGAGGAGGAGCAGGAGTAGGAGTAGGAGCAGGACTAGAAGTGGGAAAGGGTCTGATAGCAGTCATGTGGATGTGCTCGTGTGCGATGGGGATCTGGAGCAGGAGAGTGGTGGTATGGAATGTGGACAGCGTGATGGGCTGCCGTTAGAAGATGTGTTGGAGCTGATCTTGGCATTGATTCCGACCAAGGACGAGAGGCCGATGATCAATGCATGACGGATGTGATTGGTCCATGGCGATTTCTTTCGCCCGCCTTTCCTTTTTTTTTCCCTCTTTTTCTTTTGTGATGATGTGCTGCAGATGAAATGGATATGGGGCCTTTGGCTATCAATGACTGGGGTGGTGCTCAAAACATGCGGATCTGTACTTTGTCTTAGGAAATGGGAACCTACAGTATGTGCTGAATATAATACATGAGACTATGACAGAAGGATTTCAGAAAGATGGCCCTGCATCGCCTCCTGCTGTGATTGATTATGATGCCCATGATCTTCGCCGGAGAACGATTGGAATACATTCTGCCACTTTGATATATGGTGGACTAACGAATCAGCGGAAGTTGGAGCAGCAGTCGAATGAGGAAACATGTAAGTTTTTCGTGCTTGAAGTAAAGTGGGGTGGAGTGGATCAGGTGAGGAAGGCTAATGTGACGACTCGGGAAGCAAGCAAAGAAGTCGACTATATGTATACCAAGCGGCGATTGACCATCTGGGAGGTTATGGATATAGTCTGCAAACCGTGCGAGCGCTTTTCTGTTGATGAAATGGACACTACTACAATCTCTGACTCCCTCGGACAATGGATCAAAAAAGAGAACTGACCATGTGTGCATAGATGAGAAGCGCGAGACGTTCGGAACTCCCGAATCTGGTACCTCGCCTACTACTATACTTAATACTTGAGAGCTGGAACACGATATCACACATTTCCACTGCACCCCTCTCCATCATCCATCTCCTCGACGATGGGTCGTCCTTCTTGCTGCTGTTGCTGCTGCTGCTGCATCCCCCGAGCAACCTCTGCAACCATCTCTCCGAAACGCCTCTGATTCTCTACACACTCTCTCCCCAATGCCTTCACTAGCTTCACTCCACCCTGTCTCACTTCTTCCCTCGCATGTCCGCACATTTTCCTGATTGCTGGTGCTGTATACTCGTATGCGCCAATCTCCTCGCGAATGGCGATCGAAGGACGAGAGAGCTGAATGAGGAGACCGGTGATGGAGTGTAGGGTATCCGCTGTATCCGGTGATGGAGAAGGAGGCGAAGTAGATGGGTTGCTGTTGTTGGGAGTGGAAAGGGATTCGGGCAGGGAGACGACAATGTCGAGTAGGTCGTAGGGGATACTTTCTGTGTGAGAAATGATGGCATGAGGAGATGAAAAAACATCCGGATTTCCATTCGGAGACGCTTGCTGTTGCTGTTGTTGTTGGGTCGTCCAGAGCATGTTTCCCAGAATTTGAGCTGCTGCGTTAAACAGCTGAGAGGAAGCTGAGAGGCCTTGAAATTTCTCGGGGTAACACCTATCTGCAGTCCTTGTGTGCTCGCTACTATTCCCACGAATACGTCGAGCAGTATCGGCAGCTGCATGGATGACATCTGTTAATTGTGTGATTACTTCGCTGTTGTGGGAATATGTCGTCGCAAACGCAGGGATTGCGGCCATATCCGAGAGACACCACACCAGACTGGCTTGTAGGGGAATCATCAGTTTGCGATCCTCTTCTGCTTCCTCTCCTCCTTCTGCCTCTCGAGGGATTTGTGAAATCAACTTCTCCTGCCGCTCTAATAGCTGCCAAACTTGTGGAAAAAGTTTGTTGGAGATGATTTGTTTCTGAATCTCTTCATCCCGCAGAAATACCAAAATTGTCTCGGAAAGCGTCGCAAAGGTTTCGATGTCGTGGCTCCAGGGCTTGACGTAATCATTTTCAGCTGTATTCCGGATCGAGTGGAGGTTGAGGAGAGCCGAGAGAACGTCGTCTGGCAGTGATGAGAGCGGTGGCGACATTTCGGCCTCTTTCGTTGTCGTTGTTTTCTGTCCACTAACTTCAAACAAGACGTTGATCGCGCCATCGAGTTCCCCATCATCCAGGCCTTTTCCACACACTTCGTTCAGAAAGCGAATCAGGCCCCAATGGACTTTCTCCTCATAGCAGATTCTCTGGCTGACTTCATGTTGGTGACAAATGTTGTTCAACACTTTGGTCGTTAACAATCGTATGGAGAAATCGTTCTGTGATGATGATAGATATGCCGAGGCCCAGGGGAAGAAAGCAGCGGTCGTGGAGGAACAGAGGATATCTCTCGCCGTGTGATTGTCATTGTTGGTGCAGGTGTTGGCGATACACCGCAGCGCGGAGTCTGCGATGACTGCCGATGTTTCCTGGTCGGTGTCGGGGAGCGTTGAGGATGCAGAAGAGTGAATATAGAGCAGAGAAGTGAGGGTGTTCAGGAGAATGGGCTGCGAGAGCTGTTGACGTGTGGACTCGGATTTCTTGCTGGATTCTGCGAGGCTGCGGAGTGCTATGGCCGTTTCCGAGAAGTTGCTAGGGCCAGCGTCGTTAATGGACGATATTGCTTGAAATGCGAGAGACACGCTTGTCATCTCTCCTCCTCCTTCCGCTTCTACGCCTGACATTATTGTAATAGACGGGGAAGATGACGCCGCAGAATCAGAATCAGCCCTCGCATTCGATCGTGAAGTCCCACATGTGTTATGGAGCCTCTTGAACGGGTTAGCGTAGATTAGTCATCACTGAAAATATGCGCCAAGACCACTGTGACATAGAAAAGCGAAAATAACGCGTTACGCATTGGACGACAGTGAAGGGTACCTTACCTAGAAGTCAGCAATTGGAGAAGCAGTCGGTAATACTTCCTTGACCCAATTGGAAAGACGGCTACTGTACTACACAAAGAGCAATGTCATTTGGCCCCAGACCCGCCAGCACTGCTGGCGGGCGAGGACCCCCTGACCTACCTATGACCAACACTTGAGCCCACCCATCTCACCCATATCAAGGTCTGGGGAGCAGCGCGAGAACGGGGTCCAGGAGGAGTGACGAGAAAGTCCTGCATCGACGTCGCATCTACTGCTGACACTCACACCGCCCGTCTACCATTCCTAAAAGGGTTAATGTTGAAGTCACAGGACTAGGGCGGTTGTTGGTACAGGAGCAAGCATATTGGCAATGGAGGACGAACGAGTACCAGGCTTGCAGATGCGCAGAACAGAGAAGGTTACAGACGGTCCGTGTAGAGAGGGGACGATGATTGGACCTTTAAAAGGCATACCATCAAAGTGCGAAGTGAGGGAGTAAGGGAGTGAAGGGAGTGCGACTGGATCTGGTCTCCTCGATGCTCGCAGTCCCTCTTCGGAAGTGAGAACCGAAGTCGGATTACACATCCGTCGATCGCATTGATTGTACCTAATTTGTTGGTCCTCTCCATGACATAATGGCACGTCGGTGGTCTGACAGGAACATGCTCTCGGATGGGGGGCGGGATCCCGTTCATCATGTACACTCCGCCCGCTCTCCCTCCGCGAGGAGTCTAGAAGAAGGTGGCTCTTCGGGAACAAGACGGTTGTTGTTGGCCGGGAGGGACCAGCCATTGCGATTGGACACGTTTGCACGCCAATGACGCACTGTACCTGACAGCTCCAGCACTGCAGTCCACTATACACCTAGGTACGCTTCATTCGATGTCCACGATTAATCAGCTTTCTGCCGTCCTCGAAACACTTTGTTCACTAGTGGAGGATAATGGCGTTTCACCGCCAGGGTGGGCAAAAAGGGAGGGAAAAAAAAGTCATACAAGAAGAGCACTGCATGCAAGCCAAACTTACCTACCTATTTAAATGCCGTCTCTACCTACTGACTACTGCTTCATCTTCACTTCCCTTTTGTACCACTCACAACCACAACCACAACCATACCTGTAATCACCGTCACAATCCCAACTATAACACAGTCGAACAATACCACTTTCGATCGACAACAGCACAAATCACATATCGAATCCCAAAATGGCAAGCGTCATCAAAGACGAGAACCGGGCACTGCCCAAAGGCTCTCTCATCCTCGTCACGGGAGCTTCTGGCTACATTGGCTCACATGTAATCAATGAAGCCCTCGCAGCTGGATACAAAGTCCGTGGCACGGCCAGAAGCGAGGAAAAGGCTGAAAACACCAAGAAGATTTTCAACAACCACCCCAACTACTCGACGGCCATTGCAGCCGACTTCCAGACCGATGGTGCCTTTGATGAGGCAGTCAAAGGCGTCGATGCCGTGATCCACGTTGCTTCAGACACCACCTTTGGCACCGATCCCAACAAGGTCATCACTCCCACGAAAGCGGGAGTGCTCTCCATTCTCAAATCAGCTGCAAAGGAACCCTCCGTCAAGCGATTCGTCCTGACCTCATCCTCCGCTGCCGTGCTTCTCCCCAAGTTGAACAAGGAACTCACCGTGAGCAAGGACGATTGGAACCAAGAGGCGATCGATCTCGCCTGGGCACCGCCTCCATATGGCGATGACCGCGCCTACCCAGTATATGCTGCATCGAAAGCAGAAGGTGAGAAGGCCATGTGGCAATTCGTGAAGGAACAGAAGCCATCATTCATCGCCAATGCCATCCTCCCCAACTTCAACATGGGCAAAATCTTGCCAGGAGGAAGTCCGGGGGCAACAGGTGGTGCCATTCCCGATCTGTACAACGGCAAGCTCTCTCCGATTGGTCCTCGTAAGTTCACCTCGTTCCATCCTCCTCTTCACATATCCCGATCTTCGAGGCAGTATGCTAACCTGAGGAAAGAATACATGATTGATGTGGTGGACGATGCTCGTCTCCACCTCATTGCAGCAGCCCTCGATCCCAGCATCGAGAATGAGCGCATCTTTGGCTTCAACGTCGCTTTCAACTTTGGTGACATTATTGCCATCATCAAGAAGCACTATCCGGACGCGAAGAATGTAGCCAAGACGCCTGAGAACGAGGGCCGCGATCTCAGCAAAGTGCCAAACGAGCTCGGCGCAGAGCTACTGAAGAAGTGGTATGGGCAGGATGGGTACAAGTCACTCGAGCAGACTGTGCTTGAGAATTTAGAGGGCCAGATCTGAGAAAAGCAGCTTTCCATCTGTCTCACGGCTAGAATAATGCGGCTCAGCAGACGATGTTTATATATGACTTGGTCTAAAGGGCTTCACGACGTTGATGCCAACACACATTATATAACGATTGTACGATAAATTACAATAAACAGATTCGACTCATGATTGTTTACATGTAATATTCTATATTGCAACTAGTAAATAGACTGCTCTCTATTGACTATTATATACAATATTTTCTTATAGGTATAAATACGTCCTACGGGCTTGCTTGTAGGTAGTACGGAAATCTCGTACGCAGCGGTCTAGATAGATTTAAAGAACTTGAATATGAAATATACTAAGTTTATAATAAGCAGGCTTGGCAAATTAGAGAGAAAACATATTGCTTAGTTCAAGGGTATATATTACTATTATCTAGGAGTATTTCCTTATATATATAAAACCTAGAATGTCTTTTCTTACATATTGTTAACGTTCAACCCTTTAGAGAATCTAGCAGATTTCGCTAAGTAAAAAGAAACACTCTAGAGACTTACTAGTAGCTATAGAACTATAAGGCTACTGCTTGATAATCAAGTAATAGCTAGGAGAAGCGCTTAGATACAAGGAAGCTTATAGCTCGATAAAACTGTATTCGGAACCGTCTCTACAAGCCTTATCGACCTTAAAAATCGAATTCTTAATCTAGAGCGCCCGTGTTCTACAGTAGTCTAAAAGGCTACAATTAAAGGCGTTTTAGCGGTATTCAAGCTTAAGAAGTAGTGCCTATTAGAAAAGTAATATACCCTTAGGTAGGGACTTTAAAACCTGCGAAAGTAGGGTTCTCGAGGCGTCCTCTCTCTCGCGAAAGAGAAAGAGCTATAAACGTTTGTACGCCGATAGGGCTAAAAGATTTATATAATTCAGGCCCTTAGAATAGATGCGTAGTTAGCTTGCTAAAAGGAGCTGCTATAGCATCAGGTATAGAAGTCAGCACTCTACTTTCAATCTCTAATAAGTAGACGGCTAAAGAGGTATAGTCAAAAGGCGGAGTTATATAGTTATAGAACTGTTAGAAGGACTTAGAAACACTTACTCCTAGATCGTATAGGTACGAGTCGCTTTAGGGACTTAATATATTTATTCTGCCTAAAAGAAGAAACAAGAACTCTATAAAAGGCGAGATTTATTACCTCGTTATATAGTTCTAAGTATGTTAGAGCTAAACTGTCTTAGCCTTCGATACTGTATCTCGGTATTACTCTTAGATTCTATAGCTAAAGCTCTACTACTACTAAGCTATCCCTAATAGCGGCCTAAAGGGGTACTATCGCTTATCTTCTATCTATAGATAAGAGGACTGCGTATACTCTTAGTAATTAGTATACACCGAGTTTGTTGCTATAGCCGTCGCTAGTAGGTCTTGAAATATTGATCTTTAGCTTCTTAGACTAAAGTCTTAGGGTGACCTATGCTCTAGGGCGACCTACGCTCTAGGGCGACCTACGCTCTAGGGCGACCTACGCTCTAGGGCGACCTACGCTCTAGGGCGACCCTGCCGTCTAAGCAAACCTGACTGGTTACGTATCTTATAGTAGTAACGTAATATGTAGCGGTTATATCGGTTACGTACTATCTAGAGGTTACGTGGTATCTACAGCTTACGCAGTATCTAGAGGTTACGTAGTATCTAGAGGTTATATGCCCGACTAATCTAAACATAGCTAGAGGATAGCCCTAACGTAAGGTTAAGAAATATGATTCTAGAGAAGACTCCAGACATCTCTAGAGATAAATACATACTACTTGCTAGAATAAATTTCTAGAGAGAATGATAGAACACTTTCTAGAGTATATAATTCTAGAATAAGGTCTAGGAACCTATAGAAAGAAATAGAGTGAGCTATCTTTGAATCTATTGCTATAAGGTGGTTCTATATACCTTGCTTCATTATATAGAGCCTGAAATATAAGAGAGAGGCTTTCCTTGCAACATAATTAGGATTCCACTACTGAATATATAAAACTTCATCTCTACTAAAAGCTGAATATCCTTCCCCAATCCAATAACTGATATTATAATTAGCCTAAGTAAGCGTGTCTTCATTATTGTATAGGGTCTCAATTGGGTATAGGTCTAGTAAACTAGTAAGGGCATCTAAAGACTTGATATTCTTAAGCTTTAATTAATCTAGCAACAATCTTTCTTGCTTTCTAATAGATACTAACGTTATCTTCTACAATGAATACTTCCTTATAAGGGTATAGGGGGGTCATTATAAACGTCGGGCTAATAAATTTTAAACGTCGGGCCCAAAGTTTGCCTTAGGCCGCATTATGTACCTAAGGCAGAATATTCGTATGTTACCTGCTTCTATAACGAGAGCGACAAGACAAGACAAGACGAGCGCGACGAGACAAGACGAGACGAGCGCGACGAGACGAGACGAGACGAGACGAGCGCAACGAGACGAGACGAGACGAGACGAGACCGACGAGATATAACAAGATATAACGAGACCGACGAGATACGACGAGACCGACGAGACGCGACGCGACGAGAGCGACGCAACGTAACGCAACGCAACGAGAGCGACGAGAGCGACGAGAGGAATAAGAGCAACGAGAGGAACGAGACGCAAAATACCTACCTAGAAAGGAGAGAGAGAGAGAGATAGAATACCTAAGAGAAATAGTTTGAGATATCTTCTGCCTAAGGCATATTATGCCTAAGGCAAACTTTGGGCCCGACGTTTAAAATTTATTGGCCCGACGTTTATAAAGGCCCGTATAGGGCTTAGACTTTATAATAGTACCTAGACTTAGAAGGTATAAAACACTGAATCTAACCCCCTATTTTCTTTAATCTTGAACAATGTCTCTATAGTAATATTTTTTTCCCTACCTTTCCTTTATCTAGGAGGTAGAGACGTATTCTAAGTATCAATACTAGTTCTAGTTTCTTAGAGAAGCTCGACTTTTAATGCCTAAACTCGCCAATTTATTTGGGAGTCTATCTCTGAATGTACCCTAGCTCAATCTAATACTAATTCTATGGTTATATTATCCAATTCAGGGCATTGATAAATGGCAGGCGTAGAAATTCGGCAATCTGGTGCCAAGCCTCGGAACGTTACGTGTCCCTACGACACTTTAACATTTACCTGCTAAAATATACATACATACATATACTTCTGATATATAAACTACACTATCTCTATCTTAATATAGAGACACTTAATATAACGCTTGCGCGCGCTAACAGATACCGAGCTTAATAAAAATATTAACAGACTCTTCGACGAGAGCAATACTGTAGAGCGCCGCTACAGAGGTAGAAAATCTATTAACTAGCCTAGCAGCGACTTATCTAGTAGTAACCGACTTAGTACCGGAAGTAAGACTAGGCTAATTATAGGCTAGAGAAAAAGTCCTTAGCTAACTATATAGTAATTAGATTATTATAGAGGAAGGCCTCTACTAGAAGAAGGCGAAGGCTCTAGCGAAGGTTCTCTTTTAATAGGAGATCTTTCTCTAGGTTACGATAATTCGTAGTATATATCTGCTTCTTGAATGCCTAGTGTTTATCCTCTCTAATTAAGACATTAATATTAATAGGAAGCCCGTACTCCTCTATAGTAGACGAAAAATAGATGGCAATATATATGTTCGGTTTCTTTATATCGCTTATGTCTGTATTTATTAATTAAGACAGCGTAAGTAGTAGTTACTAGAGATTAGTCCTATAACTATATACGATAATATGTATATCAGCTCTGCAAATTCTACTAACTAAAGTGCTTATTAGTAAGGTATTACTCCTTACCGCTACTATATACTAGCTATAGATATAACCTACTAGGTCGGTACTTATTATAGTAGCTAATATATCTAACAAATGTTTTCGGATATAGTGCTTCTATAGCTAACAGCGCAGAAGAATAGGAATAACGTTTAACTAGCGAGTATACTTAGAATTACATAGCTCTTAAGATAGTAAAGGGGGCCTTAAACTCGTAGCTAAATTAAAGGGCACGGCTAAACCCGTAGAAGAGCTGTATACTCCTTAGTAGCCTTCGGTATATAAACAGCCTCGAGGAGTAGTTTATATAGTATTCTAGTTTATATAGTATTCGTACTAGGCCCTAGAATTTGGAATAAGTAGGATCCCTAGGCCTAGATATAATAATATCGAGTATAGGAGCTATAACTTAATATGTATTAGGACTAGGAACTAGTCCCTAGCATATAGCGAAATTATTACAGGCTTTCTTTATAATATTGAAGATAGTGTCTATATCGTAGCGTTAATATATTATAGTATTATAATATCGGCCTTTATAGAAGATATTACAGTCTAGTATACTATAGCTAGTGCTATTGATATAGTAACTACGGTATCCTAGGTTAGCCCTCTATATCTTTATTCCCGAGTTCTTCTATTGCTATAGTATATTACTAAGGAAAGCGAGAGTAAATGCTACAAGTTTTACCTTTTAACTATTAGGTATATCAACCTCTATACCTTAGTTAAGAAAGGTTGTTCCTTTCCTACTAATCGCCCTTACGATATCTACGAAATTAGATTTATACAGACTAAGCGTAACTAGAGAAAACATTGGCCCGGTGGGCCCTACTATAACAACCGAGGCCTACTAATATATAGTAAAATTCTATTAAGACCGGTAGGTATTACTAGGCCAAAACAATTAATAAATATAAGTAGTAGTAAGGAGATAGTATTGTAATCCCTAGATAATAGGAGGCTAAGGCCGAGTTAGGCCGAGGGTTAAGTAAGTAAGAGATGTAATAGAACTCGTATAGGTCAATATCGGGTATAACCAGTGCTATACAGCTATTAATCTCTATATTAGAGATAGACATAGATTTTTTATAGTAGTATTAGTACTAACAGAGATTTCTTATAATAGTATTAGTAGTACTCAAGTATAAATAGATACAGATGCTGCTTTAAGAATTGGTCTATACCTTCCAAATTACAACAGATAATCGTCCTACCTATACCTATAGTTAATTAGTAGAGTATCTCTAAGAAGCCTTAGCTATACCTAGCAATTTCTAGTTCTACGCGGACTAGGTTACTTAGATAGAGTAGAGTAACTAATATATACTCGGATATAATTTCGATAATCTAACGAAGGAAGAGTCTACTACTTAGTCAGTAATTTAGAGCTATACTATTTACCTTCTCGTTTCAAAGGTATAGTCTAGTATGACATTAATGTGGTCTTTAATCTAATACTTATAATAGAAGAAGACGTTATTCTATAAGAGTACTATCTTTTAAGGAAGAAGAGGTAGCTCGAATTTGTATTACGTATTAGAGGACTAAAACACTTCTTTTAGACGACAATAGTACCCTAGGCAAACGGAAAGGTCCTACAGAAGTCCTGGCCGACTATAAGAATACGTCTAGTATATAGTATAGAGTACGTTGAACAACCTCTTATATACCTAGCAGATCTATAATTAAAGATAATAAAGTCTAAAAGAAAAATTGGATACTTATCTGTCGATATAGGTTAAGAATAACTATAAGAGAATTTATCTTAACAATATAGATTATAGAACTTGCCAAATCCGCAGTATATACTATTAGCTATAGTTAAGCTTATAAGTTTAGTAAATAAATCAACTATATTAAATATAATTAGGTCTTCCTCTAAAGCTGCCTAGAGAGGGATCTTCTATAAATATATATATACGAAGAACCAGGATCTGTAACTTAGCCTATACGTACCTAGTTCCCCGTACTAGGCTTTGTTATCTCCTATAGCTAGCCTACCTGCTTCTTAAGTATAGATATATATATTAGAAGGGTATTTAACGCGGCCTAGCAGTCTGGTATACGCAGGACCTCTAATAGACTCTTTTATTAAGAACGCGATATTCTAGCTTCTTTGTACTATAGGCCGAGAGCAGTCCTAAACCGCGAAGGATTCGTATTATATAAGCGCTTATAAGGAATAATATCTAGGTTATCGGATTCGAAGTCGTTCTATATATTGCTAGTTTCGTCGAAGAGCTAGGTTAAGTACTAAGCAAGGTCTTTATTCTTTGCTAGAGGTTTAGTATATTAATACGCTAGTTAAATCTCTTCTACGTTAAGTACAACTAGTAGGGCAGATATAGTATCGTCGTAAATATAAAGTGTCTCTATTAATATACTAGCGTTAACGAAGGCGGAGGCCGGTATATCGAGCGCTATAAGCTCTACTATATTAAGTCCCTCCTCTTGCTCCCTCTCTTCCTCTCTAACGCTCTCTTTATTACTCTTGGTCTCGTTGTCTATATAGCTAGTATAAAGTTGGCGCTAGACCTTAGTCTTAGTATAATCGTTCGTATACGGCCTACCCTCCTAGTACTACAGTTAGCTATCTCCTACTTATCGTAGTCGAGGGGTAATAGGTAAACAGAAGTGTCGCGATATAGATAAAGTAATATAAAAGCTAATCGAGTTGCGTTACGTTATATATATATACTTTACTCGCCCTATAGACACGTATTGTCTATTATACTAAGCGAACGTATAGTAAACAATTTAGGCTTTATATAATACCTCGTATAGCAAATAATTTATACTCTATATAATACCTTACAAAACTCTTACTAACCTTCTAAATATATACTATACACAATAGCTAATATATTACTAATTTGCCTTATTAGTATAATACCCTAATATCGAATACCAAACTAATATACGTAGATATTATAAGAGCTAGGAATTCAAGATACCTCCGAAAGGCTCTTATAGCGTCTGTAGCGTCCGTAGCGGGCGTAGTAGTAGTATAAATTATAGTAACCTTACTACTACTACTAGGCCTACTTATAGTAGTAGTAACTAGTACCTAACGGGAGAGTTATATAAGCAGAGTAGCGCTCGACGTAGCGGTAGGGGTAATACTACTCCCGACGGTAGTACTTATACTCCCTATAGTAGTACCTACCTGTACTCCCTATAGTAGTCCTAGAATTACATTTAGTAGTACTAAGTATTCTATATACTAGTCCTTTAATATCGACCTAGCTATATAGTAACTAGATCCTCGTCTTCTATAGACCGCTAGTACGAATCGTTCTACCTCTAACCCTAGTATAGGTATTAGTTTTAGCTCTAGTAGTAGTAGATCTATCGTTCGCCGAGGTACTACTCTATATTCGAAAGCTACTACTACCTTCTATTAGCTTAGCTTTGAACAGAATATTCCAGGTAATAGTTAGTAAGTCTAGAGAAGCGTAAAGAGCTATACGAAATAATATAGGAAGGTAAGACTATCGACTGTTCCTCTTACTACTATAGAGAAGAAGCAGTTTAGTACTACCCTAGACTATACTATACGATAGAACATAGTTCTAATATACTCTAATTTGAACCTCTTAGATAATATCTCCTTTGTCTTTAGTAACCGTATTAAGGTTAATAGTACTAATTATATCTAGGCTCGTACTAAGATATTAGAGAATTACCGCTTGTACAAATTAAAGGTACTACAATAATTTGAGCTTCTAATTAGTAAGCTAGTAGTATAAGACCCGTCCCTTATAGAGATTTCTAACTAGACCTTTGCTAGTAAGCTACGCTATTTTATAAAGAATTACGTTAACCTCGAGGGTAGCTCTAAGCTTAGCAAGTAGTTTATAAAGGCTATTTTTGTTAACGTCGGGGTCCGCGTACGTACGTAGTTTAGGAAAGGCGAGACAATGGATAATTAGGATATAGTAATAAACTTCTAGAACGAGATTGCCTTATTGCCTGCCTACGACGACGTTACGATTTCGGATCTTTTAGTAGCTATCTTAAATATTCCGTATTACAAAGGTAAGCAAGAAGCGTAACTTTATAGATATAGTCGAGAACTACATCTCTATAGAAGAGGCGCTAAAGAAGTAGTAGATTGTACTCTTTACTAATATCCGTACTAGCGGGGACGAAGATATCGATAAGCTAGACGAATTCGATAATAAAGACGATAAGGGGAACCTATAGTACGATAGGGAAGGTAGCGATAAGATAAATATCGATAATATAGACGAACAAGTGTTCTCTAACTAAGCTAAGCAGGCGTAATACGATCGATTAAGAACCTAGGACTATTAGCAGTCGCGTAACGATTAGCAGTCGCGTAACGATATATAGGAGATAGACTAATCTTAGAATCTTAATTAGGATACAGACCTAGAGGTATATAAGGGAGATAGAGACAGAGATAAAGAGGATATTAGACGTTAATACGATAGCGGCGATAATTCTAGTAGAGACTAGTTTAACGTAGGCCTAGGTAGGACTATTAACTATATACCTAGAACACTAACTCTATCTGTAGCTATTCGACTTCGTTCGTAACTTTTAGTTCAAGGTACTAGTAGAAGATAAGACTATACTAGATAGAGTTACTAACGGAGATACTAAGCTCGGGTTTAGCGGTAGTAGCTATAATACTAGCTTTACCTAGGGCTAACAACATCGCCTAAAGTACTAAGCACTTAAAGACCTCTTTGGTTCAATATAGGTACCTCCTAGTAAGGTACCTATATATATATATAGATATAGCGGGTATAACTACAAGGACTTATAGCGATACGTTAGGATAAGGTTAGATATACCCCTTGTCTTTAGTATAGGCTATATATTAATACTACAGACTACTAGATATATTCTATAAAAATTAAATAATTTATATGACTTTACCTTAGTACTCTATACTAGTCCTTACTAGCTTCTAACGTAACGTAGTATACTACATATACCTAACCTAAGGCAACCTAACTAAGGTATACCTTATATAGAGAAGGTATATATACCTAAGGCACTTGTATATAAGGTACCTATACCTATATACTATATATATAGAGTATGCCCTATATACGATATAGGTTCTTCTATAGTATTTACACTCTTCGATTATTTATACGTTCTGCTATAATAACACGTCTAGGGTTAAATATGCTTTTGATATACTAAGAAAATTAACATAATATTAATACGCTTCGATTAGTTACGTATATTAACAATAGACAGAACGATATATATAGGCGCAAGTTATAACAGCATTATGGTATAAATTAACAATATAGTTCTAATACGATTTATATCTTATTTAGAGCTCCGGTAAGTTATATACGGATTTCTACTTAAGTATATATACGTACTATTAATGTCTCTTTAACTATAGTAGGCTTATTAAGTCTCTAGTTAATCTGTCCTAGATCTACTTAATTAATAGCAGATATAAGCGGAGGTACGCCTTATTGCTTCGTTCTACCCTTACGGTTTCTACTATAGTAGAGACTATAAACGTTATTATAAGCTTCGTCTTTTCTAGAGAATAGCACCTTTCAATAGCTAGGTATACCTAGTACGACTTTATAGCAGTTAGCGTAGTTCAGAACACGTTTGCAATAGCTGCAACGTTTGTCTATAGAGCGATTCTTTGCCCTCTAATAGCTACTATTTTGGTATTGAATTATTCTAGGATAGTCTAGGTCGTAATCTAACTCGAACGCTTTGCCAGGATTGAAGTCTGTATAGTTAAATAGACTATCGAAGTAGAATAGGCGCTTATCTAGTAGTTGATTACTGTAGCCGGTTATACTATCCTAAAGAGTAGCTATAGATTAGTAGGTATAGCTAGAGTCGATTAGTAGGTATATAGTATAGGGTAGGTATAGTAGTATAGAGTAGGTACGGTATTATAGGATAGATATAGTAGTATAGGGTAGGAGTAGTAGAATTAGGTAAGTATAGTAGAATAGTAGTAGATACTTTATAGTATATAACTAGAGTAGATTCGGTTAGTACGTTACGTTAGTATAGTACGTTATTTCGTATATAGTATATAGTATAGTATATAGTTCTACAAGTTAGCGGTATATTAAGTTTTTACTAATATAGGTTTACTAGACACTTTGTTAGAAGGTATATAGTTTGTTAAGAGAGTAATTTCTTTAATAGAATCGTTTGTAGGCGGCGTAAATATCTCGGCAGCGTATTAGCGTATCGGCGTAGTAGTAGTAGTAGTAGTAGGTACAGTTATTAGTAGTATCCGTATTGCCTAGTATACCCCTATAAGCGATAGTATATAGGTTAATCAAAATTACGTCTTAACGATAAACTAAATTACCCTACTACCCTAGCCTACTTAATACGCGTTGTCTTACCTACTAATTCATCTATTATCTATAAGAAGGTATAGATAATACTTTGTAGTATACTATATACGCTCGAACGCGTTATATACCTCTTATATACTTATTAATTCTAGTAATCCTTGCTCTTATATCTGCTTCTTCTACTCGCTTCAATGCCCTACGTACTTTATATAAATCGCTCTCTTCTCTCTTTCGCTATATCTTACGTACTAGATACTAGTATAATACCGAGCGTACCCTATATACGTTTTCTATAATAGTTAAGTAGCGGACTATATCTAAGTACCTTATAATAGTATAGAAAGCTCTCTCTTGAATAACTATAGTATATTCTATTAGCTAATGTTCTTAACGAATTTTCAGAGTAAGCGGACTATCTTTAGGGTACTAAATTTGTTAGTAGGCCGAGTATTAATAGTATCTATAAGTTACTACTATTCTATCTCTATATAGAAGTGTCTAATAATATACTCTATATTATTAGGCTATATACTAGTCTTCTTAAATATACTATACAGGGTACTAGCTTTTAGGACTCGACGTTAGAAACGCTTAAAGTTAGTAAGGAACTCGAGTCGATTATAACTACTATATCTGAATCGAATAGCTATATTAGTAGCCTTAGTATACTAATACCTATATAGTTGAAATACTATAATGTCTAATAGCTATATAATATAGGTAGAGTAGACCGGTAGAGCGATCGGAATAATAAGATACTTATTATAGAATTCAATCTACTCCTTTATCTAGTAACTGCTATATCTATCTATTAAAAGTACCCTCTTAGCCCTAACTATACTAATATAACTATACTAATATAACTATATTTCTTAAAGTACTCAAGCTACTCTAGGTATATAAGATCGTTTGTATACCCTAAGTTACTTACTCTAACTAAAGTATCCTTATCGAGACTAGTATACTATATAGCTATATATAGTTCGTTCTATAAGATAAGTATAGAAGGTACCGTAGCGCCGGCCGCTAAGATAGCTTCTATATATAAGACTCTTACAATTATTCGTAGCTAGTAGGAAGTTTTGATACTATAGATACTATTGTCTATCTGCTAGTAATACTAGTCTAGAAGCTAGTCTCGTCTATATTGTATAGATTCGACGTAGTAATACTATTTTTAATGTATATATAGCAGAACTTAGCAGCGTTTAAGATATCGAGTTAGAGCCCCCTTTTATATATTATTAAGCTTGCGGTTCGTCGCTATATACGTATATTCACTCGGAATACCTAGGATTCGGTTTCTAAGCCGTTGATAGTAAACATTAAACGATTTACCAATCTCTAATATTAGTAGGTATATCCGTATTGCCTAGTGCACCCCCGCAAGCGGTAGTATACGGGTCAATGAAAATCACGTCTTAACGATAAACTGAATTACCCTACTACCCTAGCCTACTTAATACGTGTTTTTTTTTATATTTTCTACAGTCAATCAATATAGCGGCCTATATTAAGGAAGAGGATCGTATCGCGGAGGCTATAGAATAGATAGCTAATAATATAGTATTCCTACTAATAATAGAGATTGCTAAATCGTTTGATGTTTACTACTAACGACTTGGAAACCGAATCCTAGGTATTCTAAGTAAATATACGCGTATAGCGACGAATCGCAAGCTTAATAATATATAGGAGGGGGCTCTAACTCGATATCTCGAATACTACGATAAGATTAGAGTTAGCGTACGTATATAGTCGCTTATAGTATCGGCTAATTCGATTCTTGTACGAACTTATATTAGTACCGAACCGCCGCCTATAGTAAGCGCTATATAGGTATTACGCTAGCTCGTATATTACCTAGAATAGTTCAAGAGAAGGACTATACCGTTGGACGCGTTACGTTCGGCTACGTACGATATTAGCGACATTAAATAGTAGTTTACTAAGTTCTGCTATATATATATTAAGAATAGTATTACTATATCGAATCTATAGAATATAGACGAGACTAGCTTCCGGATTAGTATTACTAGTAGGCAGACGGTACTTACGTAGTACCTACGGCGTCGAAACTTCCTACTAGCCGCGAACAATCGTAAGAGTCTTATATATATAGAAGCTACTTAGCGGCCAGCGCTACGGTACCTTCTATACTTATCTTATAGGACAAACTGTATATAGCTACGTAGTATACTAATCTCGATAACGATACTATAGTTAGAGTAAGCAACTCGGGGTATATAAATAATCTTATATACCTAGAGTAGCTTAAGTACTTTAAGAAACACAGTCGTATTAGTATAGTTAGGGCTAAGAGGGTACTTTTAATAGATAGATATAGCAGTTACTATACGGAGAAGTTTTTTAAATTCTATAATAAGCATCTTATTATTCCGGTCGCTCTACCGGCCTACTCTATCTATATTATATAGCTATTAGACGTTATAGTATTTTAACCCTATAAGTATTAGTATACTAAGGCTATTAATACGGCTATTCGATTCGGATATAGCGATTATAATCGACTTGAGTTCTTCGCTAACTTCGAGCGGTTCCGGTATCGAGCCCTAAAAGCTAGTACCCTATATAGTATGTTCGAGAAGACTAGTATATAGCCTATTAATATATAGTATATTATCGGACGCTTCTACGTAGAGATAGAATAGTAGTAGCTTACGAATACTATCGATACTCGGCCGCCTACTAACGAATTTAGTACCCTAAAGACAGTCCGCTTACTCTAACGATTTGTTAAGTATATTAGCTAATAGGATATACTACGGTTATTTAAAAGAGAGCTTTCTAAACTATTAAAAGGTACTTAGATATAGGCAATCGACGGTACAGAAGCAATTAACGAACTCTGCCGCTTAACCGTCGTAGAAAACGTATATAGGGTACGCTCTTAGATCAAACGTTCGAGTCTATAGCAAGAAGATGTTATACTAGTATCTAAGGTATATAAGATATAGCGAGAGAGAGAAGAGAGTAATTTATATAAGGTAAGTAGGGTATTAAAGCAAGTAGAGGAAGCAGATACAAGAGCGAGGATTGTAGGAATTAATAAGTACGTAAGAGGTATATAACGCGTTCGAGCGTACGTAGTACATCGCAAAGTTATTGTCTACGCCTTCCTATAGGTAATAGACGAATTAGTAGGTAAGACAATATATATAGAATAGGCTAGAGTAGTAGGGTAATTCAGTTTATCGTTAAGACGTGATTTTTATTAACCCGTACACTACCGCTTGCAGGGGTGTACTAGGCAACACGGATACTATAGGGTTAGGATCTTCTTCCTCTATATAGGCCGCTATATTGATTAACTATAGAAAATACGTATTAAGTAGGTTAGGGTAGTAGGGTAATTCAGTTTTTCGTTAAGACGTGATTTTTACTAACCTGTACACTACCGCTTGCAGGGGTGCACTAGGCAATACGGATAAGGCTTGTTGTTTAATTCGGCGGAAATTCGTCTTAATTCGGTATAGGGTTCTATAGTTTTATACTAATTGTCGATTTAGCATATATTTCTATAGGTTGTTTAGTAGCGTATATAGTGTCTATAGTATCAATATAGTATTAAGTATTTAAGAACATAGGTTTAGTTTAGAATTGTTTAGTAGTAGTATATTGTCGGCAGCGGCGTAAATGTCTCTTTAGCGTATCTATAGTAGTCGTTATTATTACTATTATAGTAGTCGCTATTGTCCTCGTTAGCGTTATAGTATTAGGTATCGGTAGTATAATATTAGTATTAATATAAAGTAGATAGAAGGAAGTTTAGGAAGTCGAAGTAGAAAGTTTGAATCTACTTACGTTATTATAATATATTATACTAGATAATAGTTTTCTAGCTTCGAAAGCTGTATTCTATATGCCTACCTTACTACATAGTGCTATATAGCGCTATATACAGCGTACCTACGTATACAATATATATAACGTAATATACGTAACGCAATATATAGTAGATTGCCTCCGGCAGGTATAGTAGTCCTTCGCTATACTATAGAACTATATAGAGGTAGGCTACTATATAGAGCTTTTTTTTCTTTTATACCTATAGCGGGCTTTTTCTAAGATAGTAACGGATTCGGCTTAGCTTATTTAGCGCGCCCTACCCTAAAGGATCTTACTAATCAAACTGCGTAATCTTAGCCAATTAGAACGTCCGATTTTGAGCCGATTTCTCTAGCTATAGTAGTCTAACTATAGATTGATTAGCCTCTACTCCCCTCTATATCTAACCTATACTATAATTTAGAAGGCTTAGAGGTCGTTCTATACTAATTAAGAGTAGAGTTAATTTAGTTAGGTAGGTTCAAATAGTAGGTATTAGCTACCTCTATATATAGAAAATACAATATTGAGATATATATTTGTAGTATAGTTCTAATATACTATTGCGCTTATTGCGCTAACTTTCCTCTATACTGTTTATATATTACTAGTATACATCGTTGTTATAGTACACCGCTGTTACTATAGCTACGAAATCGCTAAATCTAAGCTATATATAGTATAGCGTTCCGAGGCTTAGCGCTAGATTGCCTACTATAAAGATATCTGAGAACCTATTTCTACGTATTAAGGAGTACTACTCCGAGGTAATAGCTTAATAGATTCGAGTATATATATAAAGGAATTCGAGTATGCTCTAGTATTAGCCCTATAGATTAGTTTCTTAGCTATATTAGTATTTCTATCTAGTAGGATAGTCGCAATACAATCAAACGTATACCTAGCAATAGTATAGAGTATAAGTATTGTAACGTAGGTATTAGAATAGATTTTTATTGTATATATATTCAATAATTACTCTACAAAGCTAGTATATCCTCTACTTAGATAGAGGAAAAAAAGCTAAGAAGATATCCCTTAAGAAAAAGCCCGCTATATAGTATAGGTATACTTAGCTCTATAGCCTACCTTAAACGAGATTTATAAGGAACGAGAAGAGAAGGACAAGGCGAGACGAGAGAGCGAGACTAGAGAGCGAGACGAGACAGAAGGTAGAGGAAACTATATAATAATTACTAATAGGTAACCTAAACAAAGAGCTTAGGAATAAATAAATAAGATAGCAATGTAGGCTGCTACTACTAAGTCGTCTAATAAACTCTTCTCGAAATACTAAGGCTAACTATTCTGCTTGCTAGAAGATTACTAGACCCTACTATCTCGTCTCTTTAAGATATAGCAAGCGCTATAGCTTTATATAGATAAGAGATAGTAGCTATGAATAGTATAGAAAAGCAGACTAAGTACTATACTAAGGGGGATTGTAGTATTACTGCAAAGGTTGAAAAGTTGTTATAGAAGAGCAATTACTAATAATAACAACCTATATATTGATTCTTACTTAGTGTATATACAAAGTATAACTATCTAAGTATCTTACTAATTATACTATCTAACTATCGCTAGGGTAGTCCCTAATCAAAGTTATGCCAAGACTTTGATTGAAGTTTGATTGATTGACCAATCAAAGTTAAGAGACCTTAGGTTTGACCAAACTCTTAGTAATCAAAGTTGAGGGTACCTTAACTTTAACAACTTTAAGGTTTGACTAGGGGTAGGAGGGAGAGAGAAAAATTCTGACTAAGAGAGGAAAAAGTAGGCTAAAAAGGTAGGAGGGAGAGAAAAAAGTAGGCCTAAAAGTCGAGAAAAAATCGAGAAAATCCGGAAAAAGGTATTGTTTTAACAGATAGTATACGAGGTATACTATAAGGTAGTATAGGAGACAGTATACGAGGTAGACTGCGAGATAGTACAATAGCTATAACTGTATTAATAGTACGAGCCGGTATAACAGAATTAGGGTTCTGAATACGCTAAGAGCAAGAGTAAGGCTAAGATACTAGCGATAAAAGCTTTAAGGTTAATACTAAGTACGTTTATAGTAGAGTATTAGCAATACGTAGTTCCGGCCGGTACTATAAGCTAATTAGTAGAGAGATAGAGATACTATCGACTTCAATAGTTAATATATACGGAGATAGCTACAATCTTGTTTTTAGCTTAGAATTATATGAATATAGAATTCCTCTAACGGACTGTAGCTTAATACTATATTAACTAATTATAATGTACTTCTAGTATATTTTACCACAGTTATTCTAATACTCCGCTATATCGGGTCTGTATACATTTTCGCTAGAATATTAATAGAAATGTTTGAAGTATAAGCATATAAAGTCAAAAGATTTTGGCATAGGGCTTTTAACATTTCAAATTAATGCTCCCGACGTTTGTAGATCCCCCTAATACTCTTTCGACGATAACACTTGTGGATTAATTACTAGTACTCTATACTAGGTCTAGCGATTATATTTAAAAGTTCAAGCGATAAGACTAAATTGTCTAAATCCCGTATTCTCTAGAGAGAACTCGTCAATAACAAAGTATATAACGCTACTTTAAGTTATTATCTACTAGTATATACTTAAAACTACGCCGACAGGGTAACTAGATATAGCGATTGTAGAATCCGAGATCTCTAGAAAAACTTCTAGCCTAATGTATAGCCTTATAAGCTATACTTGTCCACGGATAATAAAGGACGTATATGTTTAAAAGCTTTTCCTAGCTTCGGTTCTAGAGAGTTGCGTACAAGTCTATAACTTTCTCGCCTTGTAGTATACTAGATTCCTAAATTTTCTCTAAGTCTTAGATCCTCGAAAGCTGTAGAAGTTTACAAAAACGCCAATTACTTATTATCTCTAGTCTAAAAGCTCTACGCGTACTAGAGCGTAAACTCATTTATATATAATTCTCTGATTTCACTATTAGAACTCTAAATATTAAATATTAAGCAGGGAATTATACGCGGCGGGAGCATAGTGGGAGGCCAAATTTGCTTAACGCAGAATGTAAGTCCCTACTTCCTTACATTCCTTCGCTACCTCCTACCTTACTGTCTCCCTACTTTTGAGAGAATTGAGATAAGACAAAGTCCCTAGGCAATTGAGAGATCGAGACGGAGGTAGAGATAGAGATAGAGATAGAGATGGACGCGGCGCGATAGGTTTAGCGCGATAGGTACAGCAACGTAATAGACACTACGCGATAGATACTGCGCAATAGACACCGCGCGCGATTGTGACCGCGCAATGGAACCACGCGATGGACACTACGCGATATAGACACGCGTGCCTTAGGCAAAATTGACCTCCCGCGATGCTCCCGCCGCATATAATTCCCTATTTGAATCCTCTCTTTCTTGTTTAGTTCATATATCTTCTGCTCCTTCTAATACTCGTATAACATTCGTTATTATTCAGAGAGAGGGGCGTATATAGAACCCTACCTTCTACTTTTGGCTTACCTATTATGTACCTTTTTGAAGGTCTTTATAGCATCAATCGAACGTATATATAAAACCACCTTGACTATAGTAACATACAATAGTGCGAAGCCCTTAATAGGACGGAAGTATATTAGGCATATCTTAAGTATTAGTAGGTATTGTCTGTCCTAGTGTAAGATATTTCCCTAAGTACCTAGGAAGAGTAGTATCGGGAGTAGGAGTAAGGGCTATAGAAAAAGGATGCTTAATATCAAGAATCTTATCGATAGAAGACTCTATAAGTCCTCTAGGAATAGGATAGGACCCCTATAGTAATTCATTGGCGTTCCTATAACCTTCTATAAGCTTTCCAAATCTAGTACATTGAATAGAGAAAGAGTTATAAGCTTAAAGAGAGCCCCCTAGAAAGTTGTTTTAAGTATCTTAAGAGACACTAGATAGATATCTTACTAGTAGTTATACAAACTGATTTTGTAAGCACTAGGCTAAACGATGCGCGATATAGATATAGCGATAGATACGGCGTGCCTAAGGCAAACTTGACCTCCCGCTATTTAGAAACCTTGTTATCTAACAGTTCTATAAGTATATTGGTCGGATATATAGACCCTAAACAAAGAGTTCTTCTATTCCTACTAAGATAATAAAAGATAGCTTTCAATTCTAAGATACTATATTGCTACTATAGTAGAGGAGACTAGTACTTAATAGAGTACTATAAAAGTCTAGCTATTAGCCCGAAGGTATATAGAGTACTTGATCTTAGTAAGTTAAACGTACATATATACAGATGTAGCTTTATATAGTAAGAGCTACAATAAAGATTAGTATATACTCTATACTACTAACGGGCAGGCCTATAGGATACATTAGTAGTAGAGACTACTATAAGTCTACTCTTATATACATCTATAGAGATATAAAGAAGGATCTTGTAATAGACTAGGAATAAGAAGATATAAAGAATAACTACCCCATCTAGATTGAAGTTTACGTACTAGATAAAGACAATTGAACAGATTAGAACTTCTTAGTAGGTATTTGTACTACTATTCTGATATTAATTGTAGAAAACTTGTAATACCGTACTCGGCGTATCTCGGAGTTCCTAGATCTAAATAGAGAGTAATAGTAGAGGGTTGTTAACTCCTTGATACTTGATATACTCTAGACTTAGTTACTAGAAGGTTCTACGTATACATAATAGTATACTTAGACTAGTACTACTACTAACTAATATAGCTCAATCTAGAGTAAATTAAATATACATGTAGTATTTTACAGCCTTCTGTAGGATTCTAGCCCTTTTTCTCGGGTAGTATACTTTAGAAAGTGTTATATAGTTATCTTCAGAAGTTTCTAAGGATGATATTTCCTAGCCTAAGGTCAGGGCTACCCTCTAACTATTTTTAGATTGGCAAGGCACGTAACTGTCGGATATTTATAACCGTTGGATGTTATAGAGCCGTTGGATGTTATATAACTTCTAGGTGTTACGTAACCGCTAGAAGTTATATAACCGCTGTATGTTTCATTACTGCTCTATTTAGGTCCGCCTAGACCGTAGGGTTGCCCTTTAGTCCTTGAAGAAGCTTAAGACTATTTTTTAAAACCCCCCTAAGCTTAAGCTTTTAAAAGATCTTTCTATACCGTTCTTTTAGGCGTATACCTATATCAATGCCTATTACTATCCGTCGCTATGTATAGCTGGCTAAGGCTATATATATTGAGACTAGAGGTTTCTAGAGAAGTATCAACTCTCTCTAGATGTTTACGTCTAATGTCCTTATTATGCTTCTAGACATTCCTACTACTTGTTCATTTAGTAGGAATCTAGATTAGCTCTATTGATTCTATTGCTTATATGTAGCGTCTCTAGCTGTTTACTAGTAACATAGCGGATTCCGACTCGGTGTATATATTTAATGACTCCCAATTTATACCTATTTCCTTAAACATACTCTTAAGAAATACAGCTTGTTGGAAGGTACGTTGAGAGCTATAGAAGCTAGCTATTACGGAAAGCAAACTTTTTGTCTATTTGTCCTATTTCCTATTCTAAATTTCTAGCTTTATAGAATGGACCTGGACTTTAGAGCAACAGGTATTACTAAAAGTATTGTTGTAATCTTAGGTAGAGCGACCAGATCCCAAGTTTTTAATTCTAGTAGATCCTAAGTTTATAGAGATACATACTCCTTTCTATTCTCCCGAGTTTCTCCTATTAATGACTTCTTTATAGGTAGTAGGATCTTCTAAGTTGTTATTGGTAGCGATAGTATATGCATAGAGGCTTTATTCATCTTCTAAACCGACGTCTATTAGTATTATTTTAGATATCTTATTTGCCTCTAGAGTCTCGTTTTCCTCGTCTATTGATTTCTCTAGATTAGGCTCTGATTCTAGAGTATTACTTCTTGTAGAATCAGACAAGTTAGACCTTATATCAGGCTCTTCATTATTATCATATAACATTATTGAAGGTCTCTATAGAATTATACTCCTATCTCTAGAGAAGGCTTACTACTATTGTTAATAGTCATCTGATTAGTCTCTAACTATAGTACTTTATAGATACTTCAGTTCCTCCTCTGTTCTAAGAGAGTATAGTCGAGAGACACCAGCAAGCAACCGCCCAGGCAATAGTGAATATTAAGGGCTTTCTAGCGGACCGAGTTGATGATAACGAATTGTGTCGATGCCGCCTGGCCGGCAGGACCCAAGTTACGACACTGGAAGCAGGCACAATTCCGCTCCATTGCTGCCCGTTACCCGTCAAAGTCGCTTTGACATATACGTCCTCGGTCAAAGTATTCATAACAACCACAGAACTGGTATCATCTGGGTTTACAGTAGCAATAAACTGAATACCTGGCGTGTTGGGATTCAACGAACTCCCTGTCCCTTTCAGAACTATCGCACCTCTTGGTATAAATTTACTGAATTGCGCCATAAGGTAGTAAGCAATGTTGAATTGATACGAGCCATCGAAATGGATAGTGACCAAACCTCGACAGGAAGAGCAACCGCCCGCTAAGCGCGGTCCATGAGAGGGATCGCTGCCGAGATTCCACGCCATCACGCCTGATGCCCAATTTTGAAGAGGACCGATGGTGAAATTGGCAGCTTGGAACCAATCCCTGGAGTCAACTGCTGGTGTCCAGCATTCAGACATGTATTGCGTAACTCCCGGGTTTGCAGCGTGAAAGTCGGACATTGCCGTCCAGTCCAGATTACCGGCGTAGCAGTGCCATGCGACAGTGTCTGTATATTGACGCGCCCCATCGATGACAGTTTGCGGGTACGAAGGTACATCCGTGTTGTGGTCATAAGCCCAAATGGAGGTCCTCAGGCCAGAGTGAATGAGTGCCGGGCCTACGTGTGACTGAATCAAGTCTGCTTGTTCGTGGTCGTACATATACATAGATGGATAGCCCGGCGGGCTCATCAGAGGCTCATTCTGTATCGTGATTGCGTCAACATTCACGCCGTGGGCGGCGAAAGCTAATATATACTTGACGAAGTACTGAGCGAAGTCGCTCGAGTGATCGGTTTGATTTGGGTCAAGATAGCCAGTTTTCAAGTTGTTCGAGGTTGAGTTGCCTATCAAAACTCCGTTGGTCTTCATCCAGCCTGGAGCCGACCACGGAGACCCGATGACTTGGGTCTGAGAATTCTTCGCGATTATTTTCGCAAGGAGCTGTGCCATCGATGTGCCTTGACTGCCAAGCGCAAAGTTGGTGAGATTCGTGTCCGGCTTTCCTCCATTGTCATCATATGTTGTAGCGGTCGAGGACAGGTCCGAAGAACCAATAGTATGCCTCATCATACTGAATGCCGCCCCAGAACTAGTCATCAGCGAGCTGAGGAGCGCGTCGAGCTTTGAGCTAGAAAGGGAATTGAATGTGCTAACCGTCCCGTCTGTGATTGTAGCGCCAAACCCAGTGATGGTTTGCTTATAGCCCGCTTTCGAGTCGTCGATGTTGATGTGCCATGTCTTGGTGTTCTGTCTGGGATTGTCGGCACCATGTACAGGTGCAGAGATAGGCTGGAGTTTCATCGATAGGTCGGAGTTGGTGCAGTATGCGGCTGCTGCTGTGGCGTGCCTGTCGTCTGACAAAGGGAATAATGAGATTGAGTCGACCATCGTAAGCACCAGAAGTACAAGCAGCATGTACATGCTAGAGGTAGCCATGTCTGCATAGTGCTAAAGGACGAGACCTAGAGGATTCCGTTTAATCTTGATAGTCATGGCGCAGGCTGTTTATATCCTAATCAACCATATGCTATCTTCGACACTCGATGATTGCATAGAAGTAAATTGAGAATAGACGAGCGGGCCACGAGTCCTAGAGACAGGAGCTACCTCCTAGGAGGTAGCTGAAGCGCGCACGTATGATCTGCATTTCATTAGCCTCAAGGAGTAGAGCAAGCCATGGTTCGCCGTAACGCCTTAGCCGGTTCTCTCGTTGCAACTGGCCCTACCCTACGATCACCAAGATAAGCCGGAGACCTCAAATACAAAGAGTACCTAGTACTTGTATGCAGGCGAGCCAGAGGCGTTGCTTGACTGCTACGAGGCATCCTTGTTTCCTGACACTGTGTCCGCATCCGAGGCTCATCTGTTGTGCCATTGTCAGCTTGAAGGCTCTTTGTAACGCGCTCATACGAGCGGTGGAAGCCTGTACGTGGGCTCGCAGTCCATAGCTAAAGGGTGGCCCTGCATCTGGAGATCCAGTGGCTTCAATTCGAGCTCGAGGACACAGATATGGTCCTCGATTCAAAGCGCCAACTTTTACGATCTTCAACCATGCCACGAGGCAGATGACTCTCGGTATAGCGGCAAGCAGTGCTTTCGGTTCTCACTCACTGTGGCGAGGTGTCTTGGACGATGAAAATGATGTCGATCTCTTGCTTGCGCAACGTGCTTACGAACATGAGACATTTGACGGGATTTGGTGCTAAGCCTGGAACGCGCTTATGGGAGAGGCTTATTTTGCCGTCCGTGAGGGGGATCACAACTGGTCTTGCTGAGACTTGGGAATGTCGCCAATCGCAGTAGTCGGAGGGCTTGCACGAGTGTCTTCGGTCATTGGTTGGTGTAGGCATACCTACACCTGTACGCGATGCGAGCCTCGGCACATTTATTGATAGTCATTGGTAAGCTGATGTCTTCTCACTTCCAGCATCCTTCTCCTCCCACACCGACATCGAGACACCTACGTCTACGATGAAAACCCGGCCCTCTCGTTGAACATGTCCGACAAGTGTAGGTGCATTAGTCCTCTGCGTCTCTCGCCGGGCAGAACTACGTACGAGGTTAGCGAGCATCATCAGTCGTGCGTATACAGAGCTTGACCAATGCTCCTGTGGTGAGCTCTGCCATGACACCGCCCAACTAGCATGACCTACCTTTTTAGCTATCAATAGCGAACAAAGGTGCTGTTGCACAGTGAAAGGTCTTTGCAACCGTTGGTGGTGACCATGCTCTCGCTCGTTGGACAGAAATCTGCAGACCGGTCATTGCAACTGAGTCTGCAGTCTCAAAGTGCCTTCTTGGTGTCTACGTGTGCAGCAGTTTCAAGTGTTTCCAAACACAAAAATGCCCTTCCCACTGCGAAATCCATCCAGAGTCCCTTGTACAGCGTTCACGAGCTCGTCTTGTTTGGTGTCGTAGTTCCACGTTACAGGATCCATAGGAATGTCCTGGAACTTGCCTTGTTTTGTCAAGTCCAGAATCTCATCCACACAAGCCTTCTTCTGCTGCGGGTTCTTGTCTGCCCATCTGCTGACCCAGAACCCGTGGAAGTTGATGTCCTTGAAGATCAGCAAGCCCATGGGCAACTGCACCGGTTGCTTGCTCATGGCCCCATAGGTCACCACGGGACTGCCAGGCGCCAAATGTTTCGCCATGTCATTCACAAGCGGTCCGCCAACACAGTTCAACGCAAGCTTGACCTTTTCCCTTCCTCCGCTCGTAAATTCCTTCAACTGGTCGCGGAAACCTTTCGACCTCATCTCCTCGTCGGTAATAACGACATCCGCCCCCAAGCTCTTCAAGTCTCGCACGAGATCCTCATGTCCGCTCTCTCTCTTCCTCACCACATTGATGCTCTTATACCCCCACAGCTTTCCCAGCTGAATCGCCGCCCTCCCCACACCACTGTTCGCGCCATTCTGCATGAACCAATCCTCTCCCGACTTCAGCTCCACAAAGTCTTTCAACATTCGATATGCAGTGCAAGGATTCACAGAGACTGTTCCCACCTGCTCCGCCTTCAACCCTTCTCTCTTTTCCGTGTCAATCTTGACTAGTTCACTTGCCGTAGTCTGCGCATGAGTCCTCCACGTGCCAAACCCCTGCTTCTTCATAATGACCCAATCACCCTTCTCCAACCCCTTCACACCACTTCCCTTGCTAATCACCTCGGCGACACCCTCATTGCCGCCCACGGCGATGTTCTCGGGTGTCCCGAGGGAAGTCGTCCACGTGGGCTTGGTAGGGTATACGCCTTGGATTTGATTGATGTCTGCCGGATTGATGGGAGAGGCGAGGAAGCGGATGGTCACGGCGTCGCCGGTGGGAGGAGATATGCTGTGACCGTGTAGACGGAGAACGTCTTTGGGTTCCCCGAGGTTGGGCAGCACGAGAGCTTTGGCTTGTTCGTAGCCGTAAGCAGAGATGAAGCGGCGTTGAATAGCGGTGATGGGACGGTAGTGGTGGTGGTGGTGATGAGCGAGCAAGCGCGGGGCTATGAGCGGAGATCGCATTGTGGCCATTGTGTCTGGTGGTCAATCAGGTCGATCTGAGGGAGAAGAGACGAGAATTAGCAGCTTCAAGGATGAAGCCCGATGCTGTCGGTATGCACGATGACGCTGTACTTCTAGAAGCCGAGCTTGAACGGACACAGGTCCGCCAGCTTTTCACTTCACTTCACTTCATTCCTTCCTTCCTTCCTTCCGAGGACACGTCCAATCTGATCAAATCAGTACAAGAGAACAATCACCACAGTTATTGGTTCCTGGACACAACAGTGAAATCATGCTGTAATTTCCAAGTCATACGATCGGTGAAGTTTGTCCAAATACACGATTGTCCATCTCGTCACCTCACCAAAGCTGCTCACTTAGATCGCCTCTTCCACTTCTGGAACCATCCGCCGCCTCCTTTGTGACGCTCAAGCCCCACCCCAAGACCTCTCAGCCTCTCCTCATTCTCTGGGATGTGTTCGATAAACCTGCTGTCTTTTGGCCGATTCGTCAACAACTGGTCTGGTCCCTTCTCATCCCCATTCACCACTGTCCGACTGCTCCTAGCCATCTTCATGCTTGGCCTCTCTGATACGCCCTCCTGAGAAACATTCGAGCTGGTCGGTACTCCTAGCTGTGGCTCTGACCCGTCGTGCTGCGTCTGAATGCTCTTTCCCCTCGACCTCGGCGGCAAAGGAGGCGGACGCATGGGCGCGAGAGATAATGGCCTATCGATTCTGTCCACCGATGATTTCAAGAGAGTATTTGGTCGCTCTGATGGTGTATGACGATTTTCAATCAATACCGCTGCCTCTGGATGCTCACCTAGCCACAGAACGTCTCGAAGCTGAAAATCATGCGTCCAGGGGTCTCGTTCTGCGCTGGGTCGAGGAAGGCATAGAGACCTGCTTCGTATACGAGTAGTGATGCGAGGTGTAGCAGAGGCACACGTCTCCGAATTCCGTCGCCTGCTTCGTGCAGGCGCACTTAAGACCTCGTTGAGCCTGTGATGGCTTTGAGTCACTCGCTCTTCTGCTTCTGCGTCAATCTCGCTCCGCTTTGGTTCTGGTTTCTCGCGTCCACTGGAGCCCGAGCTCAAGTACATGAAGTCAGGTCCTGGCGCATAGCCTCTATCCTCCGATTCGACGATCGTCTCTCGCTGAGTGTCGGGTGTGGTGAAACCACGTGCCCGCTCTACTCTTTGCCTTTCTGATTGCTCGCGTGCCGTCCGAGCGGTCTCCACCGCTTGATCTGCACCATCTGGCTCTCCGAGTAATGTTTCCTCTGTTATCCCCGAGGCGGTCTGGTCTAAAGCGTTGCCAGCTGATAAAGTGAATGATTGGGTTGACGAACCTACAACCAAGGAGGGTTGTCGGCTTTTGGAAGCACTGCTCATACTCCATTGCCGAGAGTCATGGCGCGAGGTATGAACTCTGGCTTCACCCACCGGGTTCTGAGGCAAAGGAAGCCTACTTGGGCTATCTTCCAGTGGGTCTGATAACGCATTCACTTGAGCGTTGCGACGCATAGCAGTACTACCTTATCCGCGACGTCAGCTTGTAATGTGGTCGCTTCGACCGGCCCAATGCCGTGGGCTATACGTACGAGGGAGACAAGTTTATTGGACTGGTTCAGCCCCCGAATTGCTTCCACAACACAGGATGATCAATGGGGCCCCTCGTTGAGGACTATTGCTTCTCCGTTCGCAGTCACGGTACGCCCAGGTGCGCTCTAAGCATCGGTCGGTGTCGTGCACTCTACAATTGCTGATTGAGATCGTGTACGCGTTGTGTGATGGACGGTTACAATATGCTGAGGGCCCCTAGCAATACGAGCGGATGTGATGGCGTCGATGTCGGTGTCGATGTGCAGACCAGTTGCACGTTTCTTCTCTTGGTAGAGTGGCTGCCAGACATTCTCAATTTCGTCTCCTCTGGGGAAGTCGACATCGGCACCGACCGGATCGCTATTGCTGGTAGCCGCCCACTGCATCCAGTTCAAAATATCAGCCGGCTTCTCCTGGTGAGGCATTGCCTTTATGAACGACGGTACCGAGCGATGATTGGAACTCAACGGTGAAAGCTCCACCGCAGAGTCACTTGAGCTGCGTCTACTCCGCCGCCTCCCTTCCCATCGCCTCTCGTCACGGGTATCTTCGAAAACCATCCGTTGCCCTGGCTCGCCACTTTCATGCGCCCGATCTTCCTTGCGCGGCTGGCGTCCGCGGATGGCGTTATTGCGCTGAAGATGAACTCGGGCGACTGGTCGGTCATTCCGGTTTAGGTTATTGCTATCCACAGGTACTGCCCCGAGAGTATCCACTGAAACGACCTTGGCTCCACGGAACGACAAATTTGGGTCAATGCTATTCACTCGGAAGGCACCTGATATGTCCGCCATATGAGAGCTGACATCTTTGATTGCGCGTAGCTGCTGCGGATCAATCGGAACGTCTGTTCTTGGAGCCACCTTGGACAACATATTTGTCTTCTTGGTCGATCTGGCAGCACCCAAGATTCTAAGGCCCCGTGCGACCAGTGATGCTCGGAAAGACGTTCTCTCTGTGGCATCGCTTCTTCCGGTGTGCCTGGATATATTGTTGGCTTGCTCATCCTGCGAGGGACAGTGGCTGTGCTTTGTCGGGCTAAGGATTGGATGGAGGCCACTCAGTCGCTCGCCGAGGGAGTTCTTGGGCTTGACGCTGGTTATGCTGGTGGCCGAGGACTTTCTCGTGCTGCAGCGGCTCGACGACCGCTTGCTATTTTGTGTCATCCTGATGCTCCTGCTGTGGCGGGTAGTTCTTGAGTGCTCGTTGGTGCTCGGCGTCAAGTCTTTGCATATGCATACGCTTGCGATCGTAGAAGATTAAGCAGAACTGATCTGCGGCATGCAGTGTGTGTGGGTGTGTGGGTGGGTGGGTGTAGGTGTTGCATAGTCGATGCTGGGGTAAAGCGGTATGTACCTTATACTTTGAATGATGATAGCAGACTGACTGATCCGTGGGAGGAGAAATACTTCGAATGCACACTTGTTATATTACCTTACTTAGGTAATGGGCATGAGAATGCTGGGTAGCTTTCACAGCCGTACCGTCCAAAAACTACCGCCTGAAGCTGCGGTAGCAGATGCCTGCTCTCCTCGATCGAACGGTCTGCGGGATGTGGCCCCCGAGAGTCAGCTGGCCTGATATTTCTCGCTGCAGTGGTTCATCGGTCCTGCGTGGCTGATAGTGCTGCGATGTCAGTGGGCTTCATGAGAATACCCACACTAGAGGTTTGGAGTGAAGAATGCGGCCTCAGGTCCACATGCAATCCAATGCCGATGCTTCATACCAGCCAGGTATTACATGTGGCTATTGCGGCTCACCAGATTCGGGCGATCATCACAGAGAAAGTACAGTCGACTCTCAGCCGCCCTACACGACGATTGACAGGCTCTCAGCCTCTCCTGATGCCGATGGATGTGCTAGTCTTGCTCACTTTGCGATGGAGGCGCACTGATAGATGCCATAGGAAGTCATGTTTCGCGCTTGATGGACTCGAGTCCCAGTGGGCAATGCATAGCGCGATCTTTCGCCCAAGGCACTCTGGATACGTTCCCTCGCAGTCCGGGCACTCAGTGCAAATTTCATATCTTGAAGCGCAGAAGGCACGTGCATAATTTTGCCACTGAGCGAAAGAGGTAGAGGAGGCTTTAATTACGTTCGCTTCCAGTAGCAGGACAACGTCCACGCCTTGGACAACAACGTCGTATCGCACTGGGAAAACCCCGAAAGCGCGGCGGAGATGATGAAAAGAGTCGCCATGAACAGTAAAGAGTCGGAGGACGAAACCCATAGAATTAAAAGATACCTTGAGGTGACCATAACACCAGACAAACTGCCCCATGTGGTGACGAAATGCTTCAGCAAGATATACTAAAGCGTTGTGCTGATGAACCCAAGGCCGAGCTGCTGCATATCGGTCTCGGCGAGGTACACGCTTGAATATCATAGAGGACATTCATTTGAGACTGTCTCTTGAGGGACCTTACCGTAAAGGTAGGTAGGCCTACAAGCTGCACATCAGGTATCGCTGCCATGGATGACTAGGAGAGCGCCCAACTCACCGTCCCTCCGCTCGCTACATACTTACCTCGCGCTGCGCTGACAATTCGTATACCTTGCCAAACCCGCCAAACCTCCGCTATACATGTAGGCGTAGAGTCCGTTTCGCTGACCTTTACCGCGCTAAACTCGCCGAATGCCACATCAGTCGAAATCTGCTTCTTTTCTTCGTGAAAGCTGTGTTCGAGGGCATTCTCGCAAGGTCTTGGATATCAACAGAATAAGATAGAATGGAGCCAGCGGAATGCATGCAACGAAGGAGGCTGGTCTGAAAAATTTCGTTCGGCATTACTGTATGTGGAATTATCTACTGCAATCTGTCTGTTGTCATCTCTCCAAATCTCTTACATTGCAGGTCAGACGCCATCTCCATATTCAACAAGATTCAGACTCCGCTGAACGTCCGTCACTTCTCTGGATCCCACTGACAAAGGAGTGCTGCTGCTGCTTGGCTTCATTCAAGCTCATAAGTTATTTTTCCCCAAACCAACCAGCCACTCAACGCCAAACGCAATGCTTTTGTATACACGATTCTTCCTCTGCGCCTCCATCTTCGAAGCAATCACTACCATAGTCCAGCCACGCCAGTAAACCAGCCAAATGTGATGACAGTCACACTAACCATGCCGAGCAAGGCTAGCCACGTCTGCTTCTCCAATGTGGAAGCAGCATTGCAGGTCGCGCAGACATAGTCGGACATGGGCGTGTAAGGTTGGGGCGAGTACATGCCAAAGGTGAATTGGTTATACGGAGCCAGGTAGCCGGCCTTGGCCTGGTCGGTGACTTCACCTGCGGCATCATGCACGATGAGAGTGTAGGTCTCAGTGAGCAAAGGCACAGTGGCACTCGCTTGAAAGGCACCGGTGTCCCACGTGAAACTCTGCGTCTCCTCCACCGTCACGTTGGTGGCCAGAGTGTATGTTTCTTGGTTCTTGCTGCACGACGCAAGGATGTCGATGGCTGAAGGGGTGATGGAGAGCGAGGTGTAGTTCCAGGCAAAGGTGATGTAATCCTGGATCTTGTAGTACTTGGTCGTGAGGGCGTTGGGTGTGATCATGGAGACACCGCCCGCGGGCAGTCGTGCATCGAATGTCTTGGTGGTGGCAGTTCCGCCTGCTTTTTTGGTGCCAGTCTGCCTCGCAGTGCCTGTCCTCGTGCCACCTGAGCTGGTGTTGTCCGAGTTGTCTGAGTTATCCGAATTGTCCGAGTCGCTAGTCGCTTTCGCATCGTTGGTGGTATTGTTGTCGTCGTCGTTGTTTGTCCGGGTCGGTCTGGGAGCCGTCGTCGCTGTGTTGCCCTGGTCGCCGGTGAAGGAGAGATCGAATGAGCTTTGGACATTATCATCATCTTGCCGTCGCAGGAGAGGTTCGGCGCCGTTCAAGGCCTCGATGGGTGCCCATCCCGCGCGGGAGGCGGTGCAGGCCGAGGATAGGCAGAGCACTGATGCCAGCACCGACGAAGGCCGCATGGTGATGGAGCGATGTGTGTGGGTGTGAGATGCTTTTGAGCTGATGTTACGCTGCTCGCAAGCAGTCTATCCGCGGTGCAGGGTGCTCACAGCTGGAGGTGCTGCGTGAGTCGGTCTCGATGGTGTTGGCGGTGGTGGTGGTGTGAGTGTGGTGGTGTCTCTCGGCCGCGTGTCGCCTCGTTCTGGGCCGCTCAACGGTCAGATCGGTCGTGCGTTGCGTGTGCGTATTGCGTTTCCGGAGATCGGCTCCTTCGGCAGGCGAGGGTGAGGGTGGGTTCAAGCGAGTGTATGCCACGAATGGTATCTGTCTGTCGGCGAGCCAAGGTATTGCAATCGAAGCGAGTGTTGGGAAGGGGGAGAAAGGTAGGAGGTAAGGTAATGAAAAGGGTGAATTCAGATGGAAGACAGAATGTTCCCTTCTCCTTCGTCTTCGCCCAAACAAGCCAAGACGCTTCTCCTGCTGCAAGCTAATGTACTTCTATTTCGGGCACTAGCAGCGGAGTGGTGGTGGCGATCAACAACTCTAACCTGTCACGTCTCGTATTCATATACCACTTATACACTACCACCTACTTACACAGTAAAATGCCAAGTTGAACGACTTCTACCACGCTCAGAGTCGCATGCCTTTGCTAAGATGGCCCATAACTGCTCCAATGCCTTGGCTTTACGTATGCCCGTCCAAGCTTGTCATGGCTGGCTCGAGTACATGTAAAAATGCCCTCCGAAACCATTTTGGCGCCAGCTCTCCATTTGCAAGACATTGGCGGGTAGACTGCAGGGTAATTTCGACTATGGCAAGAAGTGTTGTCGGAAAATCAGGGCGGATCTATACGCTCCAAGAGACTATTCAGGACATGGGACGGCCGCTGTCATGCGTCTTCCGTGCGAGGTGAGGCCTTCGCCAACACTGCGAGAACAACGCACTGACTTCGGTCTTTAGTGATGGCACGAACGAGTTCATCTTAAAAGAGGTTCCGCAGGACTGGAACGCACGTCTGCAGATCTACAACCTCATCGGCAGCAGTCCTTTCGTACGCAACCTGGTTGACACTGTCCCGGAGCGGAAAATCTTCGTTTTCGACCACCTTCAAACAAACCTCTTACAACTTGCTCAGAAGGATCTCCCCCAATCGACAATGAAGCACATTTTGAAATGCACGCTCTCCGGCATCGCTGCGATGCATGAGAAAGACATCATTCATAACGGTAGCAGGACTCGCGTACCGATCGGGTTCTTGAGCTAACCCTGCGGCAGATATAAAGGCCAATAATATCATGGTTCAGATGACACCACCTGAGTCTGAATGGAAGATTGCGAAAGTCCAAGTAGTGGATCTCGAGGATTCGGCTCATCTTCGCGGTCCAGAATCAGCTGTCATAGGTGCGCAGGTCGGTAACATCATGTGGCGGAGTCCAGAGGCTCACGCCATGGGGCCTATCCGTAAACCGTCAGACATCTTCTCCTTTGGTCTCGTTGTAAGCTTGATATCTGTATTGGCATTGATCACATGGAGTTCCGGTCTGACGATGTTATAGTGTATTTACGCAATGACCCAGATACTGCCATTCGCAGTGGACGAGTCTGAGCTGCCGGAAGGAATCGATCCTTTAGCCGTTGTCCTCGAGCTTCAAATTTCCTACTTCGCAGAAGTGGATGATTTGAATGCATTTCTACGATACTTGGGCGATAAGCCCGAGTGGGTCGAAATCTTCCAAGCAGTGGCGAGCGCATTCGCTGGAGATCAGCCTAGAAGGCCGTTCCGACTCTGGGAAGGAATAGACGTGGATCAAGCAGATTCGTTCAGAAGTCTCATTCTCGGATTAACGAATTTTGATCCGGCAAAGAGATTGACGGCGCAGCAGGCTCTAGAACATGAGTGGTTCAAAGATGACATGATTCCCCAAAGTTGATATTGTCCCAACGACCCTGGTCTTTGGCTTCACGCAGATCACACATTGTTTCTGTCGACGTGGTGGCGTTACTCTTGGCAGGATTGGATGGGAGATTTCAACGGACGCCGAAGACACTTCGTGACAAGCTAGCTGCGATGGTAGGGGAGAAGCGGCAATAAAGTGAGAGGAGAATATCGACATGTCGCTATAGACCATTTGGATCACGAACACCTTACAGTCGGGACGGCAACGGCACATGAGGTGACTGATTTGAACATCCGTCCAGTGAATTATGCGGCATGCGCCAAGTATTTGATTCTGGTGAATCAGGCGTCGCCAGCGGACTTGCGGGCTCCCTTAGGGACACTTTCACAATGTATTGTTTCTAGAAGGCGCATGACCCGGCGAGGCTGATCTGTAAACAACTGAGGGACATAATCAAGCAACGCTTCGCGCTGAGTCAACTTGCATGGATTCTCGAGATCTAAGACTACCACCGCAAGCAGGTTTCGTGGCCTAATGGTAAGGCGTTGCTTTCCGGTTATCTCCATTTCATAGCCTGGCAAAGATTATGGGTTCGAGTCCCATCGGAATCGGTGAGCCTACGGGTTTTCGTTTTGCCTTTTTAATGCTTCCGTGGTATGTTGTGAGGCCTGAGGGATCAACTACATGCAGTATTATCTGCGGTCGAGGTACAAAGTAATAAGTGCAGGTTCTCGGCCTAAGGCGCTTATAGAGAGCCCCACAACATCATCTTTTTATGCCTCGTCGGAGCTTGTCGAAGGACCGGAGACATGGATATGAGGAGTCCGAGCGAGAGAAGGTATTCCATCAGACACCCGAGAAGGAAGGTACCAGGTAGCCACATGTGGATCTGTGCATTAATCTCCGGGCAGTCATCAGATACAATTTTGTACCAGGTGGGAATCCCACAACAAACAAGATAACAAGTACAAATGCAGTTGAACATGTCTTAGAATACGTGGATCGATGGGATTATCTACCTCCGTATCTTCCTGGCTACATCACATACCTCCAACCTACTAGCCTTACTAGGTACCTACCGTACATAGGTACTTAGGTACGCACGTTCTGCGTCACTGATATATACTTGCTCACCGTTTGTAATCCCAATTGTGTACGGTAATGTAACGTGCACAGAATTCCTGGGCAATATAAGTCAAGCGCTAGGAGGTAGGTAGGAGCCGAAATGCCAACACGAACCACACCAGTTTCAACCATCATCGCAAGCGTTTCCAGAGCCTCTCGTCAGGCAACGATGGACGATAAATTCAAATGTGACACAGTATATTATTATTGACTCACATGGCACACCATTTTGACCTCGGCTTCCAAGGCATCTTCTAGGGATTGGTGGACGCATGTGCTATATAGGAGGGAGGTAGGTATAATTTCATCTTTTCTGCCACATGCTCACACAACGTGACGAAAAGCTACATGGATCGGCTTTGCTTCTGCCTTTGGGGTGGCGACCATGTCTTTGCTATGCTCGACGGACTCGCCAAGTACAGCGCTGCGCCCCTACTACCTATGTAAGCCACAGCTGCCAGAGGCCGGCGTTAGGTAGGAGGTATGACCGATGGTGGAGTGGCACTCCTGCCACTCCACCCCAGACAACGGCTTCCATCCATCTCGTCGGCATCCATTTCTGGTCGCTCGACACCAACTTGTCTTTGGTTGAGATGGCGGACGGGTACAGTAGTGTTCGCTTCTAGGTTCACTTCAGCGGCACGAGAAGAAATTGCCTTGGGCGGAGACATACGAAGGAGAGCAGATCGGAAGTGCTTGGCCTAATCTATCAATGTTATCGAGCTGCGGGAAGCTGCTGCTGCTGCTGCTGTGCACAGAATGAGAGAACAATGGTCGGTAGGTAGGTAGGTCGGTAATATGGATCTGCTGTCTCCGAGACACGATTGTGGCTTGCGACAAACCAGCCACGCGACTGTATTACCTGCTGCACGGCGATACTGCTACTTGCATGCTTGGCGCAAGAAAGAATGCACCGAGGGATGCGGCCAGGCTGCGCAGTCCGAAAGGATCGGTTGTAAATAGCCTGCCTGCTACAAGTACAGCCTGTACAGGCATTATTTCGACGCTGACGTCTTTGGTGAATACTGTAACCGTGGATGTCTGATTGGCAGCGCTCGGAAGTGGCCACGGTCACAGCCGACTCGAAAATTGGCGGTACGAGCGAATGATTCTGAGAAAACGAGTGGGATCTGGGAACACTTGTGACTTGAAAAATTGAGAGGTGTCTGTGGTGTGGGCGGAAAAACTTTATGACCACATGATTATTGTGATACTGTACCTCCTATATGTTTATGCAAGACAGGAGGTACAGGTAGCCGCCACGTGTCACAGCGAATAATCTCGCAAGCCGAAGTGCCGGATTAGGGGGAGGGAATGCGACAGGTACACTTGTAGCTGTACCGTATACTCATCATACAGATCGTACACATCACCAACGATTGATGTGAAAATGCCGCTCGTAAAGCGGCTGTAGGTATTTCTGCAGTGGCGGGGTTTGGAGTGAGGATCCTGCGGATGCTTGCGGCGCGATAAGCGGTTGTACCTACCTTACCTTACACGTAGGAGGTAAGGTATGGTACAGGACAGGTAGGTATGATGTGGAAGAAGTACATGTACATCACGGAGTTTCCACGTGTATTTGTGGCGTAGAAGACCGATCCCTCCCTACCTGTATCTATGTACCACGTAAAAGCAAAGCCGTAGGTGATGACGATGACCCTACCTAGTACCTCCTAGGCAGGCTGCATTCCTGCGATCGCGTTCTGTGCGTGCGGTACCGGTGATAGGTACTGGGTAGGTACTGGTCAAGTAGGTAGGTAGGTAGCTGTGAGTCAAGTGAAGATCTCTGAGGAGATTATTAGGTATTCATCAAAGGGAGAGGGCAGGTGAACAGAACATGCAGCGTGTTCCAGTGACGGCCATGGTTCGGTGCTGATGTGGTGATCAGTCCGTGAGGCGTGCACGAAACGCAGCAGGTGGCCGGTGGTTGCATAGGTAGCCCAGGATCGATGACGGGCGCACTGGCATAAAAAAAAGCGATGCGAGTGGCTCAGTGGACAGCTCAGTGGACAAGTGGAAGTGGGAAGTGGAAAGATGAGACGGGGCCAGTCAAAACTCGCGGGATTCGAGTGAGATCCAGTTGGTGGAGCGACGGGAGCGAGGGATGGAGCGTTGGGTCATGACGAGATGTTCTAGTGCTTGGCAGGCGTCAGGAGATGACGAGAGCTGAGCAACACTGCAAGAAGGGAAAACGAGAAAGAAAAAAAGGAAAAAAAAAAAAGAACACACACACCCCCAAAAAAAGGCTCTCGTCGACCGACCAGTGAGCACTCTCGTCGACAGGCCGGCGGACCAAGGCCTTTGCCACGAAGCCGCGTCGCCGCGTGCCGGGAGTAGTAGAGTGGAGTGAAGTATGATCAGGGTTTTCCTACCACCACGAGAGTCTACGACCATTCAGGCCTCCGTGTTACTACTAATACACTGATGACTACTCTACTGTACAGTACAGGTTGCAGGTTAGGTACTTGTACTAACCTACAGGTACTTGTCCGACTTGCGCGTTGCCGGTCTGGTGATATCCCCTACCTCCTACCTCTTACCTCCTACCTCCTACATCCTACCTCCGACCTCCGACCTCCGTCACAGAAGAGGCGAGGCGAGACGAGGTGAGGCGAGGCGAGGCGGAGGAGGGTGCCAGTCACTCACTCTCTGGTGTGGTAGTCAGTCTGTGTAGGTATACAATATGGACAAAATGAACATAATAATAATAATAATCATAATGAACCCCACTCGCCTCCACTGCGACCATGGACTGACATTCCTCTGTGCCGTGGATGGATGGACGTTGCCCGTTGCAGGTTCAAGGTTTCATCGTCACGAGTGCACTGAGACTGAGTGGATGATTTTAGTTGGGAAAAAGCTTCAAGCCTCAGGCGTCCACTGAGCCCACCTGCAGCGGCTGGGCAAACAGCAATTTCCAACGTTTTTGTCTCGCGACTTTTCCCGTTTAGTCGCTCCTGCCTAGCGCGCTTTCTCCCGTGCACCGACCGAGCTGGAGCCAGCGAAACTCACTAAACTTCCTCTCCCCTTGTCCTTGGGAGACGCTTTCGCTCATTTGTTTCTTCGCTCTCTCGCGCTCACTCACTTTCTCACTACTCTTCCATCTCCGACTTCACCCATCTCTCATCCTCCTCCTCCTCCGCCTCCGACCTCCCTCTCGCCCGCCCTCCCTCCCAACCCTCCACATCACACTGCCGGCCACAGTGTGCGTGTGTGTGTCCTCGCCTCGACAATCCCCTCTTCTCTCGTCTGTCCAGCAGTGTGTCTGTTCGTCGGCACGCCCACTTCTGCGACCGCTGTTGCGCTGCGACTCCGCCACGTCGACGCCCTCACGCCAGCGTTACGAGCGCACACGACCACTACACGCATCTCAGTCTCTGCCGTCGCTGCTGGACTGAGATTACTGTGGACACGTCAGATCGGATACGGCTCGGCTCTGAACTCGCGCATTCCATCGACCGGCTTCCGCGATTGCTTCACTGCGCCCATTCACCTACGCTTCACTCTTTCACCACGACAACAGGACTGAACTATTCACTTGGCTTCCTTTCCTGCTGGCTCTACACCATATAATACTTTCTGGAACACATCACACTACATTTGCAACACTCATCTTCCGCCGCTTCTGACAAGGAGCTGAGTTACGATTGATTTTTGGGGAACACGCATACAAACACTCGGGGTCACACATCAGCCGCATACCACAACAACGAGTCCTCTCGGAATAGTCATTTCGGTCGACTTCGCATGGTACGAGGCCAATAAGCTTGCACCGCTCTCGTCGGTGCCTGGTCTTGGTCGGTGCGCTTGAAGGAAGAAAGACACGGCACGTACTCTGTTCACTGATACCATACACTGTCCTCGTGGCATCGGCAACTAACATCTACACAGGTCGTACTTACGCACCGGGTCTTTGCTTTAGTCACTGCTGTTTGCAAATATGCCAGGCTATTATCAGCGCCCTATGGGCGGGCAACTGCCACTGACTCCACCAGACTCCGGCTCTGGATATGGATACAGCAACATGCACTACACTGAGGATCCCTATGCACAAGCTCAGAGCCAGTGCAGTCATGACGGCTCCTACGAATACCAGTCCCAGAGCTACATGCAACCAGCGGTCGCGCCTGCGCCACCGACATTCCAGCACCAGCCCAATAACTACCAGAACACCACCAGTCTCCCTCCGATTTCGAACTTCTACGCACCGATTGGGGCCCCGATCTTGCCACCGCTGCGGATCAACGACCGGTTGTCCTTCACCGACGACTATCAACAACGGCTTCAGCAGCAAGAACAGCAGAACCAAAGAGCGCGAGATCAGCAACGCCAGGTTGTGAAAGAGGAGAAGGCTACCGGCGGTGTCTCTGCTCATCTCGATTATGAAATGGAGAACATGACGGATTTTGTGTGTCAGGCGGTGACTTCCATGTATGCCTACCACCTCTCCCCCGTCAGCTTGGCTGATATTGACATGACACGAAGCTTTCAACTTCGACAGCCGACTTCACCGCAGTTCCGCAAATGGGTACATCAAGTTCTCTCGGCGACGCGCCTGCCAGCAGCAACGATCCTGCTCAGCTTGTACTACCTCAATGATCGTATGAGCAGATTTCCTACTACTGTCAAGGGTGGTGACAACGAGATCTACCGATTGCTCGCAGTGGCATTGATCCTGGGCAGCAAATTTCTCGACGACAACACCTTTATCAACAGATCTTGGTCCGACGTCACTGCCATTAAAGTCGTCGAACTCAACAAGCTGGAGGCATTCTGGCTGGAGCTGCTGGAGTGGCGTTTGCACATTGATCCGTCTGACGAAACTGTCGCCGGCAACAGTTTCAAGTCCTGGTCGTCGGCATGGGAGAATCACATGCATGAGAAGGCGATTGAGAAGTCGGCCAAGCTGCTTCCCGCTCGCTTGTCGCCCCTGGATACGAACTTGCATCCACATGCACCGACGAACGCGAGTCGCGATCGATACTCACCGTACCCATCGCCATACACTGCCTCGTCCAACCGGTCATTTGAGCAGCCACAGTCACTGTCGTCACTGTCTGCTCGCTCTTCGCAATTCTCCACGCCTTACAGCTCGGCCGATCCCTGGGCGCCGAGCTCACGCAAGGTCGATGATTACTACCAGCAGCCGCCACGATATGAATCATTTGCTGCCGCGGCCGAGGCCGGAGAAGTCAACCGCCGTGCGGCGGCTGCTGCTGCCGCCGCCGCTGAGGACCAGGCACGTCAGTCAACCTATCAGTACCCATCAACTTTGCACCAGTCATACTACCACACGCCAGCGTACACTTCCGGCTGGGATACTGGTTCTTGGAGCAACCATCGGTACGACTGCAGCTGCCAGTCCTGTGCGTATTCGCAACATTGGCGAAACTACCCAATGAACTCGAGCTACGCAACACAGCCTGTCATGGGCTAATCCATCGCACATATGACACAAGGCTTAAGTGCGACGCCCAAATTGTCTTTGCGCACTTTTGCACCTTACTTGGAGCTTCTTTTTGCAGCGTTCTCGCCTCCTCAAAAAAGCTGGATCCATCTCGGGATCCCATCGTTTTCGAAGACTTATGTGATGTTCTTCCTGCACAACAATTTTCAGTACTCTGGCGTTTTTTGCTTCCTTTACTGTTGCTACAATACGATCTGCGGCTCGATCCTTGGCACTCATGATCGAGAATCCACGACAACCCCTCACACAATTCCACATGGAGGGCGGTTTTCTAGATCTGGATCGCGCAGGTGTGGACACCCTCGAAATCGTCCACGCCTTTCACACCTTTTACACGTTTGCTCGCATTAGACTTGCTGGGGCGGACATGTTCTGCATCCTTCAGCGGCAAACGATTTTCACGTTTTTTTTTTTCATCACGCAGCATGGGCATTGAATCGGAGAGGAGACAACGGGGATCCTTTTTTTTTGTTACTATTACTCGAACCACAGCATGGCGTTATGAAAAGGGAAGGACGGTATCAAAATGACATTGGCTTTGGCTTCGGGGACAGGGCAACACGCGAGCGATTGCTTTACTGTTTTTCTATGACGTTCTGATGCATATGGTGGTTCAGGAGAGAGCGGTGAATCCGGGAGAGGGTGACAGGAGGGACGTTACTGCCGCACAATGCGAGTTCTACGTTTGCCGCTAGATGGTATCACTTTTCCGGGGCGCGAAATGCGACAATCGTCTTTACGACCGCGAGGGAGAGAAATGGTTACGGCAAGATCAATCATCTTGCAGAATAGAAGACAACTTGAGTTTTAATGGAGTAGTCTGGCCTATGCATCTATGGCTTTGTTCCTTATCAGTGGCAGCACCGCACACATTGTCACCGATCACGAGCTAATATTGTCAGGTTTGATACAAGAACAACAACATCTGCACGTGTGGTCATGTCCTTCACCCTGTCACGGCTATATAAGTCGTGGCGTGCGATGGTAGAGAATAAGCAAGCGTGAGGAGATGGAATAGGAAGAATGTTGAAAACGGAAGAGGACCTTCATCTCTGGATGAATTCCACTTCACTTTTGCTGGGCTCATCTTCCGCAGCTACGGTCGTAGCGCCCGCAACGCTCAATCCTCACTTTGGGTGCGAAGGTAGTGAGGTCGTTATCGCATGCATGATGCCAGAAAAGACGAGGTAGGCAGCAGCTTCATAGTTCAGGTAGCTTCTCAAAACGTCTACGACCTTCCATGTTGACGACAACAACAACAACAACAACAACAACAGGAAGAATAACATTCACCTCAATTGACGCTGGCACTACAACGACACGGTGAGTTAGCCCTATCCGCACGCCTTTGCACACTTCCATGGCTGACACTCTACACAGATGGCGCAATCAACCACGTCAGCCGCCATTACAGGCAATGTTGCCACCGCCGCCGATCGAGTCCTCTCCATTGTGGAGTTGTTGGAAAACATCCTCATTCACGTCGACTACGAATCTCTACTCGAGTGCAACAAGGTCAACAAAACATTCCGCGCCACTATCGCCGCCTCGACCCATTTGACAGCGTATATGATGCTCGACATTACACGTGTCGACAAGACTTTCAGCTGTCCTCTCTACGACGACGAAGCTATGGCCCGCATCCTCCATCCCTTCGCCATCGTCATCAGTGGTCCAATTGTTGGGACGCGCAAAGGAATCTGTTGGTCCAGTCTGCTCGATTTGCTCGGTCCACGCGCTGACCGTAGTGTGAGTAGTGACCGAAGTCTTGAAATCTATTTGGCAGAGGACATGGACAACGACTGGGTGGAGCTGGGGTGCCGGAGGAGCCTGAAAGGCAACGAGGACCTCGACACCACGCCTTGCACGCGACTGGGTGACTGGCGCGGTGTGAGCATTCGCAACCTTCGAGCGGTGCAATTCCCGTGCCAGGCAGACGATCATCTTCATACTCTCTTAGCTTCCGAGAAGCACGATATCACTTTGGGAGAGGCCACGGATTTCGCTATAGACACTCTGAGGAAATGTTGGGCTCGCCAGTGTGCAGAATGAGGCAAAGGAGGCTGGGTCTTTGAAGTAACATTCAAGCGGAGGATGCAGTTGCGGTGAGATGACTCTGCAGTGAGGAGGCGGCGAAGACGTCAAGGGGGACCATATTATATGCAACCGAGCAGAGCTGAAGACGAAAAGAAGCAGTTTTCTGGTCTTGAGCGAACTACCTAAGGTAGGCAGGCAGGCTGAGTAATACGTAATACTTTAGGACGGAGACATGGCTTTTTTCGAGGGCTGCCAAGAACGTCCCGTCCGCTCTCGCTTTGCTGACTCAGCATTTCGACGTGACTTTGCAACCATATACCTATACCTTGATACCAGGTATGTTGGCATTTTGAGGAGGTATTGTACATGAGATAGGTAGATGGGAACATTTTCGGAACGTGGTTCGTCTCATCTATGCAGTATATACAAGAAACGTTTGCACCCACGCCGCAAGTTTTCTGCTTCTTCTGCTTCTACTTCTGCTTCTTCTGCTTCTTCTTCTGTCGTTTAGAAAAAGGCCTTCAGAGGAGCCTTGACATAGTCCATGGCACCCTTCTTCTTCTCCCCGTGCATCTCATCGATACTCGCCCGTCTCACTTCCGGTGTCACCTCGACGCCGCTAATCGTCGTCTTCTGTTCTTCTCTCATGCCCGTGTACAGATCGATGTCCTTGATGGCAACCCACATGCGACGATGCGATGGGTACACAAACCAACTGTAGATTTTCCATCCCAGGTAGAGGGCCAACAGGAACGGTCCGGCAAGGTAGGCTTGGAAGAAGGCTTCCGCGTCGAGGGAGGTGCCCCCTACAGGGAACAGAGCGACGTAGAATTGGGCTACGAGAGCGCAGATGTTGATGAGGAGGCAGAGGTATGAGCCGTAGACTCCAAAGGCGGCCCGGAAGGGGAGTTCATCGAGAGAGTGGCCGTTTGCTTTCCTATGGAAGGGAACAAGAAACGTTAGAATACGGCCCAAATTTTCGTGGGAGACAAAAAGAAACAGCTTACCAGGCATGACGGAAACGGATGTGAGCAAGTGCAACACTGCCGTAAATGAAGAGAATCGAAAGACCAGACAAGGCCAAGAGCCAGTTGAAGATGTCTCCTCCGTTCTTGGCCAAGTTGATGAATGCCAAGCAGCCAAAGAGTAATTGCATGATGACGACGACGAGAGGACGTCCCTGCTTGTCGACGTATGCAAACAGCTTTGGGCCCATGCCATTGCTGGCCAGAGCCTGGATGGTACGAGTGGAGCCGAAAGTGCACGAGTTGGCGACACTCATGACGGAGATGAGAATGACAGCGTTGAAGATTCCAGGAAGGACCTTGATACCGGCCAGCTGAATGGCAATGACAAAGGGCGAGCGACGCGAAGTCGGCCCATCTCCCGAGTACAGAGGGCTGTTTGCAGGCACAATCAGTCCAATCAGGAGAAGGTTGACAATGTAGAAGATGGCAATTCGCCAAATGGTCTGGTTCGATGCGCGTGGGACTTCCTTGCGAGGATTAACCGTTTCTGCTGCTGCCAGCCCTGTCAATTCTGTTCCGCTGATCTGGAGTCAGTATTCATATCATAAAATGTATGTTTAGATATAATAGGATTGAAAGGCGTACGCTGCAAAAAAAGTCAGCACACATCAAACTTCAGCCCTAGAGCATAATCTGGACAATACGAACTGTATGCGAATGCGGCAGTAACAAAGACAGAGCAGAATCCTTGAAATCCGTTTAGAAAGGCGCTGTAGGGAGCATGCCAGTACTCTCCGCCGATGTAGCCTCGGTCGTCTGTGGGGACACCACCAGTGTTGATGATGATGCCGAGAATCATGAAGCCGATACACGCGAGGATCTTGATGAGGGAGAGCACGAATTCGACCTGTTCACATCCTGTCAGTCTCTGCTGCTTGTTCTTGTGTCTTTGCTCTTTGCTTTTTGTTTTTTCATCCCCCCCCCCTTTTTTTTCTCTTTCCTTTTTGGGAGATTTTGCTCTTTCCCCTTTCGGTCCCCCTCGACTCCTCCTTGCTCATGCAACGACAGACCATTCACACTCACCTCTCCATAACCCCCGACACCGAAGAATTGAATAGCAACCAGAGCAACCAACAAGGGCACAATCCAGGCGCTGTTGTTGATACCTTCAGAGCCCGGCCAATAGTGGATGATGTTGCAGGCGGCGGAGATTTCGAATGGAAGCACGGTCAACCAGCTGATTGCATATTGCCACCCGCCTATTATCTAGTTAATGTTGGGAACGTCTTCTGCAGCGCTTTGTATACGAACAAGCAAAGCCCCAGCTACGTAGTCATCCGTTCGTCAGCAAATCAGTCTTTTGTCATCTCCCGCCGTCTCCGCGTGGTCGAGATATTATGATTATTGTGGATGTTCACTTACCTAGGGTCCACGAATCTGACAATGTACATTGTGAAGGCGCCGTTGATGGGGTACATGACGGCCAATTCGGCCAAGGCCTGCATCATCAGGTAGACCATCAAACCCACAATGATGAAACCGAGAAGCACAGAAGCAGGGCCACCGGTTTGGAAGGCGGTACCAGAGCCGACAAACAGACCTGCACCGATTGCGCCTCCGCTGTGATTGTGGTGTTAGTATCGTCGTCGCATAGGTCAAGTCGGGTCGAGTCGAGTCGAGTCAATTCGAGTCCTCCGGGTCCCCGGGCCACACTCACATGGCAATCATTTGCATGTGTCTGCCCTTGAGACTGCGGTGCAGCGCATTCTGATCGGCGTGGATGATTTGTTGATTCTCTGCATCAAGACTGAATTGGCGGCCGCGGACATGGTCGGCGAGGGAGGCTGGACGCGCCGGGTTGCTGCTGAACTGCTGCTTCTCGCCAATGTCGAGGGACTCGCGTTGGAGGCTCATGTTGGCGTCGCAGCCAGGCGCGTGTGAGGGCGGGAGAGGAGGAGGAGGAGGAGGAGGAGTTCTGAGAAGAAGAAGTAGAAGAAGAGGAGAAAGAAGAGGAAGGCAGCAGGTGAAGGTGAAGAAGAAGAAAAACAAGCTTAGCCAGTCGTTATCTCTCTTGCTCTCACCTGCGCGCTCTCGACCAAGGCAAACGGCAAAGGAATGTAACGTAACGGCTTGGTCGCACACAAGCTCGATAGCTTATCTAGCCGAGGACGCCTTCACTTGCACTAGCGGGGCTGGGCCACGAGCAGGACTAACCATTCGCGGAGTAGTGTTGAGCCGTCGTGCAGGAAGTGCAGTAAAAGAAAGTTGGAGATGGGGTTGGGAGGCGGATGAGAGGCTGAGATGCTGATTGCACACCCTTGTCCTTCTGGAATCCTTCCAGAAAACCACCTTTTCCTTGTTCACTGTACCCCCTATGCTTCCATGCAGGGACACTGGCAGGGCTGTTTACTTTCACTTTCACTGTCTCCCTCACTCTCCCTCACTCTCCCTCACTCTCTCCCTCTCCCTCTGTCTCACTCACCCTCACCCTCACCCTCACCCTCATCCTCCCCACCCTCTCCATCTGCACTCGATTCATCCACATGCCTGATCACGCCACCATCATCGCCCCTTTCTTTGTTCCTAATGCGAGGCCCCCCCGTGATGCAGTGCCCCCCGTGTGCAAGTCTAGGTATCGCCATCGTATTGCACCGATGGAATGGTTAGCTGGCGGATTGGCTGTCTGGTGAGCTGATTGGCTGTTTGGCTGATTGGCGGGCGGACTGAATCAAGGGCTGGACTCTAGTCTCTCCCGCATTTGCCCGCGTGCGCACGTGCTGTCTGTGTCAGTCTGCTCTGGCCTCATCCACCGGGCAGTGGGCAGTCACAGGCAGTGGGCAAAGTGGGCATTCTCTTCTCTGACCGACCTCCGACCATACACACTCTTGCTGTAGCCGCGCCCCATCCTGGCGCCCACGAGGACCTCTCGCGCACTCCGCGTACTATGACTGTCTAGTGTCGACCTTACTGCGACTACGGTATGTACTACTGTATGTGCTTCGCCGCCTTCTCCGTCCGTCATCACACACACACCCACACACACGCACACACACACTCCCTCTCACCGGACAATCGGACATCAACTTCCCTCCTGGGAAGCACAGCCGCGCGAGTCACATATGCCCTGGATCCCTTGGACGCTCGGATCATTCATCCTTCCGCTCCCTCTTAGCCTCTTCCTACGCTCTGCACATACAACATCAACTTCGGCCCGACACCAACCGCGAGGCGCATGCCCTCCTCGTATACATCCATCATCCATACACAGGACAGCGTGGGTGCGTGTCGGCGTGTCGCAATCATCGTGTGATCAACGGCGCGCGTCGCGCGGGCGGACGGACGGACGGGCGGGCGGGTGGGTGGGATGGGTGAGATGAGCCTGATGAGGCAGCCATCTATCATACACCCATGGAAGTAGATGGTCTCTTCGCCGATGGATAATTGAGTGGAGTACACGTGACTGGAATCTTTAGGATGAAAGTGAGAGTGAAGTGGTAAGGTGCCTACAGGTAAGGTAGGTCGTTCCAGCTCTGGGGCCAAGAAATGTACAAGCATTCTGTAACAAGATGCTGCAAGAATGCCCAAGACATTCTTGGTTTCTCTTCGCCAAAACTGCCAACGCTTGGAGAGAGCTCGGCAAATTCGTGAGAACGTCGCCCTGGACACGGATGCCGCATTGCCTATACTAGCAGGTAGCGGTGCAATATCGGCACCTGTCATCACATACACATGCATGCCGATGGATGTAGGATGCGAATATCGCGCTGGATGGAGCGCGCTGCCCAAACATGAATCCTCGCCTCCCTGTACCGTTGGGAGGAGGATTCTGGACAGTATGCATCTTGCAAGAGTTGGCGAGGTGGACTGGATCGCCCGGGACAGGTGGTCCTCTTCTTCATCATCATCATCATCATCATCATCATCATCCAACGGCATAGCCGACAGTGCTGCTGGCCAGTATAAAAAAGCGCATAGCAGATTGGACCAGCCCGCAAATCGACATGGACTGCCTGCCTGCCTGTCTGTTATAGAGGGTAGAGGGATCTCAGCATCGCGCTCGATTCCGGTGCCGCAAACCATGACGCCGTCTCCGTGAACACGGCCTATGATATCAGCAGCTGTCTTGCATTCCAATGTGAGATGCAAATGTAAACTGGACGGAAAGCTACCCAGAACGAATTGTCGCCAGCCTGTACTGCATCCAAGATCCGGCCTTTGTATGTCTGGTATAGGATGATGGCATGTATCCTGGTGTCGTCTCCAAATGCGAATTCGTTTGGAGATTGGACCAAATGTTGTACGGGCATGCTTGTACAGGAACCGGAGAATAGCCCACCTGCACACTTGACGCTCGTCTTGAATACCTACCTGGTAATGTCGCAGTTGAGAGAACATGACTGCAATCATCCAACACCTAGAACGGGCAGTCTGTTCTGCAATGAATCGGATCCCTTTGGTGCTGTGGCCCTCGTCGTTAACTATCACCCATTAGGTAGTCCGGCTGGTGCTGCTTACCTAGGTACCTTACCTAGGTATACAGTGTTTTGGATTTTGGAATTGGATCAAGTCTGCTAACAAATTCGTCCCTCTCCGAAGTGTTTAGGGTTAGGGTTAGGGTTATCCCCCTCCAAAGACAAGACGCTGGAATCAGGAATCATGAATCAGGAAATGGATGTGCCTAGGAAAAAGATGGAGAGGGAGATGGAGATGCCGATAAGATACACCTACTACCTCGCACGCACACACCTACGCACGCGTGCGAAATTGGCCGACGTCCTGTACCACCAACGGGAAAGCCCGTAGGCCATATTACACGATGACAGAAATGGGTATACCTAGTAATACACCCGGAAACTGGGGGCACTCCGCGAGTACGAGGAGCCTAAGGTATCTTGGAATAGTATCGCACTCTGGTCACTGGCGATACGGTCTTCACCTGTGTATAAGGTAGGGTAGATTTGGCCGCGAGGTGCATGACTTGTATCAAAATTCCTTGGACAATAATATTATTACACTACAACAGTACAACTGAAAAGAAACGAGCTCATACCCGGACAGAACGGCTTACGTATATAGAAGGGTTTTTCGCAAGTACTATTCTGTGCGTTATCCGAACGGACAGCGACGACGACGGCGGACTTCTCGGTGACAACGATGAAGAAGACGACGACACCGACACGAACTTATTCGGATATAAGAGAAAGGCAGCGGACGATAGTTGAACCAGGACCCTCTTAAGAAGGCGGAGAGAGCGCTAGGCCAGGACGGTTCGAGCACCAGCAAGGGTAAGTAAATAGCAATCCAGGAGGAAATATGAGGACGATGGGATCTTTTGAGGGTGAGGGTACTCGCGAGTATTGTTATAGAATCAACTTCTCGACTCCCTTAACATTTAGCCTACGCGTCGGTTTCTTGTGACAACTCTACTTGCACTCTGCTGTGAACTTTTGTTATAGATCCCCAGGCCATGAACCTCAATCCAAGGACTCTAGAGACCGACCTGAACGCTCCAAATAATCACCGAAGATCTTCTCCTACTCCTTCTCCTCCTCGCCTGCCCATGCATTCACTCCAACTCTCGCCCGTTTCTTCCATTGCTCACTCAGCCTGTCAATCCTTTTGGTGAAAAACATCTAGTTATCATTCTTGTTGACCACCAAGCTCGCCACGCTCGCCACCATGTGATCAACATCATACGCCTCTCGAGCCTCGCCATAGATCCGCACCGCATCCTCTGTTCCTGATGCCCGCACAAAACATCGCCCATTCGAGTACTTGGCCACTTCGGCATCAATCTTTTCTTGCAGCCCTTCGGGACACTGCAATTTCTGCTCAGCTGTGCCAGGTACCGTCTTGAATCTTGATCGGTCCGCTACCACTTGCTTGGCGAGCTTGTTCGGCATGTCAGTATACGTGGCCAGCCACTCCTTGACACTCCAGTTCTTGTGCGCAAGGATTGTCTCGACGAGTAAAAAGTCGGAAATGGCGTCTCCAACCGTCTGGTTGATAACTTCTGTCAGCCCTCTGAGGATTTCGAGATTCTCAAGTTGAGCCGGAGATTGAGGCTCTTGCTTGTGTATGGTGCGGAGAGCGTCGGTGCCAAAGAGGACGGTGCCATGGCCGTTTGCTTCAAAGTATACGCCGATATCATAGCGTGCCGCTTCGTGGTGGAGATGCTTGACGCCGGTGGGGGTAAAGGCGGATTTGAGCTTCAATGTTTCCGAAATGTATTTCGATGATGCCCCGTTCGCATAGGCCGTCTGCACGACTCCGATCTTAATCTTATCAGCCAGGCCGGACTTCTCGACGAGTTCCCCCAGGAAAGAGGCTGCGAGGGTTGCGATGCGGTCCCCGTCCAGAAGTCGGAATATCTTCCCTTCTTCAACGAAGTAGTAGACAATACGATCTGCATCACCATCGAAAGAGGCCCATCGATCGAAGGGCTTGCCTGTGAAGCCGAGGGGCACTTTTTGTGATGTTTTGACAAAATCAGCCCCAGAATCCTTGTTGAGCAGCTTGTCATCCTCGATGCGGTCATTCACGATGGAGATGTGGAGCCCCGTCTCGCTCTCGGAAGGTAGATGCTTCATCAGCTCTTTCAGCTTCGGCGCACCCACACCGTTGGCACAATCTACAGTCACTGGGCTGGATGCCTTGGTGTACTTCATAACCGTCGCAAAGGCAGCGGCCAACTTCTTGTAGTACCCCTCTTCGGAAATCTCGCCATATGGATTGGGATCCTTTGCAGTATTGGTCGCCCGCACGAGGTAATGCAGTTGTGGTGTGGTCAAGATGCCAAAGTCCTTCGCATCTACCTTGGTCGCCTTCAGCCCTGCCTGAACAGCCTTGACCAGCCGCACACCCGACGGTCTCGTATCGCGTCCATACACCACATGGGCTGCCTTCTCCACATCAATGTCGAACTGCTGTACAATCTGCGCATATGCTCGCATCGTCTCTTCCGGTGTCTTTCCGTTCACAATGTGTGTAGCCCACTTCTCCCACTCTTGCTCCAGCATTTCCCCCATGGGGTCCACGAGCTTGACGCCGTTGTCCTCTGCGGGGTTGTGAGAGGCGGTGATCATGATGCCGATGGTCTGGCCATTCAGCTTCCTCGAGCGGAGACCGGCCAGCAGTCCCATGCCGTACATGACATGATCGAGGAGGTCGCCTCTGGTGCGGAAGCCCGCAGTGCCGTAGGCGAAGTCGCCATACTTCTCGGGGCGGGGGAAGTGGTCTACGCTTTCGACAATGGCCTTGGCCAAATCGCCATTGGTGTCGAATGCGCCGGGAGCCATGTTGTTGATTGTACTAGAGGAGACGGGGGAGAGGAAGTAGCTTTCTATGGGAGGTTCGACAGGAGGGAATCGAGAGTCGGCGTGCTTGTAGTCCTAGTCGTAGTCCTTTGACGTTTCAGCACAGATGCAGTGATGCCCTTGGAAGGTCGGTTTATGGAGATGGTACATGTATAGGATCGCGAGAGAGAGAGAGAGAGAGGCTGTGTCGGAAGAAAGAGACCCAAATAAGCAGACGAGCCAGGCCCAGGCTATGTTGTGCTATGCTACATGTACCTTATACTGTCTGTACCTAAAACAACCTGAAACTGACGGCAGCAGGAGCTACGTCACTTGGCGCAACGGCCCGTCCTCCGAGGAATGCGCTCCGCGTCTTGGCTTTCCCGACTCCAAGTGGAAAGTCGCGACTTTGTCAGGATCATTGGATGTGAGGCCAGTGAAGTGAAGTGAAGGGAAGGGAACGGAAGGGAACCAACATACATCAACAAACACCACATCGCCCATCATGTCTCTCCTCCGCACAATCACACATCTCCCGCGATCATCAATGAGACCGACAGCATCCACAATAACAACAACAGCAACAATCACAGCAAGCCTGCCATGGACCGCAAGAGCAGCAACGCGCAACACCCTCACACCACAGACCAGACCCCAAGTCCAACAACGATTACAATCTCCCTCCACCCGCTCCTTCTCCAGCACGCCCTCGCATCAAAAGAAACCCACCATACACCGCGACACCCGAGTGACCCTCATCCGCTACTTCCTCCACCACCCTCTCACCCCTCGGCCTCTCCGATTCTCGCGCACACGCTTCCTCCGCCACTGGACCATTCATCGCGCGTGGATGCGGTACCAAGACTCCCTGCGCAAGAAACGCGAATGGGAGCTCGAACGACAGTACAATTCCATGGCTCGCGCGTGTGAAGCACTGCGATTGATTGATGGAGACGGATTGACGGCGGAGGAGAAGATCAAGTATGGACAGACGGCCGCACAGCCTGGTGGACAGGGTGCAGAGGAGGATGGGACGAGGAGTCGCGAGGGGAGATTGTACAGGATTGCCATGTTGAAGGATGATATCTGGAAGGGTGTTCCTATTGAGTATGCGAGAATTCAGACCGAGACGCCCGCGAAGGAAGGGTGGAATCATGGGTGGACGAGGTAAAAAATCTTCTTCGTTTTCCTTGCCATTACCAAAAGGATTGTATTTGTGCGAGAGAGAGGGAGGGAGGGAGGGAGAGGGAGAGAGAGAGAGAGAGAGAGAGAGAGAGAGAGAGAGAGAGAGAGAGAGAGAGAGAGAGAGAAAGTAAGCTTCAAGTCCTACGATGTTTCAAGATACTTGTATGCTGCTGCTGCTATATCTCATGCCTCCATATGCTGCGCTGGAACGACCGTCTCATCAATTAATTTCATCATACAGCCTTTCCATCTCATACCATTGAGACAGCCGCCATGCTCCATCCATCTCATGCGGGCACACCAACGCCGACGCTGGAAGAAGCAGAAAAAAAAAGCCAAACTACACTAATTGCCGTTGTCCCTTGTTCTCCTACCATTTACGTCCCGAGCTAGGCCCCCTTCTACCAGAACGAACACCACCCTATGTAATGCTGGCATAAGTTCTCCAAGTTCGTCGCCTCCTCCAACAACCGATCGACCTGTTCCTCAATCGATAATTCCTGTTCCTTTTTGAAGTCCCGCCCCGTCAACTTCTCCTTCACCCGAGCGAGAACCTGCAACGCCCGCGCGTTCTGCACTTCCTTCTCCATCGGATCCTGCGCGCCGAATCCTTGCCCAATAGATCCTTGCCTCTGTCGATTGGGTCGGAATGAGCTGACACCGCCGGGGGCATTAGGATCGCCACCCATGATTGAAGCTCTGCGATAGTTGCGTTCTGCTGCACCGCCGTGTGGGAGCTGAGGCGCGCCATTTTCGTTGTGGAGGGCGCCCGGTCTCCTTTCGCTGCCAATCAGAGTAGATGTTGGTTCCGGTGGCGAGTTCTGTGTTCCCAATCTCCATGTGAGTAAAGGATCGTGGATGAAAGCTTCGAGAACTGCCATGAGGGATTCTTTGTTGCTGCGAAGTAACCGCATCACATGCTCACATGTCGTGCGGTATGAACCTTCAATGTTACTGACTTCCATGGCGAAGGTCAACATTCGGGTCAGACGGAATGGCACTCTCTCGGGATATTTTTCTCGATGCATGGCCACCTCGAAGCAATCTCCGAAATCAATGTGGACAATCTTGCCAGTGATGCGATCGAGCATCAAATTACTCGGGTGGCGATCGCCGAGACCGAGAATGTAGCCGACCATTGACATGACAGCGAGAGAGCGGGTGTAGTTGGTACGACGATCCAGCCAGGCTTCTGAAGACTTACTCTTCAGCCAGAGTACGCGGTATAAATCCTGGCCCGTAGTGTTATCCAAGGCGTACCCAAAGACTTCTACCTTTTGCATCAGTGTCAAATTGTCGTAGTCCGGTGCCATTTGTAACATGATCCGATGCTCGATGTTGAGGAGGATCTTTCGTGACTCGCGATACTCGCGGATGAGTACATGCAGCGTATCCGAGTTTGGTACCCACCCCATAATACCAGTCTGTGTCGAGAGGGGAGTCGCCGAGTATCGTTGAATATTGAGATGTCTCTTCAGACACTCCGTGTCCGTTTGCAGTAGAGTATTGACCAGCCCAAAGAGCTGCATCACTCTCTCATCTTGTCGAATGTCCTCGTGACCCTTGATGATGAAATCGTACTTGACACCATCGCTTCCCTTGATGCTCAGCTTTCGTGGACGCTGTTTACTGCTAATCACAGTCGCCACGGGCTCAAAGCTCTGAATGCGGACCACAGGCTTGCCGACTGCATATGTCCCGGGCACTGCCAAGTCCAGATCGTGTGCCGCCTTCAATTCCGGCGAGACGTACTGCAGTTCCAGGCTCATAAGCTGGGGCAGCTGTCTCGCAATCCTCTTGAACACGCCATAGTAGAGATCCCAAGCCTGGTTCAAGTCTCCTATCTCTTTCGTTGACTTGTAAGCATCACACCAGTCACGAGCTTCGTTGAGATCCCGACCGAACGACTGGATAAACGATATTTCGCGTAAAGTCTCGGGGCCCTTGCGCAACATTTCATGCAGCGGGTCTAGTGTGGCAAGCATCCCTTGGATGTTGTGGTCGCCAAAATACAGCCGACTTGCTTCCTCGAGACCTTCGTGCCATTGCTCATGCCACAACACCGCGATTCGGATGAGCTCGTGGCTGACTAGACCCGCTTGTTCCACCAGTGTTGGGGAATGTTGTTGCATAGCGTCCATGATTCTCTTGGCAGAACGAGATCGCCCTACCGCATCGCTCTTCATGCTGACCGTAAGTGGGTACACAAGCGCTTGCGGGTGAGCTCGACCAATGTCGACAAGTAAGTTGTGTATGCCCTCCTTGACTAGCCGGTTTGGCTGATTGATACGAGCGATCAATTGAGGGATCACTTCAAGCCATGTATCGATGCTGACGAGGGATATTCCTTGAGTAACAGCATGCGTTACTTCCTGGTGATTGCCATGGGCGAACCATAGGGTCAGCAGTCTAAGAGTATCCTGCAATGAACTTGTGGAAGACAGCGCAATGCTCTTGAAGAAGCCCTTGATGGCAGGTACCACATGCTCAGTGACAATGTACGAGGGCACGTCGGTGGCCTCACGGTCGCCAGATGTCAAAGATGTGACAACCTCGAAATTGGCCAATGCCCAGGCATGCCATGCTTTGTACCACGATTCGTGGTACCTCGTTGCAGCGTGGTAGGACGACAGTACATCGGCTACGTGTTCAGATTGCCAGTCGCCATTGTGCAATTTCACTTGCCAGTCGCCCTGTTTGAGGTAACAGCGCGCAAGAAGAAGTCGCCACTCATCCAATTCAGCTTTCTCCTTGTGCGAAATCGGGTGAGCATTCGCAGCACCAAATGGTCCCGTGCTGTGTATGCCATTCACTCCGTTGACACCATTGACACCGTTAAGTATCCCTGGGTGGTGCACAGCAAGATGTGGCGCCGCAGCGGCCATTCTGCCCTCGTAATCATCCTTCAGGGTCTGAGTGAAGCCGCGAAGAGCATGCAGTGCCGCGTCGTGTTGATCGTTACTCCACAAATACTTGAAGGTTGCATACTGCACAGGGTATGGCGCTTGCTGTACAACGCTCCAGCTTTCGGCATTTTCGCCGTCCGCAAGCGTACTGAGATGTTGACTGCTCGAAAAGTTCAGAAGACTATTCAGACTTTTCTCGGCAAGACCGGGACGCTGTGCCTTGCGGCAGATCGATGCGAACTTGATGTACATCTCCTGGTTTTCCTGTGGCGAGATGACAAGCGCTCGGACTTTTAGCATCCGCTGCCACACTTCAACCTGACGCTGATTGCCTCGCAATCGCTTCGTCCAGGTCAAACGCATGCGCTCTTGCTTTTCGGTGTCATGCGAGCTTTGTTTGTAGAGGATAATCTCTTCCAGCTCAGCCAGCATCTGCACGCGGACAATCACATCATAGGCTCGTGTGTAGCTTTCGGCGAGCAGCGCTGACAATTCCGTGTCCAGCCCATCCCGAGCCTTGGTGATATGGATATGTGCCTCCTCGAAGTGATTGCGGTGAATAGACAGGATGGCGCCAAAGAAACTACGATCAGGGGTACTAACCTTCATCGCGCCTAGGTACTCGTCCATGATCTCCCACTGGCCCATACCCCAAGCAGCGGCAGCAGCCAATGGTGCTATCCGTCGCTTATCGTCGCCGTTGGCGCTGTGCCAGCGGTCATAAGCGATCTGCGAGAGTGTGTCCCACTCGCCGAGAGCGTGAAGACACCTCATCTTTCCCATGACCACTTCGAATGAAGCCATGTCTCGCGTCTGCAACTCCTTCTCTTCGCGCTCTTGATACGCCATTAGAGCTTCGTCCCAGCGTTGTAGTTTTTCGTACCAGGTCTCCTTGAGATCAACGTCATTGTAACCTTGGGCCTTTTTGAGGATTCCAAACGCGGCGTCTGTCTGCTGTAGCTGGTTGTTGATGGAGATGAGCGCCTCAACTGCACTGGAGTTTTGCTCGGCATTAAACTCAAGCTCTTTGTAATGTAGTGCCTTGGCGAAAGCGTGGCATTTGCCAGCGTACATCCCCAGGGTGCGAACATCAATCGGCAGCGCTTTGTCGTCATGCTCCATGAACTCGGCCAGGTTGAGAAGAATTTGCAGAATCTCCGGTGGGATGTTGGAGCTTGTCAGGGCTGACTCGATCGCGCGAACGAGTTCTTCCTGGTACTGGTCGTATAACTCCGTCCAGCAGCTCACGAATGCGGAGTTGAATAGTGTGCGAGCAAGCGATGGATAGATACCGGCAAGGTTAGTGCAGGCTCTCAGCGCTTGCTGTGGACTTTCACGCAGTAGCTCAACGGAGAACCTGCGCATCCATTCGATCCAGTCTTCTTTGGTGGACTTCTGGCTAGCCTCCCAGGCGTTTTTCAGATGCTGCTGGTTCACTGCAAGTTTCTTTGAGGAGATCTCTGCGGGATATTGGTCGACATCCTCATCGTTGTACCTCTCGTCAGGACTCAAGTCCTGTGGGAGGGCTTCGTGCTTCTTCAGCTTGGTGATGATTAGGGTATATGCAGTGTTGCTGATTCGATGTTGTGCCATAATCTTGTCAATCGTTGGCACGAAGTGCAGGAAATCCTGTCCTAGCTGGAAGATGATTGCACATAATGTCTCCATAGCTACAGGTTTGAGAAGTTGGTCGTTGCCCGTAAGTACTCGTGCAAGAGGATGCACTATTTTTGCGGCAAATTCAGAGATGTTGACCTGTTTACTCAGGCGTCCAATGGTCTCAATCGCAGCCTTGCGCACAGCACGGTCCTTGTAGCGTCCATCGGCAGAATCGAACATGCGGACAATGACCGGGATGATCAAATGCATATACTCCTCCGCACTGGAACCAAACACCAGGAATGCATGCAGTACTCGCTGCATAGCTGCGCGTCCAGCCTCAGAGCGACCATCTGCATCGAGGACGCCGAGCATGAGGGGAAGGACGTTGGCCAGATAGACCTTGAATTCACCTTCTAGGCTTCTAGCAATGCTTTCAACCAGGCTGAGAATGGTGGCCTGCAGCTGGGTGTTTCGGTGCCAGTAGTCACTGATTGCCGCCAGTATGACAGGCAAGTGGGGCCGAATGTGCTGTTTGACAATCCTGACCAGTATACCAAGTTGACTGAAGTAGCCCTCGAGGCGATTCTCTGTTGCAGCATCTTTGAGGATGCCTACGATTCCTGGAACAACGACACCAAGAAACGGTACGCACTTCATGCCCATTGTGGCGTAGATGTTCATAACAGCTTCCACAACAGCAGAGTGGTATTGCTTCAAGGTGTCTTCCTTTAGCATATCCATCAAGGTATGAATGACGACGGTGGGGTAATAATCCTCGTTGCTGGGAGTGCAACCGTTCATGATCAATGTAACATCTGAGATGCCTTGATAGTCTGCCTTCAGGTTCGACTCTGGCGATTCTTCCATGACTTGCTGATGCTTGTAGGGGTCCAACGCTCCGAGAATACCCATGAGTCGAATAGTCTCGCGCCGAAGATCGCCAGGCGGTTCACTCTTGACGATGTTGACCAATATAGTGAGCAAGTCGGGATGGTCGGTGTAGGGCTGGATGACATAACCGCTGTTACTGGCAAGCTGGCCGAGTGTACACAGAGCAGCCTCACGCTTCTTTGGCGAAGCAAGATCTTGGAGGCTTCGGATGATAATCTTCATGAGCTCCGGAATGTACTTCTTCATCTCTTCGCCGCCAACACTGGCCAGGTCACCGAGAGCACGTAAAGTGGTCGCAGCGACTTCGGGGTTGGCGTCTTCGGCTTTGGGTAACAGTACATGCACCATCGGGTCAACGTAAGGCTTGATTAGCTTGTTGCTCGCGCCTACAAGGTGGCTGATGAGCTGCGCAGATTCCCGCTTGTTATTCGCGCTGTTCGAGTATTCGATCTCGGTGAGTAATTGGATGAGAACCTTGCGTAATGATGGGAAGACATAGGCTGGGTTGACACTGGTCAATCTGCCGATGATGGTCATCGCTGCCTCGCGAATGGCGAACTTCTCGTCGTTTAGGCAAATGAACAGAGTACGGACATTTTCCGCCTTTGCTAGATGCCGATCAAACCGAGCGTCCAGGGAGATGAGCACGGTTCTTCGAATATCTGCGACGGGATCGGCCACACCGACCGTTAAAAGCTTTTCTATGACATCGGAGACCACTTGGATTGCATGATGACTAGTCTGATGCACAATGGGATCTTTGACGAAGAGTTGACAGCATGTGAGTGCTGCAGCTTTGCGAATGGCGGGATCGTCATCTTCAACGTAGCGGATGGCGACGTCCCTGACAAACTCATTGAGCACATGACCGCTGAAATCGAAGCTCCCCAATGTATGGAGCGCCAACGCAATTTCCTGATCCTTGTGCTCTTGGTGTTGTGGATCCCGCTGGTCGCGATAGTCCTTGGTGTAGATAGGTGGTAAGCCTTTGCCTTGTGTCGGATGGCCGAGCGTCTGGAAGGGCTGGCCGCAGAGAGTCCTACTGAGCAAGTCCAGCAGCTTCTCCTGTATCGTTTGTTTCACAGGTGGAATATAGTGGGCCATATCGACTAGAGCTTGAGTCAGAGCATCTGAAAGACCGCATGCAAAAATTGGGTCGAGCAGAGCTTCCATGTATTTGCTGAGTGTCTGGCCCACAGCGATGCTGATCATGCTGATGCACTCAAATATGGGCGCCTCGTCGGAGTGTCTGGTGCGGTTCTTCACTGACAGTGCGTCACGGATGTGCAATAGGATAGTATCCAGATAGGGTGCAATCTGTGAGCCCACCGCATGAGCAATCTTGCCAATGGCAGCGAAAGCGAGATTCCGCTGTCTAGCGTCCTTGAGCAGATTCTGAAGGTGCTGCATCGAGCGTGCGAGGTAGTGAAGGCAGAACTCCTTAGGCGCATAAGCCGCAAGAAGCGGTATGATCTCCACCACCGTTCGTCGAACAGTCGGATCCTTGTGTTCACGGTACTGCTGCAACAAAATAGTGTCACATACGTATTTGTACTTGGCACCTTGCATGTACATGCCGCCTTGCACGAGCAGTTCCTTGAAGACAAGCAACGAGCCATGCACATTTTCGACAGTGCCGCGGCGCAGACCAAGCTGAGCTTCCTCATACATGCGTGTCATGCAAGACGTCCGCATTTGCAAGTCGCGGGCGTTCAGGATCTTGAAGCACTGGGAGACCACCTCTGCAGCCGTCTCTCTTATCACGACCTTCTGGTCCCTCAAGCCTTCCCAGATGCTCGTGAGAATTCCGGGAACGTACATGTACAACAACGTCGAGCTATTCTTCGCCAGCTCTCTCATGATCAATACTGCAGCAAAGCGGCGATTCTCGTTGCGTTCGGAAGTCAGCCATTCCAATGCATGCTTGACCTCTGCCTCGACCAGCTCAGCAGTCAAAGCTCCACCCGGTATCGCCAGTCGTCCCAAACATTTGGCAGCAACGATCATGGCGCTGGTGTCGTTGCCCTCCAGCGTCCTCTTGATGTAGTTGCTGAATTTGGTGACCTTGGACGCAGCATCGTCGCCCTTGAAGTCAATCAAAGCGTTGAGGGCATACAAGCCACCGATGCGCTCATGAGTATCCTGGCCGCTGAGGATGAAGCCCACCATCTTCACGTTGACCTCATTGTAGTAGGCATTCCACACGGTCGGCTGCAGCTCGCGGAAAGCGGCAGTGACCTGTTCGATGAGACGCGCCGCAGCAGCTTGTCTGATCTTTTCGCTGCGTGATTTGAGGTCTTGGAAGATGGCACTCAAGGTCTCGCTATAGGCCGTCGTCATGATTGCGGTGGTGACGGGGAGTATTGGTGTCGATATGCCTGGCGCAGGCTTCAGTCGGGGTGTTGTTCAGCGTCGCCATTCATCGTCCTCGCCGTCGTCTCGTCCATGCACCCACGCGGCCTCGGGGGAGAAAGGCTTTTCGAAGGTTCTTGGCGGCGGTGCGTGTGGTGCGTGTGGTGCGTGGTACTCGTGGCGGAAGAGCTGTCAAGTGTGGTATTGAAGGTGGTTGGTGCAGTGATGGACTGTAGTTCGAGCTATGACCTGCCGATCGCACCGAAACCTTAAATTTTTAAGATGAGAACTAGTAGCAGTGATCCGCGTGGTACCTCAATACTTAAGCTTCATCCTCTCCCAAGGCTCGAATGCGCCTACATCTTTCTCTCCGGTAACCACGATGGACGACATACGGTAGCATGACCACCATGGACGACGAGGACGCCCCTAAGGAATTTCCCGACGTCAGCCAGAAGCTCGCGGCGCCGAAGAAGCTCTCGGCGTTCGAGAAGGAGAGGTTGGCGGCAGAGGAGAAGCGGCGGCGAGAGCAGGCAGAGACTGCGGCAGCGTTGGCCGAGTTTGAAGACTCGTTCGGAGGCAACGAGGATTTTGATGGCTTCCCGCCGTCGGCGCGAGGACCTCCTGCGGGGCCCAGCAGAGGACGAGGCAGCGCATATGGAGGCTCGCGTGGTGGCTTCGGAGGCCCTCCCAGAAGTGGCCCAGGCAGTCTGGGTGCGGCAGCTGGTCCTCCGCCAAGCATCAAGAGGAAACGAGCGCTGGACGAGCTGAGGGAGCAGCAGGAAATCAGGCGCGAACAGGCAGCGTTGGCGGCTGAGTACAATCTAGGAGAAGACGCGAGGCATGAAGAGCTGATCCGGCAGATTGACGAGGAGCCAGATGTTGCTGCTCCCAGGCCTACTGTGCAACTGTCCAATATGGATCCATGTGTAACGGAAATTGAAATACGAGTGCTGCTCAAAAACCACCTCAAAGTCCACTCCGTCTCCATCTCGCCGCCTCTCTTCGTGGGCAGGTTGTCTGTTACGGCGATTGCAACGCTGGACTACGAGACGACCACCGCGCAAATCGATGCTGCTGTGAGCGCGCTCCGAGACAAATACCTGGGGAGTGGCTATCGATTAGCCATCTCTCGCCATCTATCATCTACCGCGTTGCAGCCGGGGGCACTACAGGGAACGGTCTACGAGCCGGAGCCGTTTGGTGCGGAGAGAATCAGTCGAGATCATCATCGAGGATATAACATGCGAAATGCTCCACCGCCGTCCGATTTCGCACCTCCAGAGTCGCGCGCTTTTCGCAATGAAAGGTCCGATGCATATGCGCATGTCACGGTTCAGCTACCAACTGATATCAGAACCGTTCGCGCGATCCATATCCTGGTGGAACGACTTCTGTCGGAACCCGACCCGGTCCAAGCACTTCGAATAGAGTCGTGCCTGATGGGAGATCGTCTGATCGAGAGCGATGAAAGATTCGCGTTCCTGTATGATGCTGCAAGTCCCGAAGGTTTGTATTACCGCTATCTCCTATGGAATCGGGAGAATACTTTTGAAACGCTGCAAGAACAACGGCGTACAGGGGTGGCTCCCACGCGTCTATTCGACGATGTGGCGATAGACTGGATCGTCGTGCCGGGCGAAGTGCCTTTTGCAGACTTGACCCGATTGGGCCATCTACACGGCCATCCCAACTACGACGAATCTTCCGACGATGAAAGCGACGACGACGCCGAGAAGAGGAAATTCAACAGTGGTAGACGGGAAGGCGAAGGTGGGCCTGTTGGTGGAAGCAAGCATCTCACCCCTTATCAGATGTTCAAGTTTGCCTGGACTCTTGCACGGATGCCCAAAACACAAGCCAAGCTCAGAATGGGCGATGTTGGCTTGATTTCGGATTTCGCCATTAGGAAAGCTGGCGTTGGCGCAGAGCAGATTGTCGACATGCTGGTGTTGAATGTGGAAAAGCCGTTCTGCTTCACAACATGCGCTACAGATCATGCCGAAGTATACCGTCAGCTCGCCGAGCAGGACGAGGAAGACATGTATGAACCCGACGAAGAACTACCCAGCATTGGCACTCACACCAATGGCCTCGGCAGCAAAGACAGAAGAGATGCCGATGTCGACCTGTCCCAAGTCAAGCTTGTTGCTCTCTATCTTATCAATGATATTCTCCTCAACTCGGCAACAGCCGGTGTACGCAACGCCTGGAAGTACCGACAGTTGATCGAGAATGGACTCCGACGGCAAAACACATTCAAAAAACTCGGTCGCCTAGGCAAAGAGCTGGGATGGGGCAGAATGAAAGAGCAACAATGGCGAAATAAGGTGGGATCACTTTTCGAGATCTGGGAACGCAATAGCGTCTTCGCCACAGACGCCTTTGAAACGTTTAAGAAGGACTTTTTCGAGCAAGCGGCGAATGAGACGACGGACCATCATGACGCCGATCGTCAAGCGTCTCTTGCGGACTCGAAGCACCTCGCTAAATTCAAGCGCATCGATGGTACAGCTTCACCAGTTACTGCCGCCTCTGCTTCTCCAGCTCCCATGCCTCCTTCCGACGCCGCTGCTGATGGCGATGTTGTAGACGGCGCACCGGTGGATGACCTCGATGGCATGGCCATTGATGACCTTGACGGCGCGCCCATGGATGATCTCGATGGTACGGCGATTGATGACCTTGACGGCACGCCAATGGATGATCTGGATGGCGGTCCCATTGACGATCTAGATGATGTTCCAGCGAAGGAGCCTACTCCACCCGAGAGCAAGTCTGCCACTGAGATTGATACTCCACTGCGGCAACTCCCCCCTACTGAAGCGGCCAAAGCAAATGGTACTAGCTTCTCTCTGAAGAGCTCGGGGAATAGCAAGCCTGTGCCTGTCGAAATGGCCCGCAAGAAGCAGGCAGAAGACATGTTTGCCGATAGCGACGAAGAGTAACGCACGAGTAGTAATCATGTAACAGTATAAGGAGGCTGTCATACCGACAGGTCTCACCCGACCTGGAGCAGCGCAGTGAATGCAGTGAATGTATCTGGTAGGCAACCAGAGCCTGCCGGAATGATCATATGGCTTAGTGTCACTACTGTAGGTCCGCTTGAGTGTGGGTTTGGATAGCTCTTCACACCCTGAGACAGTATCACTGACTGCAACTGAATGCTGAATCATCACACAGTGCAACATGTGTGAAGTTTGTGTCTGCTCTGCCTATTCGAGTTCGTGGCGCTCCCTCTGACGAGCCAGGATACATGATGTATACTGTACAGAAGATACATGCAAGGTTGTCAGCTTCCCCTCACGATCCTGGTCCCCCCAGACTGTTAGTCTGTTCACGACATGGATGCTTTGGTATATGCACACTACTTAACGAGCCTACAACTGACCAACCCTCCCCACAAACAGGCATTGCTACGTCCTGCGATGAGGGCATGGGTGCATCCGCGCGGGGATGCAGCATTCCATTTGACCGCACGTGTGCACATATATACGGTTTTTATTCCCGTTGCAGTGTGTCTCTCCACCACTTCACCACTGACTGCACCACTCACTTCTCCGCCAAGACACAGATCCGTCGATAACAGCGGTGCACAATGCCCACCTACGCCACGTACGGAAAGGATGGAAGGCGGATTCAGCAGCCCAACAGCGGCTTGTATGGTCAAGTTCCCAATCCCAAACGCATCGACATCGACAACCCACATGAAGGCAAGCCGGAACCCACCGTCCTGATCATCGGCGCCGGCACTTTCGGCACTTCCACCGCATATCATCTTGCCCAGCACTACAAAGACCCCTCTCGAGTGACCATCATCGACCAAGCGCCCTGCCCACCCAAACCCGCCGCTTCGATCGACGTGAACCGTGTGATCCGCACCGACTATGCCAACAAGCTCTACTGTGATCTCGCGTGCGAAACCATCCATCCATGGTTCTGGTCGGAAGAACTCGGCCCGTATTTCCACAAAGTAGGCTGGCTCATGTACGAAGAAGAAGGGAGTAGTCTCAAAAGCCGAATCAAATCCACGTTTGAAAGTCGAGGAAGCACACAATTCCAAGATGTCACCCTCGATCAGATTCCGCAACAATGGACAGCTTTACGAGGCACTTCTCATCAAGGTTTCCAAGCTGCCTATTTCAACCCCGAAGCAGGTTGGTGCGATGCCGCATCCGCCACGCAAGCGTTTATGAAAAGTGCCGAACGAAGAGGGATCCGACGCGAGACTGGAAAAGTCGTTTCACTGATCCGGAATGACGACTGCGGCACCATCTCCGGAGCTCGAACTCTCGATGGCCGTATCTTTGAAGCGGAGAAAGTGGTCCTTGCCGCGGGACCGTGGACTTCACAGATTCTATCTCCCACTGAAGAGGAATTGAACCTGCCCTACGAATCGAGAATTGAACGTCAAATCCAAGCTACAGGTCTCGTGGCAGCTTACTATCGTGTCTCTGATGAAGAGGTCCAACAACTGAATCAATTCCAAACGCCCGTGGTAGTCTATGGTGGTCTCGGAGAGATTATCCCACCTGACAACAGTAACAGCAACACTTCTTCGAACAAATTGATGAAATACGCCAATTCCCGATCAGGAATCATCAATACCGTACCCGTGAATCCCTCTTCGCCTGCCGGCGCGAGAATCTCCGTCCCTGCTGATGATCAATACCACATTCCGGAATGCTTGAAACGAGAAACCAAAGCGATGATTAGCGACCGCGTCCTGCCGGACTTTGCTCGAGGGAAAGAACCGGACTATTGGAGAATTTGTTGGGATGCACAGACACCTACGGAAGACTTTTTGATTTGCAAACATCCGGAGAAGAAATTGGAAGGGCTGTATATTGCCACGGGGGGAAGTTTTCATTCTTACAAGTGAGTTTTTTTTTCTTTTTCCTTTCCTTTCTTCCCCCAAAAGACACCCCTCTGAACACGAGTCCCGCATACATACATACACAACCCCCAACCCCCAACCTAACAACCAACAAAACAGATTCCTCCCCATAATCGGAAAATACATCCTCAACACCCTCTACAACACCAGCAACGGCAGCGAAAAAGATCTCGCATGGGGTTGGAAAACTCCCACGTCCACTCCAACATCAACGAAAACAACAACAACAACAGAAAAAGAGATGAAATGGGTAGACATCCACGAAAGAGGTCTACTGAGTCATAAACGAGTCCTAAAGACTGAATTGCGAGAATTATTCGCAAGAGATAAGAAGGGGAATACTACTAGTTCACGACTGTAAGGTAGGGAGGTATATATATATATACCTAAGGTACATAGTGAATTGGTAAGTGCGTTTAAACAGCTGGGTCAAAGAGTCAAACCGACCTACCTTACCTACCTGAAATAAATATATGGGAAGTTGAGAGAAAGTACCAAGGTAAGGAAAAGAATTATGTATATCTGTCTTCATCATCCTCTTTAGGGGGGTTTGGTGGGAAATTATATATATCTACCTCCTAGTACATACAGGTAAGGGAGTAGACGATAAGGTCAGGTAGGTACAATTTTACCGAGGTTTCTGGTTTTATTTTTTAAGTTGTGTACGGTACGTAGGTACCTACTCAGCTACTACTACTACTACTATTGCTTGCTTGCATTGTCCTCCTATTCGCTTTTTCTCTCGTCATCACCATCGTCATCATCTCCATCTCCATCTCCATCGTTTAGTCATACACCAGCCATGCAGCAAGCCAGCTATAAAAAGAAGAGAAAGAGAGGGAAAAAAAAAAGAACAAAAAAGAAACTCCGACTCCATCCATCCATCACGCCTCGCAGGCACAAAGATAGATATAACTAATATATAAACAACTCAAGCAGAATGACATATCCTCGCGAATGATGGCGTATTTCTCTGATGACTACTACTACTACTACATGCAGGAGGAAGCAGACTTTCTAAACCGTGGCAAGTGACGAGGTGTTGGCTTCTGATGCCCCAGTCGGGAGGATTGGAAAAGCCTTTTCCGCAGTAGACACAGACTCCCGTATTCGTGTCTGAAGCGAGCATAGTGAAAGCGGCTTCGACATTGTTGTTTTCGAACTGCGTATCATACGTATCAAAGCCATCATCGATTGCATCTGCAGGCTCCAAGATGGGTGAGACAGTCATCGACTCGACGGTATGTGTCCTCTCGTGCCGACGCAAGTCTTTTGGATATGAGAAGCCTTTGCCGCATTGTGTGCAGACATGTGGTCGATCCGTGCCATGGACCTTTTCGTGTTTCGTGAGCTCTCCTTGATGATCAAACACTTTGTCGCAACCATGTACCGCACAAGGGTAGCCACCGGGGACTTTCGGGGCTCGTCGCCGCTTTTTCGAAGCATTCGTCCCAAAGCTGTATTCCGAGTCGACCTGACTGCTGGCGGAGATGTAGCCGAGATCGCGGGACAGCGACGATGACAGCGACAATCGTCGAGACACGCTTCCTCTTCGACTGTGGAGGGCCGAGCTGGAGAGGGGCGGATACTGTCGGGGCGAGGAAGAGATACGGAAGAGAGCATTCGCCAACTCCGTCGGGCTTGCTGTGCCGGGAGCCAAGGACGAGCGTCGCGGCGGTGGCAGACACGCAGGTATCGATGGCGATACAGAGCCCGAATGGGGATCATTGGGGTCGCGGCTCTGAGAGGTGTGGAAAGCTTGGTGCACGAGAGCAGGCAGACGACTAAAGCCGGCGGCGAGGAGGTGTGAAGTCAGACTGAAGCCAAATGGCAATCGTAGATAACAGGCTTCGATATTGCGGTCTCCAGCGTTGACATTCCAATGAGGCCGTGCGCCGTGGAGTGCGAGGAGGGCAGAGGCAGCATCGGAAGGCGTCTCAAACAAGGCATACACCGTGCCATAGTCACCTCGGACATCCATGATGGTGTTGATGGGTCGGGGCAGTTGCAGCACATTCAGACACGTCTGGAAGCAGATGGTGGACGATATCCAGTGGAACAGCACCAGTCTGGGGTCAATATAGCCCGGTAGCCACGCATCTCGAGACGGGTTCCATCTGCGATCACTCGGATTTCCCGTCTTGGCCAGGGCACATTTACTGAGCAGCACGCGTTTGAGCTTCCCCGAGCCCACGCTCATATGGCTCAGACCCCACAGATTCGACATGGAGTGGACTTGTTTCCGTCGGCGGGAGTCCAGAGGTGTGGTGGTGAGGGTGCATTCCGGGCCCTGGCGAAAGTCGTACAGCTGCTGTCGGAGCTGGTCATACCAGAGATCATGGCTCTCCGCCTCCGTCCACGAACAGTCGCTTTCCTCTTGCGGCGGCGGCGCAGTGTTTCCGACTTCTTCCTGCAGCTGCGGGGAAAAGAAGGGCATATCGGTATTGGCATCTTCCAGAGACAATTCCAAGAGTTCTTCATTAGTAAACATCAGCGAGCCAGCAACAGCACGTGCGTCTTGCTCAGTGATGGTAGCCCAAGTCTGCTCCCCCGACCACACCACCTCATTTGTGCTCTCGGAGTGCTCCGCCATGAGAGAGAGGATGGAAGTTGTAGATCAGCAGACAAGAGACAAGAGACAAGAAAGGAGGAGGAGCCTCTCTCTCTCTCTCTCCTTTTCTCTCTCTCGCGGTGGTGGTGGTCAAGTCACGCTCTCCTTTTTTTCTATTCTTGTTGTCGTCCACGACGGCCGCCCGTAAGGATACCTGTTTGGTACAAGTACATGTAGGTAGCCTTGAATTGAGGGAGGCTGATGGAAGGATTTGAACAACGAGGGCTTGGGCCTTGGCCCTTTCTCTGCCTGTCAACGCGCAGCACATGACGTTATTATCCGCAGCCTCTTTTTCTCGACTCATGTAGACGTGTGACTTTGGCGGCCCGTCGAACCCCCCAGCTGGGGCTAGGCTAGGTTACCTAGAGTTCGCCATGAGCTGGTAGGAGGTATTATTACTGTATTTTGTTGGCTGGCGTTGGCGTGTGATGGATGACATGTACGTGATGACGAGGCAGAAAGTACACCATGTGTGAGTGAAACAAAAACATGTGTGCCTGAGGCCACAACACAGCAGTGTCGACGCAGCATCGATTTTGATTACTCTGTGCCCATTCGCTGAGCACATCTGTCTGGGTACCTGTAGTCGGGAAGGACATCGGCATCATCCTCATCCTATGAGTATAACCCAACTCCATTTTCATCCCATGTGAAAAACGATCCGTTCCACACCATACCATACCATCTTATCCCCTGAACACACCCGGTGAAGAGTATGCCGAACGCCTCGCTTGAACGCTGTTGAAAGTCTCGTAGTTGCCTACAGAGGTCATCGTAAAAGGTGTGTTGAAATCTATCGCTGTGAATTCTCCCCTGGTCCATCTACTGCATCCCCCCCGCTCGAGACACTAACCGCACTCCGGACACGAGCAGCAGAGACAGGGAGGATGCATGTGCAGGCTTAGGTCGATTGGACCGGCTGATCCTCGACAGTACCGCCTGGTGCACAGCTACACACACACACGCACACACAGATGTTAGCATAACTTCTTGCCCACGGAATAATCACAATTCATGTGCACGTACCTGCAGAACAGATTGGTATCTCCATACGCATCGTCCAATCGGGTCACACTGGGCCAGAACTTCTTCTGCTTGAGCCATGGCAGAGGATAGGCAGCCTTCTCACGGCTGTACGGACGATCCCACTCGGACGTGATGAGGTCTTGCTGCGTGTGCGGCGCCATCTTGAGCACATTGCCTTCGCGAGGCTGCGACCCATTCTCAATCTCGCGAATCTCTTGCCGAATCGACAACAAGGCATCGCAGAAACGATCGAGTTCGTCCTTGGATTCCGATTCGGTCGGCTCAATCATGAGCGTGTTGGAGATGGGCCAGGACATGGTCGGCGAGTGAAAACCATAATCCTGCAGACGCTTCGCGATATCGATGACTTCGATTCCCGAGGATTTCTTGAAGTTGCGGGTATCGAGGATAAATTCGTGAGCGCAGCGTTTGTTGGCGTTGGTGAAGGCAATGTCATATTGCCCATCCTTCTGCAGCCGAGACATGATGTAGTTGGCATTGAGGAGGGTGATCTTCGTGGCGTGGGTGAGTCCACGAGCGCCCATCATCTTGATGTATGCCCAGGAGATGGGCAGAATGCTCGCGGAACCCCATGGGGCAGCGGACACTGGCGCAGTAGCTTGCTTTCCACCCACGTTGGCCACAAGTGGGTGGCCGGGCAAGAATGGAGCGAGGTGCTCTGCAACGCCAATGGGTCCTACTCCAGGACCACCTCCTCCGTGAGGAATGCAGAATGTTTTGTGGAGGTTGAGATGGCAGACATCAGCACCAATCTCGCCCGGTGAGCAAAGTCCAATTTGTGCGTTCATGTTGGCACCGTCCATGTACACTTGACCACCATGCTTGTGCACAATCTCACACGCTCTCTTGACCTCCGGTTCGAACACTCCAAACGTCGATGGGTAGGTCACCATAAAGGCACCCAGCTCCTCACTGTACTTTTCGCACTTGGCTTCGAGGTCGGCAATGTCCAGGTTACCGGTCCCTTTGGTATCACACTTGATCGTCACTACACGCATTCCCGCCATTGCTGCCGAAGCGGGGTTCGTGCCGTGGGCAGACTCGGGAATCAGGCAGATATCACGCTTCTTGCCCGGCTGCTGCTCCTGGAACTTGCGAATCACACGAAGACCAGTGAACTCTCCCTGGGCACCAGAGTTCGGCTGTAGCGAAACGGAGTGGAAACCGGTAATCTCTGCAAGATCGTCCTCCAATTCCTTAATCAGAGTTTGATAGCCCTTGGTCTGCTCACTCGGCGCAAAAGGATGAATGTTGGCAAACTCGGGCCAGGTGATGGGAATCATTTCCGTCGTCGCGTTCAGCTTCATGGTGCATGACCCGAGAGGAATCATGGAGTGCACCAGAGATAGATCCTTGGACTGCAAGTGGTGCATGTAGCGCAAGATTTCCGTCTCGGAGTGGTAGGAGTTGAAGACCGGGTGAGTGAGGAATGCAGATGTCCGTTTAAGTGACTTGGGAACTTGAGCATTGGCTTCAACACCCTGCGCGAGTCCCTCAATGTCAATCGCATCAGTCGTAAAGGCCTTGAAGATCTGATCAATCTGCTTCTTGCCCACAGTCTCGTCGATGGTGATACCGATGTGATCGTCGTCAATCACACGGAAGTTGGTCAAGAAGTTGGACACACACTTGGCAGCGAAGCCAGGAGCATCATGCTTCCTCACCACCACAGTATCAAAGGCGACGGGTTGACGCACTTCCAGACCGCCGCTCTCAAGACCCTTTGCAAGCACTTGAGTCATCTTTGCAACCTTTTCTGCAATCTTCTTCAGACCGTGTGGACCGTGATAGACAGCATACATGGCGCTCATATTGGCCAGAAGAGCCTGGGCAGTGCACACATTGCTGGTTGCCTTTTCTCTTCGAATGTGCTGCTCACGTGTCTGCAGAGCCAGACGAGCAGCGTTGTTGCCAAGACGATCCTTGGAGAGACCGATGAGACGTCCAGGAATCTTGCGACTGTGCTTGTCGCTGACAGCGAAGAAGGCAGCGTGTGGACCACCAAAGCCGAAAGGCACACCGAAGCGCTGAGCATTCCCAAAGGCAACATCGGCACCAAATTCGCCAGGAGGTGTGAGCAAAGTCAGAGCAAGCAGGTCAGTGCCTACAGCAAACGTGCCCTGATACTGGTGCACTTTGTCAGCCAGGTTCTTGTAGTCGGCGACTCCTCCGAGGGTGTCTGGATACTGCGCCTGGACGCCCAACAGGCTGTTACTGAGCTCGTCGACCCGCTTGCACCCGTCTGCAAGAATGTCCGCTACTTCAATGGTGATACCAAACCCTTGCGCGCGGCTCTCCAGCACAGCGATAGTCTGTGGGTGGGCGAGATGAGATACCAGCCACACCTTCTTCTCCATCTTCTTCAGTCGAGAAGCGGGAATGGTGTTCATCGCGAGCGTCATCGCCTCTGCTGCAGCAGTAGCTTCATCGAGGAGGGAGGCATTGGCAATGGCGAGTCCTGTGAGATCCGTCACCATGGTCTGGAAGTTCAGCAGCGACTCCAATCTTCCCTGACTAATCTCTGGCTGGTAGGGCGTGTAGCTGGTGTACCAGGCAGGATTCTCCAAGATATTGCGCTTGATCACTTCTGGCACACGAGTTCCGGCGTAGCCACACCCAATGTAGGACTTGTAGACCTTGTTCTCGCCCGCAATCTCACGCAATCGAGCCAATAACTGGCTCTCGGAGAAGCCGCCCTCAGTCGTGGGCACTGAGCCCGACTCTGGCACAGGTCCCTCGACATTGAGGTCCTTGGTGGTGAGAATAGACTCGGGCAGAACCTGCTTCACAAACTCATCCAAGCTCTTCACGGGTGGGTCGAGAGCCTGGAGCATCTCCTCGGTGGTGGTGGCGGTGGGGCCAATGTGGCGGCGTGGGAAGGTGTCGAGCGGTGCGAAGATGGAGGAGTCATGGCTCTTGACCTCGAGCTCACTGTCTCGTGGGGCGCTGGAGTAGAAGCCTCGCGTGCGTGTGTGTGCAGAGTCCGGCTGGGCGGGCGAGATGTGATATGGTCGGGTCTGGATGGTGGGCTTGTTCAGCATGCAGCGTGTAGAGAGCGGCCGTCGCGTAGCCAGCCATTGCGCTCGAAGGCGAATGGCAGTGGTTGACATGTTAACAGCTCGTCTACCACTGTTTAGGGTGGGTCGAAATATGTTGGTGCGATGGGGAGACTCCCTCCAGGTGTGACGAGAGACGGGAGGATGGAGGTGTGACAAGTGGAAGAGAAGAGACAAGAAGAGACTCGACTCGACTTGAGTTCACGTGTGCGTTCAGTTGGAGAAAAAGTTCATTCACCGTCGATCCATGGCACAGGGCACAGATGCCTATCTTTCATTAACCTTTGCTTATCAGTGAGCCATGGGCCGCCGCTAGCCGGGATGTCCAAAGGGCTATGCTGTTTCCATGTATTCGGTCACCGTAAGTAAGGTGACTTGAGTTCTTATAGAATATCCAACAATCAGGTATGTATCTGTCCACTCCTCCATCTCTCGTCGCAGCTCCTGAATGGTAACGTCTTCTCAGACAAGTCCAACGGTTGCCCTGCCCCCCTTACTTCAAGTACCTACCTGGTAGCTTTGACGAGTTTACAGTCCAAAACTCCACATATACCTGATCAGACTCTGCTTCTGTTTCATTACTCTGCCCCTCCCGCAATACCCGATCCGCACCCTGTCCTGTCTCAACTTTTGCCTACCTGAGGTAATCGTATACCATAAAGGTAATCTCATCATAATATATCCTGATTAGGTATCATCATCCATCGGATTCGGGTTTGTGTAAGTGGCGGGCGCCTCAGGCAGGTATTCGGCCTGTTCTTTGGAACCAATTCTCCTTGTAGAGATCTTCACTCTGAATATTCTTAACAAAAGAACGACCTTGTACTTTCTGCCTGAGGTAGGCAATTCAGAGATGGAGAGAGATGCCCAGAGTAATGCCTAAGGCAGGAAGAAGATGAAGATCGTGATGGAATACATACATGTACATACGCATACACGCACGCACGCAGGCCTGCCCGTATACACGCCCGTCCCGTATCGTATCGTGCGGAATTGGCTGTCATTCCTGTTGATGTGGCACACAGCAATCAGGCACCCGTTGCAAACGAGACAGTCGGCGAGGTTGGAGCCTGAGGCCAGAGGCCGGTAGTCTATATAGTACAGCTGATAGACATTCAAATTGACACGATCATGGATCTCAATAATTACTCTTCAACAATTCCATACACCTAGGAGGTAGCAGGCAAGCCTATAGAACATTCAATATTCGGGGCGCCTGCTATTCATCCATCCCTCCATCCATCCCTTTATCCCTCTATCCATTCCTCCATCTACCCATCGATTCACCTTCAAACCCATCCAATCCAAACCCACCCTATTCCAACACTACCCTATTCAACCTCCGAAATCTCCCTCAAAGCAACCCTCCGCCCTATCAAAAAAAAATTATACACATCTACCTCAGGCACATACCAACCTCCGTCCCGTCCTAAGCCGTAGAACTTCGGCCGACATTCCATCCGGAGGGGTAATGAAGAGAAGCTACCTCCGAGGGGATCCATTGCAACGGGGAAAAGTGTATCCGGTTACCTAAGAAGCTAGTTTCTACTTTTGCCTTACGTGACCCACCAGCCCACATATCCACATATATGTATCCACTAATCTACATCTTATAGGAGGTCCATGTACATGTAGCCTGTAGGTGTCACCTATGTTGTACCTGACCTTATGTAAGAACGTACCTTACGTAGTACCTTACCTTAGGTAAATACCGAAATATCTACCTCAAGTGCCGTAGAGCGTATGCTAAACCTGACCCATAACCTCCACTCTTCTCTCCACTTTCTAAGGTACTCCACTCTCTAAGGTACTCCACTCTCTAAGGTACTCCACTCTCCAAGGTACTCCACTCTCTTCAGGTTCGTAAATGATTTTCCATAGGGCTAGGAGGGACCTAACTTACCTAACTTACCTAGCTTAGCCTAGTCTCTTAGGTACCTCCAACCTCCTCCTATGTAGAGTGACTGAATACCTAAGGCGTGTTCATCAGGTATTGTCGTGTACCTGTACCTGTACCTGTGCCTGTGCCTGTGCCTGTACCAGTACCAGCTCGTACCTTACCTAATCTACAGGTTTCTTATATACCTACCTACCTACTGTATGCAGGAACCACCTCAGCAGGGAATCATTCATTCATTCATTCATCCACTCCCTCCCTTCCTCCCTCCCGGTTGCCGGCTTGGTATATGTCTGTATCTGTACCTGTGCGTCCGTGCGTCCGTGTACGTCCGTGTATATCCGTGTATCTGTCCGTGTGCATGTACATACATACATACAATACCCTTGCATACCCACAAAAAGTACATATCAAAGGTACAAATCAAAGATACATATCAAAGATACATGTACACGTGTATCTTGGGGTATGTGGTTGTTTTTTTGTCTTTTTAAAAATATATTTGCCGATCCGATCGACACAAAAAACCACCCGGACGAACGTCCGTGCACCCGCCCTGTCTTTCACAACTTCACTCGGTGAATTTTTATGTGCAAGCCAAAGCAAAATTTCCCTTTCAAATTGGCGCCCTAAAACGACAGTGTGCCTAGCTAGCTACCTTAGGTAAATACATAGCTATGTATCTACACCCCTCTTCTCCATCTGTCAGGTGTTTCAACGAGAGAAACAAACACCGACCCTCTCTATACCTATTTTGCCAATTGGCAACAAAACCAATCCAATCAATCAAAATCAGGTACAAAAAAGGAAAATCGACCACCAACATCCAAGCCTCCCCACTGCCTCCACTTGTTTCGTCACATCATCCCGGCAACTCCACACATACACACACACCACACACTCCACGCACGCCTATGCTCCTAGCTCCTAGCCCATTTCGGTATGGAATATCAGTCAAGTCAGTACCCAAGATCTGGACTTGTGCTCACAGCATCACCGCCCCAACCACACATGCCAAAGTCCCGATCATCAGGCCCAAGCCTGCCCCACTTCCAACCAACCTCTCGGCGGCACTACTGCTATCAGCAGTCGACGTCGCACTGCCCGTCTCAGAACCACCACTCATCGTCGCCGTGGGAATAACCGAAGTTGTCATGCTCATTTCTTGAGCAATCGCCTCCCTCTTGGCCATAGCTGATCCGTTGGTTTGAGGTTGAGCCTCCCTAGCCATAACTGATCCATTGGTCTGAGGTTGAGCATCCCTGGCGATAACTGATCCATTGGTTTGAGGCTGAGCCTCCCTAGCGATAACTGATCCATTGGTTTGAGGTTGAGCCTCCCTGGCGATAACTGATCCATTGGTTTGAGGTTGAGCCTCCCTGGCGATAACGGATCCATTGGTTTGAGGTTGAGCCTCCCTGGCGATAACTGATCCATTGGTTTGAGGCTGAGCCTCCCTGGCGACAACTGATCCATTCCCTTGAGGAATAGCCTCCCTGGCAACGACAGGCTTTCCTGCGCTATCAATAATCCACGGTGCTGCTGTGTGTCGAGCACTAATAGCCTCCCTTTTGGCGATAGCTGATCCGCCTGGTGTTTGCTGAGCAATAGCCTCCCTTTCGGCGATAGCTGATCCGCCTGGTGTTTGCTGAGCATTGGCGTCCCTTTTGGCGATAGCTGATCCACCTGGTGTTTGCTGAGCAATAGCCTCCCTGCCGACAATAGCGCTTCCTTCAACAATTGGTGTTGTTACTGCCTGGGCAATAGCGTCCCTGCCGACAATGACGCTGGATCCAACAATTGGTGTTGTTACGGCCTGAGCAATAGCATCCCTCTTGGCCATTGGAGTAGGGGGCGGATTTGCCTGCTGAGCATTGGCGTCCCTAGGAATAACCTTGATTGCCGACTCTTGAGCATTGGCGTCCCTGCCGACAATTACTGTCTCTTGAGCAATAGCATCCCTCTTGGCCATTGGAGTGGGGGGCGGATTTGCCTGCTGAGCATTGGCGTCCCTGTGGATAATGGTTACTGTCTCTTGAGCAATGGCATCCCTCTTGACCATCGGGGTCGGTTCCAATGCTTCCTGAGCAATGGCATACCTCTTGACCATCGGGGTCGGTTCCAATGCTTCCTGAGCAATGGCATTCCTCTTGACCATTGGATCATGGATCGGTTCCAATTCTTCCTGGGCAATAGCATTCCTCTTGACCATTGGATCATGGATCGGTTCCAATTCTTCCTGGGCAATGGCATCCCTGCCGACGAGAATGGCTGAAATGGCTGATGGCATTGGTGTTTGCTGAGCAATGGCGTCTCTGCCGCCAATGGTTCCTCCACCGCCACCTGGTTGTGTCACTTGAGCAATAGCATCCCTGCCGACAATGGCGCTTCCTTCAACAATTGGTGTTGTTACTGCCTGAGCAATAGCATCCCTGCCGCCAATGGTTCCTCCGCCACCGCCGCCAGCGGTTCCACCGCCACCACCACCAGCGGTTCCTCCACCACCACCACCACCTGTCTGCTGAGCAATAGCGTCTCTGCCGACAATGGTTACTGTCACTTGAGTAATAGCGTCTCTGCCGCCAATGGTTCCTCCGCCACCTGGTTGTGTCACTTGAGCAATGGCGTCCCTGCCGACAATGGCGCTTCCTTCAACAATTGGTGTTGTTACTGCCTGAGCAATAGCATCCCTGCCGCCAATGGTTCCTCCGCCACCGCCGCCAGCGGTTCCTCCACCGCCACCGCCAGCGGTTCCTCCACCACCACCACCACCAGTCTGCTGAGCAATAGCGTTCCTGCCAATAACAGCTGGTACGGTCACGTTTTGAGCAATGGCGAGCCTGGTGAGGACCAGTCCGAGGGTGAGCAGGGAGGCCATGTCTGAAGGACAAAGTCAGGTAGTTTGATTGTGAGAGATTGCTGATTGTAGCCTCCAAGTGAAGAATGATTTGATTGTACAGCGAGGTGCTGCAACGAAGGAATCTGTCTGTCTTTGACTCATATTATATAGACGTTTATGGATGTGCGGCTACCGCAATGTTCAACTGCCTATCAGCCAAGCAGAGGCTGCTGACGACTCTGTTTGAGATTTGGAGAAGCGGTATACCAATAGCAACAGCCGAACTCGTCCATTGATATTGGCATGATGAAGTGCTGCCCTCCGAGTGGCAGTAGATGCGTAATGTCGGGTGTTGGCTTAGACGGACACGAGGGCTGGGCAGCCAAGTGTACTCGGAGGGTGGCTGTTCAATGGGTGGGTCTGTGATTGTGACTCGCAATCGCGAATCGCCCGAGGAATCTTTGCATATTGCTCGAGAAGACTGATCGAACTGGTGCTGAATGGTGCCACTAGCGATTCTTCGCCAGCGTCATCATGCAGACAGCATAGACTTGAGGTCGTTATGCTTGCTGAAGTCCTGTGTGATCGATTGCAGCTCGATTTGCCGTGTGTGCGTTCCTCCAGCCTTGTGCGCGCTTGTCCGCTGGTCGTAACGCTATACAATGGTACGTTACAGGAAGCGAAGAACGAGGAGGAGACGGCTCATTCATGCTGCGCATCCGTCCCGTGCAAAAAGATCCACTACAATTTTCCACCTGACAGTCCAGCAGCGGTCTTGGTCATTTGGTCGATTCTTCCCGTCCCCCGACTCGAGAAGACAGCCATGATTCCAAAGCCAGCATAGAACAGCGCCAGAGGATAAGCCACTAAGCCTCTCATGTTGGACATTCTACCCACAACACAGAACATTGCGGAGCTGGAATACGTGCACCATGAAATTGCCAGGCTAACGAGGCAGTATCCGATAAACGTGTCTAGCGGGAGAGCGACACCCAGTAAGCTTGCAAAGACCAGAGGGAGGAGGCAATATCCGAGGACGGAACTTGATCGACCCAAGGTGAGGGTGGAGGAGAAGTGCGAGGAGCCTTGGTATTGGCTTGCGCTGTGGTTCTGGATAGCTGCAACTTCGTCCGATGACAGGGGTGGGGACATCATGCTGAAGACGAAGTGGAGGCTGAAGGCTCCCAGAGCGGCCAGTCCGCAGACATAGCCGAACCAGAGTTTGCCAGACTACGATTGAGAGTCAGAAAGGCATTATTGCAATGCAGAGTCACATGCAGCAGGAGGTGGAACTGACCAAGAGTAAGAAGGTCCCAAACAGAGCACAGAACAGAAAAGGACCAGCGAGGTCTGCATCGTCCATGATATGCTGATCGATTCGTGCCATGGGATTGAGGACAGTCAGCGTCTGTAGCCGGGCACGCATCTCATCAGCTCATGTTCATTGCATGTCTTTGACGTGTCTTCCGGTGCATGCACAGCACGATTATGAGGATTACCTTCATCTGAATGTGGCTGAAGTTGACTCCCAACTCCTCAAGCAATGGCGGCTCCCCATCATAACCCTCTGTACCAAACGCGGCTAACCAGCCCGTTCGCAGGCCACCTTGCCCTGTGCCCATTTGTCCACTCGCGCCGGGTTGGCCAGGGAAAGCACCAAAGCCATAGTTCGCTGCCGACGAAGCTCCTCCTCCTCCTCCTCCTGCCGCATATGGTTGGCCATAGCCTTGTGATTGTTGGGCCGCGCTGCCGTAGGCTTGAAAGGGAGTCGTCTGGCCGGAGACGGGCTGCTGCGGGTTCGAGTAGGAGGATTGGTAGAAGTTGAGGTTTTGGGCTGGGTTGGCGGTGTTGTAGGCGTTGTTGGGCGGAGCTTGGTAGGCGTAGTTGGCCATTGTGCTCGGGGCACACGATGCTGGCGACAGGGTGTAGTCGAGAGATTCTCGGTGTCAGTCGCTAGCTACATATGCTGGCGAGCAGGAGGCGAGAGGCGCGAGCAGGGAGAGAAGTTAGTTGTCAGCAGTAGTGAGTGTGTCTCATAGAGTGAATAGAGTGCAGCAGTAGACGGGAGCGGCAGTGGGTCTTGGCGTGTTCTAGCGTGACCGAATGGAGGATTCCAGGTTGTCGCAGACAGGGAGCCCCTCCGCGACTTCCTTCTCTCACTCTTTCTCTCTCTGTGGTAGGTAAGGTAAGGTAAGGTAGGTACAGTAGTGATTAACTTATTATACACCTGCCCTGCCCTGGTTCCTTCCTTCCTCCCTTTCAGTCCTTCCTTCCTCCTCTGTTCCCATCCCATCCCATCCCATCCCATCCCATCCCTTCCCTTCCATTCGTCTGCTCCATCTCATTGCCATCCCCCACCTACATCCTCCAGGTTGAGTAGGTACCTGCATGCCATGATAACCTATACAGGTACACTTCAGCTTCACCTTCCCGATGCGTCTTCATAGTCAACATGACCACCTCCGACACGCCAAGAGATATCTGATCACACGTACTATCCTACCTCGGTAGGTACAATACCTACCACCGTACTGACCACTTGAACTCACTAGATGCTACTACTTTTCGCGGCACCACTGGGAGATCACCTGATCCATGGCATCAGCAATGAATCGATGAATACAGCAAGCCCTGGAGGCATGGAGTGCGTGTCGGAGCAGGACAGGAAGAAGATTCTCGAACCTTCCGCTACCTCCTACCGATCCCATCAGTGCTGCCCTGAGGTCCAGTGACCTTCTGCCGGCGGACCGTCGGGCCTGGTCGGTATGCCGAGTGGAACATGACATGCACACCTGAGCTGCACTGTGCTGGCCCTGCTTCGAGGGACTGTCTGAGGCCACATCGTCTGCAAGCCTTCGTCTTTACCGCAGCCCGGGCGTTCACATGCTCGCCCTCGTGCGCCGCTCGCTTGCCATCGGCCCCTCCATCACTCACTCTTCCGCCAAGCGCTCGGATTGCAACGAGTCATGTTCAAGGAGTACCCTTAATCCACGAGCAAGAAGACTTTGGAGTCAGCTCCATCCCCCGGACACAGCATCATCTGGAGCAGGACTGGGGACACTGGTCTGGTGACCTGTGAGGAATCTCGCACTTCCAGTATACCTTCGACACTCTCGGGCCTATCTCGACTCTTGGGCCCCCTCGACAATTCGTACGCAGGCCGCATGCCGATAGACGACACGAACCACTACGCCTTGAATCCTTTGGCGTACGTTCCCGAAATGGGGATGCGGAGCCTGATCGACCACAATCGAACTGCCATTACTGGTCGTATGAAATCTACCTCAAGTCAGCCGATTCCGCGCCGCAATGTACACACCTCCGTTTGCGCGTACGTGTGCAAACACAAATACCCTATGTTGGGGTGTGTGTTACCAGTATCGGATGTCTCATAGGTCTTTGCCAACGTGCTGGATCGACACTTTCATCGATAGCCGCAGATTTCGTCGGCCTACTCGGTTGTTTGTTGCGACTGTGAGAGGAGCACTGCGCGAACGAGTTGGACGGCACTATTCAAGGGCAAGGGCAGATTGTGAGAGAGTGTCCTCTGGAGTCCAAAGTGTTGCTGGAGTGTGTACAGTAGGATGCAGGGGTGGGACAACGCCCTACTATGGAGATCTGGTCCTTACGTCTGGATTCAAAACTCACGCTTGGCAATTTGGCATCTTGTCTAAATTTGCTTTCCACTCCCACGGCTCCTTGCCAAGCACAGAACCCTGGTCAACCACGGAGCGCATTCGGCTGAACTGTGGCAGAGCAGCCCACATGAGCGCTGCCTCGTAAAACCTCGTTTTCACTTATGCATCTTATGCAGTGTTGCGGCACCAATCCACACTTCGGAACATGTACACTCTGCACCGATTCGATCGCTCCGTCCTCATGTTTCCGACTGCAGCAACTTGGCCAGCGAGACAGCCAACACAGTTCAGGAGATGACATCCCACTGTGACCTTTTCTCTGCACTTCCACTCGGTTGCGAGCCCGCCAAGTCAAGTCTGGCTGTATCATAGACTTCATGCAAAGAAGGCTGCCGTCGCTTAAGCCAAATGGGGCACACCGATCAGTAGCGTCAAGGCTCCATATTTCTAACTGTGCTAGCCAACGTGCCAACCAACACCACGGGCTTTTGAACCCCTTGAAATCACTGGCTCTCGGCGTGCTTCAGCGGTACGATCTTGTCCACATGCTCTACTGAGAGTGGGGAGCCCGAGTCGACTTCGATGTCATCTATTCGAGACCCGCCCTTGCAGTGTGTTTGTTCTGGGGTCGGCCACGAAGTACTGATCGCCAAATCCCGTGTTTCTGGTGATTGTGGAGACTCACGAACAGATGACTCTTTGGCCGGAATCGGATCAGACTGAGATGTTGCGACAAACAGGCAACAGCTTGGTCCATCCTCAGCAGTCCTCGCAGCATCCTGCCTCCGCGGGCCGTAGATGACGCCCGCTCGGTCGGTGAGGGTAGAAGGGACGGGTTCTGACGTTCCATTCCACGCCACGACTCGTTGTCGGTCGTCACATTCTCTGGATCTTGTAGCCGAGCATTCGAAATGCGGAGGGATCCACTGTACTACTATTGTCGTCCACTGCAGATGCACCCAAGCCGAATGTGCCGGGAACACACGCCCACGCTCAGGCCAGTACGACAATTGCGAACTCCACTGACCAGACTAAATAATATCCCAATCAGGCTAACTATGGTACTGAGTAGACTAAAAGCCACAGCCTCGATAGGCATATGTACAACGAGTTCAGGAATTTGAAACGAACGAAGCCTGATTCGCTGGTCGCTGAATGCCACGCTTGATTGCCATTCACGCATACTGCCTAGCTGTGACCTAGCACATGTACCACCACAAGCGCATCATAGCAATGGCGGAGCAACGTACCACTCGAATCTCGTTGCCTCGAATACGGTGCGGAGAGGGAGGTTCGGAACATTCATAAACAGAGGAGAGACTGCTCGCATCCAGCGTCGTTCATCACCTTTGCTCTCAATTTCTATCAGCTTCAACATGTACACCAAAACTTTTTTCATGCATGTCACCTTCCCAGCTCTCGCCCTTGTCGGCTCGACTTTAGCATTACCGCAGGCTACCAACGCGGTTGATCCTTACGCCAACTGGCAGGCACCAGGACCAGATGACTGTATGTCAACTCATCATGTACATATCCCTCGAAATGCTAACTGTGGTCAGTTCGCGGGCCATGTCCCATGCTGAATACCCTCGTATGTACTAGGGATCACCCGCCATTCCAAACTTGCGTATCGCTGACGACCACATCACAGGCCAACCACGGCTTCCTCCCCCGCGACGGTGGCGCCAAAAACGGCTTGACCATGGATGACATGGTGAAGGCAATGACCGAGGGTCTCAACTTCGACCCCCTGATCGCACGAGGAGCCTGGACCGCTGGCCTCGTGGTCAACCCCAACAACACCGCAGACCGATGGGATCTCCAGCAACTTCGCGCTCACAACACTCTCGAACACGATGCCAGCCTCAGTCGCGCTGATGACTACTGGAATGGCAATGGCTGGGCGTTTGACCAGGCGACCTTTGACGAAACCAAATCCTACTGGCCGGACCCCCTTTTGAACAAGACAACACTGGCTCGGGTCAAGATTGCTCGTCAGGCTAAGTCCAAGTTCACGAACCCGGAATACTTCTTCAACATGAAGGCGGAGACTTTCAGTCTGGGAGAGGTTCTTTCGCTGGTTGCTTGGGGTGGTGACAAGGAGACTTTCACCGTGAGGAAGGACTTTATAGAGTATTGGTTTGGTAAGATTTCATTGTTCTTTTTCTTCGTGGCTGCTCCACTCTAGCCTCTGAACCAAACAACTGACATGATTATTGTGTCCAGAAAACGAACGATTCCCCACACACTTGGGCTGGACCCGACCTGCCGAGATGTTCACCGCGCAAGATCAGAACGATCTGGAACATATCATTGCCGTCGAGTCGAGCCTTCGAACCGACTTTGAGCCGCTTTGAGCGCTGTCTTGTCTGTGGATTGACATGATTGCAAAATTTGAGCGTGCTTGGGCAACCACCCGGTGAAGTCATTTGTTATTGATAGTAGGCGATGGGGGGTCGTGCTGCCTTTCTTGCCATTGCAAAGCAGCAGCTAGAAGAGGAAGAAAGGGGTTTCATCGAGGATATTACAGTTTTTGGCAAATGCACCCATACCAAGCTCAGTGGACGAAACAGCGGGAAGCTCGTTCAAGGTTTTTTTCTCTTCGTTATTGTTTTCTTGCATCTAGCGGGAAGGACGTGTGTACGTATGTACCTAGGAATCTTTTCTTTTTCGGATTGGTGTATACATAAATACCTTGCATACTTACCTTGGCGTTCGTATTGGTTCGGAGAAACAGATGGAGACCAATCTTTCAGGATGTCGCACTCGAATTCTGTCCTCTATCGGTACCTAATGTCGTTACCTACCTACGGGCATGTACAAGCGAAGTGCATAGCGCGTTCTCATCCCTGCAACCCTAGGTAGGTACACATATAGGTATTAGTCGTATTTGACTAAAACTTTCTTGGTATGTACCTGAGGCACGCCGAAAATTGGCCGATATTCCGTAACTACTATATACCTGACCTACTCCTTCGCTACCTTTAGGTATACATGCGATCATTTACTATGGGTAGGGTAGTACGATGATACAAGTACCAATATAATCTAAAAAAAAGAACCCGAAATATACGGTAAGGTAGGTTCCAGGTATAGGTTGTAGGTTGTAGGTATACTACATGTACGTTATACACAAGACTTCCAGCCAAGGTACTATGTAGTGACGAAAGCTAAGACTTCTCTTCAGCCAAGGCCTCCTTTTCTTCTTCTTCGTATTTACCTTTAGTGTACCCGAGGTTCCGAATTCCGAAGGAAACCCTATAGTACCTATCGCTGTCGGTAGCGCGAGGGGATACATATAATGAACGGAAGGTTAAGGTGTATATGTAAGGTCAGGTATATATACATGTAGGTAAGTACCTACTACAGTACATAAGGGTATAGGAGGTAGAGGTAGGAATCTAACCGAGTAATGCTCGATCAGTCACGTCGATGCGTTCATAAGCTCGCTTGACCTCTTCTGCTGTGAGTTGTTGTTGATGATGATGATGATGATCGGGCTGCTCGAGGCCAAAGTTAACTAGCTCCGCCACTCTGGGCCAGAATGAGTTTCGGGCTTGAGTTACGGCTCGTAGGATTAAGCGATCGCGAGCTGTGTTATTCGATGGTGGTGGTGAATTGTTGTTGTTATTGTTGTTGTTGGCTTGTTGTTGGGTGGAATTGCGTTCGTGGACTTCTGGAGCCGCCGGGATGGTGGTAGAAGAGGGATCTCCTTCATTTTGCTGCTGCATCATGTGTACTGGCTGCGAGAGGAGGGATACGGGAATGGTTCTCGTGATTGACTCCGCGCGAATTGGGTCTGCTCCGTTTTGCAGTGGTCGCGTGTCACCACCATTTGCTTCCGCTCTGGACTCGTCGGCGATTTCGGTTTTGATGAGCGCAGGCTCGATAGTGTGGTCGAAGGCGATGGTGCTGTCGAGCTTGCTGAGCTCGGAACTATCAGAATCTTCATCTTCGTACTGTATGGTGTCGACAGATTTCGCCAGCGCTCCGACATTGACGACATCGACTGTCGAAGTGGTCATCATGCATGTTCTGCGACGCTTTGTAGGCCGCACTACATCGTCTTCGCTGTCGCTTATTGCAGACAACAGCGAATCCTGCCCAAGGTTCGATTGCCGTGAAGGTGCATCTGGCTGCTTGGCTCGGGGACGCCTCGTAGGTCGCGGCACGTAGTCCTCGCTGTCGCTTGTTGCAAAAGAAGGCGATTGTTGTCCAAGGTCCGATTGGCGTGGTGCATTGGACTGTTTAGCTCTGATCGCCGCTACATGCTGAGAAAGTTCTTTGGCTCGTGCCCTTGCGAGCATAAGTTCTTTTCCCGCTTTCGGGATGGACATATACGCGGTCTGGCCCGTATCACACCCTCCTTTCGCACTGCGAACACAGTACGCACAAGGTCTGTGTCGTTGGTTCTTATCCTGCGTTCCCGTCAAGACAGGTTTCGTTCTAGTCGGCATACTGCTTCTCGTACCTTGAACACTCTACACTCGATACCCTGGTTCGATCTGGACTCACAAGTCTCACACGGTGTGCGTGCCGGGGCGCCCTCCTCTGTTTCCATGATACGTCGGGCGGTGTCAAATTTTCGTATCTGCTCCCATTAGCGTCGAGTCTTGCGATTGTGACCATACCGCCGATACATACCCTCTTGCGGGCAGCGCTCTTCAGTCGTGCATCAGAACTGGTGGCCTCGGTAAGCCACTCAGCCCAACGTGTCGGAGTGCAATACCAGAAGTCCTGTGAGTTGGACGTGGTCGGCCGTTGAAAAATTTGGCCGTCGATTTCCCAACAGTCTGTGATACTGCTGGATGCCATTGTCTTACGAGTCGACAGACTCACTTTCTAAGACAAAGGCTCCCCAGAAGTTTAAGGTGAAAAGGTCCTTTGCAATGAGGTAGTCAAAAGAGAAGAGAAGGAGAAGGAGAAGGAGAAGGAGAAGGAGAAGGACAAGGATAAGGACAAGGAGAAGGAGAAGGAGACAGAGAGAAGAGACGCGCGAGAGACACACGCGCGCGCGCGCGCGCATATGTACAAATTGGCCGACACCGTGCCACCAACGGGCAGGCCCGTAGGACATATTAAGGTTAGGGGGCTAAAGATTAACAGGGTATTCACTATTTCACTTTAACCTCCAATATTATATATATCACATGCCTAGGTGGGTACCTATGCTTTATATCGTGAACTGCTAGAGGATGCTAGTCAACTCAACACGGAGGGCGTCAAACATGGATTGAACTGGCGCGCTGTCCATCTCGCTCAGACCTGATGGATTGTTTCTACACGTACCTGATTCCTGGAAAGGCGGTCGGCGACTGAGGTATCAATACCCGCGCTGACCTGGCTACACTACAGTGACTTCTACCCTCCTCACCGTTGATAACGGCGTGGGTAGAAGCACGTGCGTGGAATGAGAAGAGTATGGCCACTGGTGAGGTGAAGTGAAGTGAAGGGGCATGAAGGGAAGTGAAGTGAGGTGAGGTGAGATGAGGTGAGAGTGGGAGACGCCCCCGTTGCTAGCGGCTACCGTATGACAGTATGACGTGCGCCCGCCCTCGCCCAATAATCTTGGAACACAACAACTCCTTAGCGACGACGCTAGTCGTCTGTATATCGTCTCTACCTACCTAACCTCCTACCTACCTACTATACCATCTCTCCCTCTCGGACTGCTCTTCGACTTGCACGCGATCTAGACGTCTACTCCAATTCCGACACTTCACATCTACTCCGACTCCGATCGATCCGCCGACCCGAGTCCGTTCTTGCTACAGTAGAAAAGCAACATCCCGATCAACATGTCTGAAGAGGGAGCCGCAGTGCCTGCTGCGCAAAAGGGATCATGGACTGGTTTCCTGAAGGTATCGCGAGTCTGGCGCTTCCTGCAATCTCACGGCTAACGACAAGTAGCAACTCACATCGTTCAACGGTGACCTTTCGGCCATGACGGCACCGCCATGGATTGTTTCCAATACTTCTCTCACCGAATTCTCAGCCTACTGGAGCGAAATGCCAGGACTGCTGGTAGCTCCAGCTGCCGAAAAGGACAAGCAGAAACGTATGCTACTTGTACTCAAGTGGTTCCTGAGCACACTGAAGCAGCAATACGCCAGCCGTAACGAGAAGCTCGGATCGGAAAAGAAGCCCATCAATCCCTTCCTGGGCGAGCTGTTCCTGGGGAAGTGGTCAGATAGCGCCGGCGAGACACAGCTTGTGAGCGAGCAAGTCTCACACCACCCGCCTGTCACAGCATACAGTATATGGAACAACCAGCACGGTGTTCGTCTGCAGGGTTACAATGCACAGAAGGCGAGCTTCTCCACGACGATCAACGTCAAGCAGCTCGGACATGCCCTGCTCCACCTAGACGCCTACGATGAGGACTATCTCATCACTCTGCCCGCACTCCACATCGAAGGCCTCCTCAAGGGATCGCCGTACGTGGAACTGAACAAGAGCAGCTATATTGTGTCTTCATCCGGCTACACAGCTCGCGTGGACTATGCAGGTGCAGGCTGGGTCAGTGGCAAGAAGAACTCCGTGACAGCGGTTGTCTTCCCACACGGAAAAGAGAAGGACAAGAAGAGCGTCATATACAAGGCAGACGGAAGCTGGACAGACGAGATTGTGATCAAGGACGCGGACAAGCACGTTGTAGTGCAGTACAATGCGAAGCAAGAGCCGAAAACGCCATTGTCGGTTGCGGACATCGAGGACCAGGACCCTCTGGAGTCCAGGAGAGCGTGGAAGAAGGTGGCTGAAGCAATCGAAACGGGTGATATGAACGTTACCAGTGTTGAGAAGACCAAGATTGAAGAGTTCCAGAGAGCGGCTCGAAAGAAGGAGCAAGCTGAAGGACGCGAGTGGCAGAGTACGTTCTTCTCGAGAACCGACTCACTTCCCATCTTTGATCAGCTCATCAAAGAGGTTCCGTACGGAAGCCTCGACAAGGACCAGACTGGTGGTATTTGGGTATTCGATCCCACCAAGGCACAGAATGCAAAGCCTCCGTTCAGTCCACTGAGCGAGGAGCTCAAGAATGGGTTCTAGTGCTGGAAAGTGGGCAATTGCCAGACCGGAATGAATCTGCATGTCTCAATGACATTGTACAATAGCGCGTGAGCGCAAGGAGGTTAGTAAGATGAGAAAGCATGATACCACGGGTGAAAGATTAGGGGAACAGCTACCTACCTCAGCGACTGGACACATGGTCATAATCATTTTCAGAAGTAGAAGGCATAGGTACTTCATATCGTACTTTTCAGTTGACCGTGAACATGTCAATTGCAATGATTTCACCCATATGTACCTAGGCATCGTGGTGAAATGAGCAGGTATCTAGGTAGCAGTATTGCATCTAGTTCCTACAATAATTGTCCTCTAGAGGAACCTCCGGGTGTGACGATTTCGGCGCGTGATATGAGCAGCAAACTTGAAGCTAAGAAGCAGCTCTCTCGAGATAAGTTAAACGCAGCATTATCACGAACTTGCTCAGCTCTCCATTCCAACAGCCCTGCGACGTATCGTATTCTCTTCTGAACAGGGTGGCCGACTGCGTCGAGTTCGCCTATTATTCGCAGGCCAGGCCAGCTCCACAAACCTTGCGGCTACCTACAGCACGAATCGGTACCATTCGACATCGACGACCGAGACAGCGACCGCGACATCGAGACCACTGCCTGCAGCAATACCATCGCAGCTCGCACCAATTCGCAGCTTGGGACACAAGCCTCTCGCGAAGCAGCGGGAGTGGTGAGCCCGACAATTCGCTACGACCACACAACTACGAGTCGCCGGAGACTTGCACAGCTCGCCCGGAGCGGACACAGCTCGTGGGGACAGCCTGCTCTCCCCCTCAAAAGTCGAACGATCTGCTAGGCGCAGCGAGTGGACAATACAGACGAGAAGGGACAAGGTGGACAGACAGCACAGGCAGAGACAATCTCCCAGGTCGTCGACGACGTGTCTGTGGGCATGGAGTCGTTTGCGACGTATCTCAGGCAACTGCTCCAGAGCAGTGCAGCAACCAACATTGCCAGTCCAACACGTGCTCCGACGGGAAGCGATGATGCAGATTACTATCAGCTGTTCAAGGCAGACCTACAGCAAATGACCAAAGATCCCCAGCAAGCAGATCATATCGCGCGAGTTCTGGACACCAGCGATCCCGACCTGTTGCGCGACCTCAACCTACAGCCATTCTTCGATCACTTTGACTTCGATGCCATTGCACGAGTGGCACTGCTTCAGTCTCTAGCAACAGCCACCAACGCTGATTTGAGGCATAAAGGTGAGTTCTAATGTGAGAATCCATCATGGTCGTAGGAGAGATGAGATACCACCACGACGAAGATGCAGCTGTCCACTACTGAGTCGCGGTTGCTTTGCTTGGCACTTGTTGCGACCTCTAGCTTACACCTTCCAGCGGCCACCAGTCTCGTACAGACATTCCCACTAGCGCTCCAAGCGCTCGCCCAACCCCTTCAGTCCACCGACGCCGATATCAATCCATCGCCGACAGTATTAGCATCCATTGTCGAACGAGTTATCCACGACCCGCGCGGCTCCAGCGACGAGCTCCGCGAAAACCTCTTTTACGCCGTCCGCATCTACTACCGCACCCGAGGTCTGCGCACGCCTTATGCCGTGGAGTCGGCGATGCTGCTGGACGATCTGCTGCAGTCGCAGCAAGACTCGCGTCTCGTGAAGAAATTCCAGGCTGCAGGCCCAGATGCCACCGCCAGTCTCGATGCCTGCAAAGAGGTGTTGGCTTCTGCGGAGACACGCGACATCTCCTACCCGCAGATCGCGAATGTGCTCCTGTACATGATCATCGTGCAAGATGGCGAGGCCTATAACCCGAGCGTGTTTGTGGAGGCGGTCCGACAGCACCGCGCAGGAGCACGGATAGATTGGACAGACGTTGTCACAGGATTCGACAAGGAGGGGCTCAGAGTGACCAAGAAACAGTTCCTGGCGCTTTACAATGCGCTGCTTCCGCTGGCAAGAGAATATGCCAACTTTGACATCCAACTGCTGTGGGGAGGCCAATGGCAATGGTCTGAGACGCAACTCAGTTTCGTGGTTGCCTTCCTCTCCACCAAGCCAGAAGAGCTGGACGTGATGCAGATACCAAATCTCAGGCAGGCATTCGACCTGACCCATTACGCAACGGCTTCAGTCACTGTTCGAGCTTGCGCCGAGGCCGCCATCAAGCACCCGTTGGTGTCCAAAGATGCCACGCAAGCCCTCTTCTCCATGATTTTCCGGTCACAAGACACGTACAACATGTCACAGCAGCTGGGAATTCCCGATACCATTGTGAATCCCAACATGGCAACTTTTGTGTGTGCAGCAGCAGCTACCGACAGACCCTGGGGACCACTGCAGGAGCAAGCTATGAAGCAGTTGTTCTATCCATTTCTGATCAAGCGTCACGACAGCCACGAGTTCGTCATGCACACGCTCTGGCACCACGATAAGACCTGGGTGGCCTCTCGTCTCGTCGATTACTACACTCCAGAGCCGCTCCTGCTGCCCATCATCTACGATCACGCCCTGGTACACGGTTGGCTTGAGCTGCTATTCACGTTGCCCACGAGCTTTGCTGTGGATCTCGCCGCATATGCGCATGGGAAGGGTCACTGTGACCTGGTAGCATTTGCGCAAAACCACATGACGTCTATGGGACCGGGCAACTTCGCGGTTGCCATCACACAATTCGTAGAAGGCAAGGTTGACGACGAGCTCTTGGTGCAGAAGGAAGGAGTCGCCGCATCGTCCGCACCGCTGACTGTGAAGACCTTGCATGCCTTGCTGGAGCTGATTGCCGATGCTATGTTTGAAGAACACAAGGGTGACGTCTTTCGCAAGTGTCTCACCACGTATCCCAGGTTGATCAACTACGGCGAGGATGATCAACGCGACGCTCTTCTTGATACCAGCGATGAACAGGGCCACGCGTTGCCTCAGGGCGCGACCGACCATATGGAACAGCAGTACAAGGACATGTATGGTGCTCAAACGAATCCTAGCGATGTCATCACTGAGCTCAAGCGATTGAAGGAATCCGAGGATCCAATGGAGCAGGACCTGTTCGCTGCGATGATCTGCGGTCTCTTCGACGAGTACCACTGCTTCAGCGAGTATCCAAATGAAGCTCTGGCCCTGACCGCTGTTCTCTTCGGTGGCCTCATCTCCTATCGTGTGCTGTCCGGCATTGCGGAACAGGCGGCGATTTGCAGCGTCTTCGACGCGGTGTCGAGATTTCAGCCAGAGGATCAGATGTATCGCTTCGGACTTCAAGCGCTATTGCATGTGCTGCCCCGTCTTAAGGAATGGCCACAGCTTGCAGAGCGTATCCTCCATATCCCTAGCCTGCGTTCTACAGATGCTGTCACAGCCGCTGAGAATGTCCTGAGAGAGTTGCAGCAGGAGTCGGGTGGCATGAACGGTGACGGCACCAATGGCATCGCAAATGGGGTGCTCGATGACGAAGACTTTGAGGTCATGGCACCTGCTTTCAGTGCTATCCAGGTTGACCCGCCGAATATGGAAATTGAATACGAAGAGCCCAACGAAGAAACATCAGACAAAGTCATGTTCGTCTTGAACAACGTCTCTAAGCGCAACCTGGAAGAGAAGTTCAAGGAGATTGAGGAGGCGCTTGACGAAAAGTACACCCAGTGGTTCGCTCATTACCTGGTCGATGAACTCGCCAAGTCGCAGCCAAACTTCCAAGCGCTGTACTTGCAGATCTTAGAGAACTTCAACAGAAAGCTGCTGTGGGCTGAAGTTTTACGCGAGACATACATCAGTTGTCAGAAGATGCTCAACGCTCAAAGCACCTTGGACAATTCGCACGAGCGTGCTACCATGAAGAACTTGGCTGGGTGGCTGGGACAAATCACACTTGCGCGGAGCCTGCCCATCCTGCACCGTAACCTCTCCTTCAAGGATCTTCTGTTGGAGGCGTATGATAATGAACGGCTTCTCGTTGCCATCCCATTCACTTGCAAGACTCTGGTACAAGCTTCGAACTCGAAAGTCTTCAGACCACCAAATCCGTGGATCCAGGAGCTACTTGGCTTACTGAGTGAGCTCTACCACGGCGGAAAGCTCAAACTCAACATGAAGTTTGAGATTGAAATGTTGTGTCGCGAATTCAACATGGACATCAAGGACATTGAGCCGCTCGATATCATTCGAACTCGGCCATCATTAGAGCAAAACATGTTGCAGAACTACATACCTGAAGGCGGTCCGGACGCGTTTGGTGAGATGGCCTTGATGGGTTTGTCTAAGCGTGGACCCAGCGAACGCTTCTCGCCCGAGGCTGTCATGTCGCAGGTCCCAGATCTGGGCCACATGTTGCACATTCCACAGGCGGTCGGCACCACTACCCCTCAACAGATGAAGAGCATATTCGTCACGGCCGCTCAGCAAGCCATATTCGAGATCATCGCACCCGTTGTCGAGCGCTCCGTGACAATTGCTAGCATTTCCACTTCTGAGCTCATACAAAAGGACTTTGTCACCGAGCCCGATGCCGGAACCATGAGCAATTGCGCTCATACTGTGGTCAAGTCACTGTCAGGGAGCCTCGCTTTAGTAACATGCAAGGAACCGCTGCGCATGAGCATCACCAACAACATTCGCCTCTTGGCAGCTCGGAGTCTGCCGGAGCAGCTGCCGGAAGGCCAGATCCTCATGTTCGTCAATGACAATATTGACACCGTCTGCCGACTCGTGGAGCAAGCGGCCGAGGACCATTCTTTGGCAGAGATTGACCTGCAATTGGGTGATGCAATCAACGATCGTCAGCAACACCTTGAGCACAGGCCGAATGAGCCGTTCTCTCAAGTCCCGGTCAGCCGCTGGTCCACTCTGATCCCGGAGCCCTACAGGCAAGATCAGAATGGTTTGAACAGGCAACAATTGGCATTGTACGAGGATTTTGGTCGTCAGGCCCGTATTCCTCCTGCCGGCGGCTCGGCTTCGCAAGACGGCACTCGTCCTCTCGACGTCCTGGGCGATGGCTACCTTCCCAACATGCCAACTCCTGCCGAGGCCCCTGCCATGCCACATCCGGGTCAAAATCAACGGATGCCTGGTATGCAAGTCGCGCGTGCTCACGTCAACGGCCTGATCGATCCTGCCACCGTAAACGATCGCATCATTGCCCTGATGTCGGAGCTCCAGACCGCCTCAAGAGAGGCGCCTGAGGAACATATCAGCGAAATTGGTGAAGGTGCCACAATCCGCCGCGTGTATGGTCAACTGCTCACCCTTATTGAGAGTGCGCCACAGTTTGAAAATACGGTGCTGGCCTGTGCCAACCATTGTCTTCTACTCATCTATGGCGATGCGCAGAAGCGTCTAGAGATTGAAGTTTTGGCCCGGTTCCTGACCCAACTCTGCCGCATGTCGCAGCAAGCTTGCCGACAGATCACCATGACGATTGCTACGGTCGAGGACGATCGCATCTTCAATGCGCCTGCCACAGTCGCACTCCATAGCGAGGCCTTGCTTGACATTCATCACATCGATTCTCTGATTAGTAAAGCACTCAGGCAGCGGCGTCTGATCGCCATGGACTTCTTTGGCGACATCGTCGAAGACTTACTGCTGGGCGAAAATGCCGTGGCACACCGTGCTGAATTTGCTCAATCGTACGAAGCTCTCGCTCAGTGGATCAACAGCATACCTGTGCCGAGCCCGGAGGCTTCTTCAGAACCCCTTCCACAGGAATTGGTCGTTGCCAGGGAGATCATGAACAGACTTCACCAAGCAGCCGTGCACGCGAACGGACTCCCAAGCCCCGAGTCTGACTCGAAGCAAGTCGATCAGCAGGAGTACCTGTTCGAGGAATGGATCAAATTACAGAAGGATCATCAACCCGAGAACTATCGCTATCTGGCCTTCGTGTCCCAATTGCACGATCGAGGGGTGCTGGCAAACCCAGAGGACACTGTCGTATTCTACCGCAGCTGCATAGAGTACTCGTGCAGTCATTTTGAGGCCGTTACAGCCAGACCGTACGGAACCTTCGACTTGGCCTATGTCGGCATTGATGCACTGGCGAAGCTCGCAGCTACCCTCGTACTTTACCAGGGATCTTCCGAAGCCAGCACAAATACCAACCAGGCAAAATCACTGGAGGCTTTCGTGAGTCTGGTCATCCTCGTTATGAGCGACTATCACAACCGAAGCGTTGAGCGCTTCAACAGCCGAGTATTCTTCAGGCTCTTCTCGTCTCTACTCTGCGAGATTGACAACAACCGCTCGCAACTATCATCAGAGCAGGACGCTGAAGTCTACAAGGTCTTCAGCACAGCACTCCAAGTCATGCAGCCGCGGTACTTCCCGGGTTTCTTGTATTCGTGGATTGCGCTACTCAGTCACCGCCTCTTGATTCCAGCATTCCTGGTAAACGGTCGCGGCAACGGAGGATGGAATCAGTTCACAAAGCTCCTTGCAGTGTTGTTCATCAACCTTGACGATCTTTGCTCGTCTCCTGAAGCAGCAATTGTCGCTCCCGAGTTCTACCGTGCGGTAGTCAAGTTCATGATGGTGCTGCACCACGACTTTTCGGACTACTTGGTTGAAAATCACATGCAGCTGAACGCGGTTATTCCGGTGCAATTCGGTCACTTGCAAAACATCGTGAGCGCCGCAGTCCCGCAAACGGCACAATTGACGCAGCCGAACCCATTCACTTCTGGGTTGAAGATCAACCGGCTCGAGCAGGTTCGCGTGCCGCCGAGCGTTTATTCTGATGTGGACAATGTGCTCCATGAAGCTGGTGTCAAGGCAGTGATGGAACGTGTTTGTGAGGCGAACGACCTCAGCGAGCAGAACTTCGCCTTCCTCAAAGCGGTAGTGGACCGCGAGGATGGACAGATCAGTCCCATCCTCTTGAATGCGATGGTGCTCTATGTCGGAGTTACTGCCACCTCTGCCTCCTCGGTGTTCTCTGCAGGTGCCGCACAAGCTCGTCTCATCACTCGCCTCTTGCAGGAAATTGGTCATCGAGCTCGTTACCACCTCGTCTGGGCCGTCACGAACCAGCTCCGCTACGTGAACTCCCACACTCACTACTTCTCCACTGCTGTGCAACACATCTTCAGCACTAGCCAGCAGGACTTGCAGGAACAGATCATGCGTGTCATTTGTGAGCGCATGTTGATCACGCACCCTCATCCTTGGGGTCTGCTGGTGTTGCTGCTGGAGATGATTAAGAATCCTAATTACAATTTGCTGGAGCAGCCTTGGGTTCGAGCTGCACCACAAGTCGAGGAACTTTTACTCACTCTCACGCATTCGAACAGCCCGCACAGCGCACGTCATTAGGCTGACGATGATGACTGGCAAGCGAAGCTCGCGAGTGCAGTCACGGTGGTCTTAGCGCGAACACTTTCAGCTGCCGAAAAGTTGACTGCAAGGCATACGCGGTTGAGTCAGAAGTTAGCTGCGACCCATCCAGTTGAGGAAAAGAGTGCGGTGCCGGTGTCACGCCTCTCTGATTGGCCATCGATTCAGGACCCAAGATTCCAAAGATCACAGAAGCGAGAGACGGGCGCGAGAGACTGACCAGGTCGACAGAGCTTAGACTCAATTCGGGAAGGATATCTAGGACGGCGTCGTGTAATTTCGTTTGCTGATGAGCCCCTCACTTTGACAAGAGGGGAAAAGACGGCAGCTTGTGGGTGGAGGGTGTGTCATTTCCTTTCAAGGTGTGACATGTAGTAGTAGTAAGAGCAGCACATTCATGCATGGGGCGGCGTCACACAGGCGGACTAATCGGATTGCAATGGCTAGAATGGGGCCGGGCGGGTAAAGACAAAAGAATCAGGTCAGACTTTGTCGGTAACGAGACAGATGATTATTTGTAAAGTAGTGCATAGTTGCTAACGAATACATTGGGCGGCTTGATTATCCTTCTCGTCCCCCCAGGGGGTTCCCGCGCAAAAAATCATACACGGCCCTGCGCATGCTGTGATTGTGTTCGAAGAGGGTTTGCAGTTCGTCGATGTGGTTTCGCACGAGGAGCCAGTAATGGTTTTTCACGAGGTCGAGGACCCAGAGGGAGATTTCGTCGTCGTTGTCGTTTTCTGTGGCGTCTTTTTCGATATGTGCTGTCGTCTTCAATGCTGCGAGATGAGAGAAGCAGGATGCGAGAATCAGGATAGATAAGGAAGAGAACGAAGATGAAAATGAAGATGAGCCGAGAAGTTGAAGTTTTTGCAAAATCAAATGTTGAAGATTTTCATCTTGGATTTTGACAGCTGTCACATAGGCTTTAGCGAGAGATTCGACGTGTGCGGCTTTTTGATCAGGAGAGAGATCCAAGGGGGAGAATTGAAGGGGTTTGTTGTTGTTGTTGTTGTTGTTGTTGTTGATGATGAAGCGAGGTCCAATGTCTCCTGTTTGGTAGAATTGGAGTACAGCGGAGAAATCTGTTGCTACGAGTTGGACGTCGTTGGCGCGTTGGTCGTGGGTTAGGTCGATTTTTGAGGAGGAAGAGGAAGAGGGGTTGCGGGTGGACAGGTAGCTGCATTTGGGAATTATGTCTTTGTTGATTACTAAGTATTTGTCCTCGCCGTGCGGCAGAATGAGCTCGCATTGGTCTGGTCCAAGGCGAGCTGGAGGTAATGAGAGTGTGGATCTTGAATTCTTTGCGAGTCTGGTGCTAGTCTCGACTGACTGGGTGACACGGTGAGGATTTCCTGGGAAATTTGTGGCTGCAACTATTTCGTTTTCAAGGACGGTTTCACCCTCGACTTCATTGCCAGAAAGCTGAATCGCCCCAGTCACGGAGTGTTGTCGCCGTTGGTGCTCCCTGGATGTCCGAGCTGGCGTTGATGGCCGATGCGATGACCCATGTGCGTGCACTCTACGTCGCTTCGATTCAGGTATGGAGCTCTGCGAGCGATGGCCTTCTTCCTCGACGGCCAGGTGTTCAGTTGTAACGGAAGCCCTACGTTTTAGAGAGTTTGATGATGATCTTTGCTGTCCCCTTCCGAGTTTGCGGAGCTTAGACTGTTCAACGAGGAAATTGACCCAGTATTTGTCGTCTTGGAACTTGCAAGCGTCGGTTCCGAATGCTATTTGACGCTCTTCTCTCAAATCTTCACCGTCGCCCCGCGGATCCTCGTTCCCGTGGGAGGCCCATAGACTGCTTGTATAATTGGTTTTGTTGTGATCATACTCCTCCAACATCTTGTCATGGACAAATAAACTGTGAGCTGTCAGAAAAAAGGTCGAGTAGTGACTAGAAGAGATGTCGTCTCACTATCTGCGTCTACCAAGCTGAATTGCTGGCAGATGTTGAGGATCTGTACGCAACGCGACGAACTTTTTCGGTGTCACGTCCTCGCCACAGAGTACCACTGGCCATCTTTTTCCTTCGATGATGGCGACCCATGTGCTGCCGATGGCTTTGTCCATTTTAGAGAGCTAGATATTGTGTAATCGTGTAATAACACTCTTCGGTTCCAGTTTTCACAACGTGGTCAGTGGGCTAGAGACCAATCGTGCTGCGCAAGAGTAGCGTGCTGATGTTATGAGTTATCCAAAAGTTGATGTATTTCATAAAGTCGTCCAGCTTTGGAAGATCGAAGGACATGTATGGATCGTGGAAAGAACTATTGCAGTGAAGTACAATTAGTGAGAAGGTGGGCTAAATCTGGGTTCCGGTTCAATAGCTTGATTGAATTATGGCTAGTGAGAAATCGAGCTGAGCCCGAGCTATCACTTGTAGTGACTCCAGTACACAACAATCAACCATTGGTGGGTAGATCGAGCAGTGAGGTGAACATCATTTTCCAGATCCAAATCGACGACAGACAGCATCAGGCTCATACTGATTGAGAACAATGGCACTGACATCTATCCTACCAAGTCTAGAGGCGAGTCGAAGCATGATCGTTAATATCGATGAAATGAAGTCTCCGCCAATGTTGATATGACCTGTCTGCGGTGTATTCACTACGTTCTGGCGTGACTGGGAAAGGCATTTTACAGACGCTGCTTTCCTGGAGCTCTGGAGAGACGATATGGCTCCCGCTAGCTCACATTATCAGCACGGAGATTACATTCAACTTATCAGATTGTAAAGCGACGGCTTCCGATGCAAGTGAACGAAAAGAAAGTAAAAAAGTGAAGTGAAGTCAATAAAAACGCCAAGCTAACAGATTTAAAGGTCGCAGGGGATCCCCAACTCTAAACCTTAAATCGCCGAACCGGACACGTCTCGAGCTCTGTTTATGAGCTCGTTCACTTCGACAACCTTCTCCACTGACAACCCTCTCTACAACCACCACCACCCACCACCGAAAAACCTCCCTCCACCGCCACAATGCTCAACGCCGTCGCAGGTCTTCAACCGCGGCAACTCGCCGCACAAATCCTCAATTTCGCCCTCGTCCTCTCGACGGCATTCATGCTCTGGAAGGGCCTCTCCGTCGTGACCGACTCCTCCTCACCCATCGTCGTAGTCCTCTCGGGATCGATGGAACCAGCATTTCAGCGAGGAGATTTATTGTTCTTGTGGAATCGAGGCATGGAAACGCAGGTGGGCGAGGTGGTAGTGTACAGTGTCAAGGGAAAGGATATTCCGATTGTGCATCGGGTGGTGAGGAGGTTTGGGGGAGGGTGAGTGACTAGTCCTTTCTTTGACTCATATAGGAGATGAGATTGGGGCTTGGGGTGGGCTGACATTTGTTTGAAATGATATGTTTAGGGCGAAACCATTGCAGCTGTTGACCAAGGGGGATAATAACGCTGCAGATGATACGGAACTGTACGCGCGAGGACAGAGTTATTTGGAGAGGAGTAAGGATGTTATTGGAAGTGTGGTGGCATATGTGCCTTTTGTGGGTTATGTCACGATTCTCCTGAGTGAATATCCCTGGTTGAAGACGGCCATGTTGGTGTTTATGGCTTTGACGGTGGTGTTACAACGAGAATAATTTTCCCAAAATCAAATGAAGGATGAGGATACGGGGATATTGCATGTTCCACTTGCTACGACAAGCGATGGAATCTTTTGGAGGGGGGCGTTTTGGGCTACGAATGTCAGAAAGGTGCAGGAGTGTCACAATCTCGTCCTGTCCTGTCTTGGCTGATGCTTGCTATATGTACTCTTTGTACAGCAGCACCATCATAGGAAGAGGCATATGCACAGCCCTTTCTCCAACTATGGTCAAACATCTCATCGACTGGCTGAAGCAACATACGCAGACGAGCCAAGAGAGAATGGAGCGATTCCCCAAGTAAAAGGAGGCTGGAAGCAAGATGATATAGTCGCAAGAGGTGAGATGCCTCGCGATTTAGGAATCTGAAATCGCGGATGGTGGTATAATGGCAAATTGCACGAGCGTATACGATAATTACCTTAGCTCAACATGTCATCTAGTACCTCGTCCCCGCCTTCATTCTGCTAGCAAATTTATGTTATCCCAAGGTATCATCCATCACCCGTACATGACATATCTATCCCGAAAGTAACATTGCATCACATACAAAATTACCTACACAATACATCAAACCAACTCTTTTCCAGATTTCCACCGCTATTCCCCCCATCGTCCACTCCTCCCTCCCTTCCTCCTCTTAATCCTCTCTTGCAAAAAAGAAAAAAGTAATCTCACGAATGCATATTAAAAGGCCACGCAATATCCAAATTCCGACTGTGAAATTTACACCATGTCTGATGTGCTGTATTTCCAATTTTTTTAATTTCCTACCACGCATACAACAAAGAAAAATCAGTTCAGAGTTCTTTTCTTTGGTCGCAACTTTGCTTGGGGGGCGGATTTGTAAATATAACATGGTGAAGGAGAACCTTGATGGAACTGACCTGATGATTGGCAAGACATTCCCAGCAGAATTCGTGTTTGCATTGTTTACTATTATGAAATTTATCGTTAGCATGGGTAAGTGAGGTAAGGTAGGTAAGGTAAGGTAGGTATCGACTAAATGAACAAAATACATACCACCTCATATGATCACACCCATCCACCTTCTGAATCCTCCATCCACAACCCGCACCAGGACATTTCTTACTCACGCTATCCAACATTTCCTCTGTTTTTCTCTCATTCTTCTTATTCTCCTCGTCGTCGTCTCGACGAGCTTTCATGCGAAGGTCATATTGCGCGCACGTTTCGTTGTGATGCCAGGCACATTTGTGATGTACGCATTGCTGATAGCCGCAGGCTACGCAGTTCATATATGGTGCTGGAGCTGCTGCTGCTGCTGTTGCTGCTGCTGCGAGATTGTTGTTATTGTTATTATTAAAGTTGAGTTGGCCAGATGAGCAATTCGGGTCAAGACACCAAGCGAATTCAGGCAATTGAGAAAGAGCATTTCGCGTGAGGAGTTTTTCATAATGAGAGAAAGTTTCAGGGGAAGTGTAGAGTTGAAGTTCGGAGTGGGTGAGAACAGAGGGACATTGAGGACATGTGAAATCTTCGGTTGCTCCCTTCGCGTCGAGTTGAGAGGCGAACCAGGTGTGCATGCATTCTGTGCAGGTTTGGCTGTCGTGGGAACAGGAGGCTGTAGCGGGTTTTGAGGGGAAGTTTTGAGGAGGGTGGGAGTCGCCGCAGCAGATGCATTCTCGGGGACGGTTGCGTTCTGCTTCGGCGGCTGCGAGGCGGGATTCTTCTTCTTGCTGGAGATGGAGAGCGTGTTGGTGATCGAGTTCTTCTTGATGTTCACGTTCTCGTTTTTGCTCTTTTCGAAGTTTTTGCTCTTTTCGAAGAGCGATTGCTTCGAATACCTCGTTCCATTCTCGTTCTTCTTGTTCTGTTTGGTGGGAAATTGCTTCGAGCCACTGGTCGCGTCGTTGTTCTTCGCGCTCTTTCTGCAAAGCAATGGCTTTGACTCTGGCCTTCAGTTCTTGCTGTCGATGTGCCACTTGGACTTTCAGCGCGGCCTCAATGGCCAGGATTTCTTCCATCAAGTCTCCTTTTGGATCCAGCCGCTGTCGAATGTCGTCTAGGGGGTGGGCTGATGCGCTGCTCTGTGCTGTATGCCATGTCTCGTCGTCGTCTTCATCGTCCATATGCTTCTCGCTTTCAGCTGGACTGATCTCTCGGATGAATTTTCGAGAGGATTCTGGCTGTCCTTGGTGTTCGACTGGTTCGTCCTTGAGAGTGTCACTTAAAAATTGGTCGAAATGTGCTTGTAGCTCCAACAGAGATGATATCTTCACATAGTCCCGCATGTACGGTTCGTGAAACTCTGCGCTGTCTGTGTCGGCAATCTCAGGTTGCTTGCCTTTATTGCTCACTGGCTTGCTCCGCATGTCTTCCCTTGCTGCATAGTCCTCTGGGATCGCCAGCTCTTCCTGAGACGGCCCAGAAACTGTCTTCTGCAGTGCTGGAGATGCAAGTTGTTCACGGACCCGCGCTTCAGCATCGGTCTTACCCGTCTGATCAGAGTCCGCAGCTGCTATAGAGTTCCGCTTCTCTACTTTCTTTTCACCTCCAAAAATCGTGAATCGAGCCTTTCCGCCGGCAGAAGCGTTGCCAGTTGGTCGTTTCTTGGACTTCTTTTTGACTGGCCTTCGCTCCTCTCTGTAGCCGTACATTCCAACCGGAATTCTCACAATTTCATATTCCTGCTCCTCGGGCTCCTCGAAGATACTCTCGGGTTTCTCTGGCTGATGCTGTGATGATAGAATTAAGGATGACACTGAGCCTGGATGGTGGCCTGGCAAGTCGGGAATCGAATCGGTTGCATCTGATATGAGACTGCTTCGATTGCGCCTGTGTGGCTTCGTAATGGATTGGCTGAGTGGTCCCCTCCCATCGCCTATACTGGAACTGTCTTGTTGGAGGTCTTGTGAGCTCTTCATGAGTCTCGCTCGGATCTTCATCATGGTGGGCGAATTGCAGCTGCCACACAGCGGTTATCCGAGACAGCTGTGTTTGTTGGAGATTACCGTTTCATCTACTTGTAAGCGCGTCTGCCAGACATATGCGTAAGACAAAAGGTAGAGAGTGAATCTGGCAGACCTTCGCCAGCGAGAATAAAAGCAGCGACAGTCACCTACTGGTCAGCAATAAACGGACATATATTCGTGAGCACAGCCCTCAAAATCAACCGAACAAGAAGCTGCTGCGCATACAGCAGTGGGGGCTCAGTGCTTGAAACGGAACATATTGAAAGTCTAACAGAGAGAGCGTATGAGAGGACTGAACGTGACCTGACATTGCTGAAAGGCTGTACTGGCATAGGCTCGTTTGTCTCGTAAGGGTCCCAGCCGGATGCATGCAGGCGCTGTGCCCCATCTCCCGCCTGTCCGCTGTATATACATGGCATCGTTAGTACCATATGGCCCGCTCACCTAAAGCTCAATTCACTTGTATGCGCGAAGGAGTGAGTTGCGTTGGTTGCCAGTTCTGCTGCGGTAGATTCTGGAGGCTGAGCCTGAAACTAGTTCCTGCCAGAGGCCGCTCTGCCACCACCATTTCCATCCTGCGAAAATGATAGATATACCAGCCCAGGACGCCATGAGGATGGCCTGCGTGCCGTACCTAGGATATATGGAATATCATGATCTCTCGAGACACGCAGCGGGAACTCATATCGTGTCCGTTTGTGTGTGTGTGTTGTCCGTCTCTTGTGAGGTCGTCTAAGGCTTCAGCTGAGTAGTTCGATGTGTTCGACACGATCCTGCGGTAAGTAAATACATGTAGTTGAGATGGAAGGCTGAAGGACTGCGTCTCCTCGGCACTGGGCACTGGAATACACCAAACTTGCGTTCCAAGTGATGCAGGACAGAGAGACGCAAGGATGGATGCCTCAATGTTCAGGTAGATCGACAGTCTTGGCGCCGAGGATATACCCTCCTGCGCAGATTGGTGCGTAAATTGCTAGACTACGGCAACATCAATGCCTTCACTATTGTCATTGTTCGATGAATCGTGTTCTACGACCTGTATATCTCTGAAAGTCTCATTATACCTTTTGTCGGCATGAGTTCGGATGATCGTGCGCTCTCATCCGCTCTCACAGGCCATTATATGCCTCCATAACTGCTTTTCTGAACAGTGTTGCAAATCTCCATACATCCTCGAACGAATTGTACAATGGCGCGGGAGCGATCCGTATGACATCCGGCTTCCGCTCATCGAGAACGACACCATCTGCCTCGAGATATTCCATCACCTCCTCCAACAGACCTCGTCTGAGCTTGACGGAAATTTGCGCACCACGCTCTTCAGGTTTGCGCGGCGTTACGATGTAGTAGAGAGGAAAGCCGAATCTCTCGTACTGCTCTTGTGCCATAACGTCGAGCATTTGCTCTAGATAGGCCGTGAGTTTCACGCTCTTCTCCCTCAGATCTTGCATAGAAGTTTGCTTGAAGACGTCCAGGCTCGCTCGAAGGGCAGTCGTGTCTGCTACAGATGTATTGGACACCTGAAAGCCAGCAGCACCGGGAATTGGTTCAAAGTTGTTCGCCATTACGAACCGGCTCGATTTTGAGGAGCCCCACCACCCGGCAAGTCGTGGTTGGTATTGAAATTTGTCACCTTCAGACTTGACGGCACCGTGCTTTTCGTGCACAAAAGCACCTCCAATGCTTCCTGGGCCAGAGTTGAGATATTTGTAGGTACACCAGGCTGCGAAGTCGACGTTCCAGTCATGGAGTTGGAGAGGGACATTGCCGGCGGCATGTGCAAGATCCCAACCGATCGTGATCCCTAGGCTATGCGCGTACTCGGTGATGGTCTTGATATCGAAAAACTGACCAGTGTAGAACTGAATGCCCGGAAGAAGGATCAATGCCAGCTCTTCGGCGTGTTTTCTGATCGTAGACAGTATATCCTCAGTGGTAAAGAGGAGCGTGTCCTTGCCAGCGCCTCTGTCGGGTGGTTCGAGCAGGATCATAGACTGTTCGGGCTGAAACCCGTGGTGGCGTATCTGACTTTCGACTGCGAAATGATCACTGGGAAATGCTTTTCCTTCGATTAGAATCTTGTTCTTTTGCTGAGTCGGCCGGTAGAAGCTGCACATCAGGAAGTGGAGGTTCGCAGTCAGTGTTTGCATGACTGCCACCTCTTCTGTCTTGGCTCCGACTATGGTCGCCATGTCTCCTCGCACATCATCGTCCACATGAAGCCATGGCGGAAGCCGGGTGTCCGAGACTTCCTTGAAGTGGCCGTATACTCCCTTTTGTGCCCACGTCGTCAGGTACTCCTCGAAGTAGTCTCGCGTCAATGTTGGCTGAAGTCCCAGAGAATTGCCGCAGAGATAGGTTGAAAGCTCGTCTTCCATTTCATCGGGTTGCGAGGTAATGGTCTTTCGTCGGAGATCCTGTCGGGTCGGGATAATGAATTGCTCACGAAACGCGCGCAAAGGATCTCGTTCATCTTGTGTTTGAGCATAGGCCTGGGTGAAGAGTTCTGCTTCGCTCATATTTGCTATGCTTGGATTTGCTGCCTATGTGAGGCTCGCCTCCGGTCACGACTCGGCAAGGTGGATGGTCGTTCACGAGACGGTGATGAATGGGGCAGAGGGTGACAATGACCTCGTGATCTCCTACCTCAGCTGGTGAAGTCCGTCGTGCTTGTCGCCTGCAACTGTGACTCTGAGCGGTACATGTGCTTGGGAGTGCAGTCTTCACTCTTGTGCACATATGTCGAGTGCAGGTTGATAGTCTACACGAGACAGTTTGAAGGCCAAGAGAAAGAATCAGAAGACGAAGCTGAAAATGATATAAAAACTATCCCATCGTCGTCGCCGCTGGAGCTTGGGCCAAACGGCGCGTCGTCACAGCGGAGGTGCATGCAAGGTCACGAGCTGATACTACATGTGGCCAGTTCTCGGTCACTACAATCACCACCATCGCCGCCGCCGCCGCGACCACCACCACCTAGGCGTTGGCCTACCGCCATCTTCCTCCTCCTCCTCCTCGACAATATCTACGAGCATCAATTCGAACACAAACATAGGACGCAAAGCACTGAGTCGCGCCAGCAAGCGGGGGAAGTCGGCTGGCGCGAGAGGCATGTCGATATCGATCTTCATCGGACATACTGGCCAGTGTCTGCCACTCGATCCCAGCATCACCACCAACCTCGACGCAGTGCGCTCGTGGATCGCGACGCAGACGAGCATCCAGCCAGGCAGCCAGATCTTGCTGACGGCGCAAGGCAAACAGGCGCGCGCACAGACTCTATTGACCGAGAATGAGATCTTCGTGTTTGATTCGGACTGGCTACATGGTCAGAAGGAAGCGGGCTCGCCAAAAGGAGAGTCGACCGGAAGCCTCAGCGACAATGACTTCCAGCCGGGTCCGGCGCCAGACACCATCACGAACACGAACGATCTGGCATCATGGCAGAATCTGTTCAAGGTAAGGAGGCACTGGGCTGCCGCTCTGCTCCGGGGCTGTGGATCGAGAGCGCAACTGGCGGAGCAGTTGCAGGACAGGAAGGCCGTGATCGAGCGCAGCGTGGGCGTCGCTGTAAGAAGTCTTCGGCAGCACATTAGGACTGCCGAGAAGCAATATGCGGGCGTCGAGGCATGGGCGGCCGAGCAGCTGGAGGAGCAACAGATACATACGGACAATTGGGAGCGCAATCTGGACAGCCTACGAAGCATACCAGCGAGACCAGAGTTTACACGTTTTGTGCAGCCTATGACTCCTGTGTCGGGCTCTCGGCGATACTCCCAGCAGAACATCGCCACGCTGCAAGGCTATGTGGACATTGTGGCAGTCAAGCAGGCTGCAAATGGCGCTCGATCATCCATGTCTGCGTTGTCCTCCAAGCTAGATAACTTGCGGGGAGCAGTCGACTCTGCGATCAACAGCAGTAACGATCTGTCGCGGGCTGTAGAGCAAATTAACAGTCATTCCACACTTGACGACAGTGCTTCTGATCCCGCGCAGCTGTTGGGAGAGATCGAAATGGTAGTCAACAAGATGGCGTCAGACCTAGAGCATGTACAGTCCCTACCCAGAACGCCTCAAGCCTGTGCTCAAGCATCCAAGATGGCACTCCTACATACGCGCAATTACCTTCCTAACCTACATGACTACTGCACCGAAATGAATGAGCTGGTACAAAAGTCCAGGCGTGAAAGAGACGGTGCCGCAGAGATGGCCCGGGAGCATATGCTCACGCTCGCCAGCATAGAGTCGCAACTTGCAACCCTCAATCAGGAGATCAAGGATGTGGACATGACCGAGGAGCAACAAGCGCCGTTTGTGACGCTGAGTATCATTTCCCGCTTGCCCTCTGTATATGGGCATCTATTGGTCGAGTCGGTTCGACGTCGTGAATGGGTGGCAAAGATGAAGCGAGATTCGGCTACGCTACAAGAAGAGGTGGCATCGTACCAGGAAGAAGAAGAGAAACGGCGGAAGAAGTGGATGCGTATAGTCGACGATCTCGTTCCTGCCGATGCCTTGCAAAGTCGCGTGCTCGGCATCGAGCTCAGCCTGCAGAACGAAGGCGGCAGCTGGCCGATGGTGACGAGAGAAGAACTGGCAGAGTACGTCAACACACTGCTGGACATCTTCGGCCAGGGCCCGGTGACCGAGGAGATTGAGCAAGCAATCAAAGACCTCGACAAGCTCACGCGTAGGCAAGTCAAGCACGCGAAAGCCTTCAAGAATGGCAGCATGCATGAGGCTGCTTTTGGCGACACATCGCTGTTTCTCCGCGGCGACGACTCCAACAAAGCTCTGCAGCACGCCAACATGCGACTGGAAGAAGACTTGAAGGCGCAAAAGAGCCGTGTTCGGAAATTGGAAGATTTGCTGCACCGATCATCTCAACTCAGCAAAGCCAGCACGGGAGACATTTTTACGCCTACTAGTGACGGCGCAATGTCACATCGGGCGTCCACTCCGACGATACCCATGGGCACGCCTCAACCGTATGATGACGCGGGGCGGTATAGTGCCATGAATAAGCGTCGGCACTCTTACGCACCAGGGCAGAACAATGAGGAGAAGCGGCTTGCCAAGCGCGTGGTTGACCTCGAAGCCGAGTTGCAAGCGCACAGGGACGAAGCTGCAACCAGGATGAACTCGTATGCTGAGGTACAGAAGCAATTTGAAGAGGCCATGACCACTAAGAAGGACTTGATGGCAAACATGGATGCCCAGCAGAGAGAGTTTGCAGTGCAAAGACGCAACCTGGAGCGAGAGCTTGCTGAAGCAAAGGAGAAGGCCGAAGAGGCGGAGAATGAGGTCGAAAGACTTCTGGAACTGCGCGATGGTGTCGATGAAGAGATATCTCGGCTCAAGGAAGATGCAGCGGGACATGCAGCACGCGCTGCGACCGAACATGATGCACGCAGCAACATGGAGCGTAAGCTCGAACAAGTCGAATCCGCAAGGCGACACGCCGAGGAAGAGTTGCAGAAAGCGCGCCAAAGCGAGGAGCAAAAGCGTGAGGCCGAAGCAGACCAGCTCCGATCCATGGCAACTGCTCACACTCATCTCGCTGCCCACGCAGAAGCGCCCAGCGATCTCGTCGAACTGGCTACTGCACTTGAGGAGCTCGCGCGGAAATCTGCTGCTCACGCCAAAGATCTGGAAGAAGCGGTCGCGTTTGCAAAGAGCGAGAATGAGTCTCTGTCGTCCAACAATACACGACAAAAGTCAGAGCTTGCGGACGCGGCCAATAACCAAAGCGAGAGCGAGCAAGAAATCCGCCAAGCCCGAGAGAAGCTGTCCGCAGAGGAGGCGAGGACGAAGTCACTGGAGCTACAACTCGTCGAAGAGCAAGAGCAGCTCCGGTCGCTTCGTGACAAGTTTGCTGAGGGAGAGACGGGCTCTGAGGTATTGCGCCACCGTGTGACGGAAGAAGAAGAACGCGTTGCCAAGCTGTGCACGGAGTTGGCAGAAGCGAGGTCGCTGAAGAACAGTCTGGATGTGGAGATTTCACGTCTACAAAAGAAGCTCCAATCGTACCAGTTGACTACCGAAACCTCTACCGAGCGTCTGCACAAGCGAGCCGAGCGTGCGAAGGAAGTTTCACAAAAGTTGTACTCTCAGAATCTTCGCCTCGTCCGTCTGCTTGAACGACTCGGCCTGGTCGTTACCCACGAGGGCGACAAGATGGCAGTTGAGCGAGCGTCGAAGATGGCCGCGAGCACCACCATGATTGACCCTGCCATGCATCTGAGTAGGCAAGTCTCGGCCGCCTCGCCATCGCCTACGCGCAAGACTTCTACCGCCGATGATGAGCCCGCGGATGACCTTCGAATGCTCCATTGGCCGGACGCCCCCGATGCCGACGACGAGAGTGCCCAATACGACGCTTTCCTGCACAATCTTTCTCGCTTTGATTTGGATGTATTTGCTGAAGCTGTCACGAAGCGTGTCAAGGACTTTGAGTACACGGCGAAGAAGTACAGCAAGGAAGCGAAAGAGTCTACCAAACGTGCGGAAGCATACAAGGAGCGTGCTCTCCGGCTCAGATCCGAGGCACACGCCAAGATAGCGGTCCGTGACTTCAAGGAAGGCGATTTGGCTCTGTTTCTGCCGACTCGGGGTGGCCAAGTCAAGGGCGCATGGGCGGCGTTCAATATTGGATGTCCACATTTCTTCCTTGCCGAGAAGGAAAGCATGCGTCTGGGCTCACGAGATTTCATTGTCGCTCGCATTCAGAAGGTGGAGCAAAAGGCCGTTGATCTCAGTGGTCAGCGTGCTGCAGCGCAACTTGCTGCCGATGGCCGCAGCCTGGGCGATGCCAGTGATGCTGCTTCTTCCATGCAAGTCGAGAATGATAATCCCTTTGACCTCTCCGATGGGCTGACCTGGTGGATGGTGCACGCGGCGGAAGAACGAGGTGCTGGTGCCGCTCCGACCACTCCTGGGCTCGGGAAAAGTACCGTCAGCACCGCCAATGTCGATGCTAAAGGGAGCATCCGTATCAAGCGCAGTAGCAAGGGCGATGATGCCAGCAAGCATCTCAACAAGAGCTTGGACTCTCGGCGCTCGAGCTCGGCATCGAAGAAGAACATTCCTGCCACAGCCGCCACTCCTCACGCCGAGACACCACGACAACGGTCGGAAAGCCAGGCATCTTCCCTGAACAACCCCGTGCAGTCGACTCCGCAGCCTCGCCCTCTGCCCGCAGCAGCAGCCGCCGGGTCCGGCTTAGGCATCACCAGCGAGCCTCAGCCACATGAACAGGTGCGACAAGACCTACTCTGGGGACCATGATTGAGGCATCAATCGACGTGGTCTCATAAAGTTCACCCTGGATAAGACGAAATCACATTCTAACCACGCCTCACAGATCCGTAAGCTGTCATGGACCGCTCCGCCATTTGGAGGAGGAGGAGGAGGAGGAGGAGGAGGAGGAGGAGGAGGAGGAGTAGGAGAAGAAGCAGAAGAAGCAGTGGGAGGCAGGTTTGTAGCTTCTGCTTCTTCTTCATCCAACAACCACAACAACACCAACAATAAGCCACGACTGCGTTCGCAATCTCCTAGCAAAAGCGTACGATCTCTGCAACGGCATCTGGAAAGCCCGGCTGCTGCTGCTGCGAAGCCTTCCCCTGCGAAGAAAGGTGCGTGGGAGAGTATCTGGAGTGCGGAGTTTTCCGTTCAGAGTCCGAGTAAAGAGAAGAAGCGAGGTACAGGAGGTAGTACGGCGACGGATGGTTAGTGATTACCCTTACCTTAGCTTAAGTAAATGATGAGATTATCCCAAAAGAGGTGGCAATTAATTACATCCATCATACGTCTCTCTCTCTCTTTTTTGCACACACACTACTAACTGTCTAACATAACATAACATGTCCACGTGATTAATTATATGAAAAAATCCCCAAGGTCATCATGTAGGTACCTAGGTATCCACATCCCATCGGAGAGCGATATCCGCTACCTCGGGGCTTACGACTTATTATCATCATTATCATCATTATCATTCATTCTACCTACATGTACCTACCTATCCATTTTATCTATCAAAACTAATCGAACCTAAACCCCTTATAGGAAAGAGAGAAAGTAGGTAAGAACTGTTGAGTAAGTAGAATTGAGATCTATAAGTTTGTCAATTGTACGGCTATCAGCGTTACTATATATCCGCGTAATTGCTGCCTAAGGCCTTAATTACTATTATTACCTCGGCAGTTAGGGCTTGATGCCTATATACTATATACTACTTTAATATCCCCCTACCTTAGTATTTAGGCATTAATCGCTTTAACTAATTAGAGCTCTCGAAAAGGGTACTAACTGTTATAGGTAATCCTTTTATACCGTCAAACGTCTTAAGTACCCGATTCGTATACTCCGAGTACCTTCCTAAATTCGACGAATACTAGTTTTAGTAGCGGCTTCGTAAGGCCGTCTACTACTATACGATTCGTCGGTATCTATTAAATATCTAGCTCTTTACTCTCTATCTTTTTATACTACTATCGTTCTTAAATAGGTATATACTTAGTTCTTAAGTAATAGGCCTATAGGTTCTTCGCGAGTACAATTGCCTCTACGTTGTTACCGAATATTACTGTCGCTTATACCTACTTTTTATCCAATTGCTCGAGTAACTATCTTAACTATACCGCCTCTTTATATACTTAGGTCTAGCCTATTAGTTCGGCTTTATATATAGATAGGGCTACCGTAGGCTATCGTTTCGAGCTCTACGTAATAGCGCCGCTACCGAGGTTAAACGTATAACCGGCTGTCGAGCGTCGTATATCGGTATTACCGGCCTAATTAGAGTTAGTATAGCCTTAGAGGGTAGTAAGTTCGCCGCTATATATAAGGACGTAGTAAAGCGTTCCGCGGAGGTAACGGAATACGTTAGTTACGGCTACGTAGTATTCGGTCGTAGGGTTACTAGAAAAGCGGCTTACGACTAAGACGGCAAATACGATATTAGGCCTCGTACTAAGTATAGCGTATATAAGGGAACCAACCGCGCTTTGATACTATGTTCTAAATAAGTCTACTACCTAATAGCTAGCAGATACCGGTATAAGTTTTCGACTCGGGTCGATTAGTATAGCTTTGACCTTTACGTTGTCCTAGATACCGTACTTTTTTAGGAATTGCTCGATATAGTTACGTTAACTAAGGTAAATAGTACGTACGGCTCGATTGCGAGTAATTGTTATACTAAGATAGTAATAGTATAGCCCTAAGTCGCTTATTTGAAACCGGTTACTAAGATACTTCTTTACGCTATTGATCTTAGTAATATAGAGGCCTATAATAAGTAGATCGTCTACGTAGACTGCAATAAAGGTTTCTCCTTTAACGAATATGCTTATATCGGCGTCTAGGGTAGTAAAGCCTACTAATTCGAAGTAGGCAGTTAATATCGCGTACTAGATTCGTAGTAACTGTTTTAACCTATATAGTAATTTGAGTAGTAGGTAGACGTTATCGGTACCGTCGGTAAAGCCTTCGGGTTGTTCTATATAGATTAGGTCGTTTTCGTAATCGAGTTCGCTATAAAGAAAGGCCGTCTTTACGTCTATCTGTTTAATCTCGTAATCTTTAGCCGTAGCGATTACAAACAGTGCCTTGTAACTTATCGGTTTTACTACTAAGGCTAGGCCTCGTTATAGGTTAGGTTGGGTATAGGTTAGGTACAACCTAACGTTAATACCTAACCCCGCAAATAAGGTAGGTACCTAGCTTATAAGCTAGGTACAACCTAACGGAAAAAACCTAATAGGTATACCTAATAGGTATTGCGATAGGTATTACGTAAAACCTCTTCTAGATATAGAATAAACATAGTAAGCGCTTCTAGAATAGTAATAAGCCTCGTATATACCGTACTGCCTGAACTCGCTAACAATAGCTGCCGACTATACCTGCCGACTACGAGAATTAGGAAAAAGCAAATTAATTTAGGAGTTTATAGTAAGTACTTCGACATCTCCTTCTATAGCTAATAATACCTACCGACTATACCTACCGACTACGAAAATTAGAAAAACCAAATTACTTCAGATCTTAGGCTTATAGTAAATACTTCAATATCTCCTTCTCTAGTCTAGCTAGAACGCGTATCTAGTATTTAAACCGACTTTCGGTTACTATATACTGCTGCCTTACTCTCTAGGCCTTACGTATCTCTATTCTTCGCTAGGCCGCTTAGAAAGCCGGCTCCGTCCTTATTAATAATAGGGTCCTTAAACAAGTAGCTCTAAGGATAAAGCGAGCTGAAATTTCTGTCTCTAGTCTGTCTCGTTCGGTAATAGGCTCTTCTATAAGTATACTTAGTATCTTATCGATACTTCCCCTAGCTACGAATTCTTACGTACCCCGATTATTCGCTTAATCTATAGCTACCGTATATACTG